CACATAAGGGGTAGACATTCACTGGACAGTACACATAAGGTGTGGACATTCACTGGACAGTACACATAAGGTGTGGACATTCACTGGACAGTACACATAAGGTGTGGACATTCACTGGACAGTACACATAAGGTCTAGACATTCATTGGACAGTACACATAAGGGGTAGACATTCACTGGACAGTACACATAAGGTGTGGACATTCACTGGACAGTACACATAAGGTGTGGACATTCACTGGACAGTACACATAAGGTGTAGATATTCACTGGACAGAACACATAAGGTCTAGATATTCACTGGACAGTACACATAAGGTGTGGACATTCATTGGACAGTACACATAAGGTGTGGACATTCACTGGACAGTACACATAAGGTGTGGACATTCACTGGACAGTACACATAAGGTGTGGACATTCACTGGACAGTACACATAAGGTGTAGATATTCACTGGACAGTACACATAAGGTGTGGACATTCAATGGACAGTACACATAAGGTGTAGACATTCACTGGACAGTACACATAAGGTGTGGACATTCACTTGACAGTACACATAAGGTGTGGACATTCACTGGACAGTACACATAAGGTGTGGACATTCACTGGACAGTACACATAAGGTGTAGACATTCACTGGATAGTACACATAAGGTGTGGACATTCACTGGACAGTACACATAAGGTGTGGACATTCACTGGACAGTACACATAAGGTGTGGACATTCACTGGACAGTACACATAAGGTGTGGACATTCACTGGACAGTACACATAAGGTGTGGACATTCACTGGATAGTACACATAAGGTGTGGACATTCACTGGACAGTACACATAAGGTGTGGACATTCACTGGACAGTACACATAAGGTGTGGACATTCACTGGACAGTACACATATGGTGTGGACATTCACTGGATAGTGCACATAAGGTGTGGACATTCACTGGACAGTACACATAAGGTTTGGACATTCACTGGACAGTACACATAAGGTGTGGACATTCACTGGACAGTACACATAAGGTCTAGACATTCACTGGACAGTACACATAAGGGGTAGACATTCACTGGACAGTACACATAAGGTGTGGACATTCACTGGACAGTACACATAAGGTGTGGACATTCACTGGACAGTACACATAAGGTGTGGACATTCACTGGACAGTTCACATAAGGCTTGGACATTCACTGGACAGTACACATAAGGTGTAGATATTCACTGGACAGTACACATAAGGTGTGGACATTCAATGGACAGTACACATAAGGTGTAGACATTCACTGGACAGTACACATAAGGTGTGGACATTCACTGGACAGTACACATAAGGTGTGGACATTCACTGGACAGTACACATAAGGTGTGGACATTCACTGGACAGTACACATAAGGTGTAGACATTCACTGGATAGTACACATAAGGTGTGGACATTCACTGGACAGTACACATAAGGTGTGGACATTCACTGGACAGTACACATAAGGTGTGGACATTCACTGGACAGTACACATAAGGTGTGGACATTCACTGGACAGTACACATAAGGTGTGGACATTCACTGGATAGTACACATAAGGTGTGGACATTCACTGGACAGTACACATATGGTGTGGACATTCACTGGATAGTGCACATAAGGTGTGGACATTCACTGGACAGTACACATAAGGTTTGGACATTCACTGGACAGTACACATAAGGTGTGGACATTCACTGGACAGTACACATAAGGTCTAGACATTCACTGGACAGTACACATAAGGGGTAGACATTCACTGGACAGTACACATAAGGTGTGGACATTCACTGGACAGTACACATAAGGTGTGGACATTCACTGGACAGTACACATAAGGTGTGGACATTCACTGGACAGTACACATAAGGTGTAGATATTCACTGGACAGTACACATAAGGTGTGGACATTCAATGGACAGTACACATAAGGTGTAGACATTCACTGGACAGTACACATAAGGTGTGGACATTCACTGGACAGTACACATAAGGTGTGGACATTCACTGGACAGTACACATAAGGTGTGGACATTCACTGGACAGTACACATAAGGTGTAGACATTCACTGGATAGTACACATAAGGTGTGGACATTCACTGGACAGTACACATAAGGTGTGGACATTCACTGGACAGTACACATAAGGTGTGGACATTCACTGGACAGTACACATAAGGTGTGGACATTCACTGGACAGTACACATAAGGTGTGGACATTCACTGGATAGTACACATAAGGTGTGGACATTCACTGGACAGTACACATAAGGTGTGGACATTCACTGGACAGTACACATAAGGTGTGGACATTCACTGGACAGTACACATATGGTGTGGACATTCACTGGACAGTACACATAAGGTGTGGACATTCACTGGACAGTACACATAAGGTTTGGACATTCACTGGACAGTACACATAAGGTGTGGACATTCACTGGACAGTACACATAAGGTCTAGACATTCACTGGACAGTACACATAAGGGGTAGACATTCACTGGACAATACACATAAGGTGTGGACATTCACTGGACAGTACACATAAGGTGTGGACATTCACTGGACAGTACACATAAGGTGTGGACATTCACTGGACAGTACACATAAGGTCTAGACATTCATTGGACAGTACACATAAGGGGTAGACATTCACTGGACAGTACACATAAGGTGTGGACATTCACTGGACAGTACACATAAGGTGTGGACATTCACTGGACAGTACACATAAGGTGTAGATATTCACTGGACAGTACACATAAGGTCTAGACATTCACTGGACAGTACACATAAGGTGTGGACATTCATTGGACAGTACACATAAGGTGTGGACATTCACTGGACAGTACACATAAGGTGTGGACATTCACTGGACAGTACACATAAGGTGTGGACATTCACTGGACAGTACACATAAGGTGTAGATATTCACTGGACAGTACACATAAGGTGTGGACATTCAATGGACAGTACACATAAGGTGTAGACATTCACTGGACAGTACACATAAGGTGTGGACATTCACTGGACAGTACACATAAGGTGTGGACATTCACTGGACAGTACACATTAGGTGTGGACATTCACTGGACAGTACACATAAGGTGTGGACATTCACTGGACAGTACACATAAGGTGTAGATATTCACTGGACAGTACGCATAAGGTGTGGACATTCAATGGACAGTACACATAAGGTGTAGACATTCACTGGACAGTACACATAAGGTGTGGACATTCACTGGACAGTACACATAAGGTGTGGACATTCACTGGACAGTACACATAAGGTGTGGACATTCACTGGACAGTACACATAAGGTGTAGACATTCACTGGATAGTACACATAAGGTGTGGACATTCACTGGACAGTACACATAAGGTGTGGACATTCACTGGACAGTACACATAAGGTGTGGACATTCACTGGACAGTACACATAAGGTGTGGACATTCACTGGACAGTACACATAAGGTGTGGACATTCACTGGATAGTACACATAAGGTGTGGACATTCACTGGACAGTACACATAAGGTGTGGACATTCACTGGACAGTACACATAAGGTGTGGACATTCACTGGACAGTACACATATGGTGTGGACATTCACTGGATAGTGCACATAAGGTGTGGACATTCACTGGACAGTACACATAAGGTTTGGACATTCACTGGACAGTACACATAAGGTGTGGACATTCACTGGACAGTACACATAAGGTCTAGACATTCACTGGACAGTACACATAAGGGGTAGACATTCACTGGACAGTACACATAAGGTGTGGACATTCACTGGACAGTACACATAAGGTGTGGACATTCACTGGACAGTACACATAAGGTGTGGACATTCACTGGACAGTACACATAAGGTCTAGACATTCATTGGACAGTACACATAAGGGGTAGACATTCACTGGACAGTACACATAAGGTGTGGACATTCACTGGACAGTACACATAAGGTGTGGACATTCACTGGACAGTACACATAAGGTGTGGACATTCACTGGACAGTACACATAGGGTGTGGACATTCACTGGACAGTACACATAAGGTGTGGACATTCACTGGACAGTACACATAAGGTGTGGACATTCATTGGACAGTACACATAAGGTGTGGACATTCACTGGACAGTACACATAAGGTGTGGACATTCACTAGACAGTACACATTAGGTGTGGACATTCACTGGACAGTACACATAAGGTGTAGATATTCACTGGACAGTACACATAAGGTGTGGACATTCAATGGACAGTACACATAAGGTGTAGACATTCACTGGACAGTACACATAAGGTGTGGACATTCACTGGACAGTACACATAAGGTGTGGACATTCACTGGATAGTACACATAAGGTGTGGACATTCACTGGACAGTACACATAAGGTGTGGACATTCCCTGGACAGTACACATAAGGTGTGGACATTCACTGGACAGTACACATAAGGTGTGGACATTCACTGGACAGTACACATAAGGTGTGGACATTCACTGGACAGAAAAAGTGTTGGTCTCACTTGATCTGACTTTTTGTGAAGATGTTCGACGATGGTTCGATGAGGTTAAAATGACATCACTTTTTAACATAACTTTGACATTAAATCTCATAAAAATCTTAAAACATGAAACGCTGATGTGTAATTTCTCACTTAAAAATCACATTTAATGTATCAAACTTTCTTCCGTCTAGCTATGCTTATAAAAGTCATGGTACTTAAGACGTATGTGAATGAAAGCCCATGAATAATTGAAGAATAAAGTTTGTCTTGACTTGCGCCTGAACCCCAGCAGGACTTACCTTCATCAAGTTCACGTGGCGTGGCGGGCGGGGACACAGGAGAGACAAATGCCCGAGCCCCCCCCCCCCCCCCGTGACATAGCATGCAGTCACCTTCATTACCAGCTACTCCGTCACCCAGCCACCTCTCCCCGCCCCCCGTGCCCCTGGTGTTGATGGCTTGCCGCTGATTGCCAGCCATAGAGCATTGATGACATTCACGTCTTGCAGTAAGTGACGGGATTACCTCCCCATTCTAGTGAGTTGTTGTTTTTATCTAGCGCATGATTGTGTTTTGTTTTTGGTTGCTTGTTTTCCTTCAAATTTTATTACACCAGGTATTCTGTGTTTCTTTTTTTTTACGGAATTTTGGGAGGTATATTATTGAATTTTTTTTTTCAATTCACTGTATTTTTTTTTTTTTACTTTAAGAATCTAAATCTAAAACTAAAAGCGCAAAATAGGATGTTTATACTACGAATAAAATGAACCCAAAACGTAATTTCAATCTAATTACGCAGATGACACTCTTATAAAAATAAATTTTAGCTATACACATGAATTACATGGAAGAATAAAGCAATGTAAATCCTCGTATTGCACAGGATTAGCTAAGGATTAAATAAGATATTTTTAAAGTAATTGAAATTATGTCAGTGTTCGAATGTTTAGGTATGGTTGTTTTGGTAGTTTTTAAAAAGCTTCCGAGTTTTATAGGAGTAGATCTATATTGCTGTCAGGTTTTCGTTTACGTGTGATGGTATGTGTGGGGGCATGTGTGTGATGGTATCTGTATGTGTGTGATGGTATCTTTATATGTGGGGTATGTGTGTGATGGTATCTGTATGTGTGTGATGGTATCTTTATATGTGGGGTATGTGTGTGATGGTATCTGTATGTGTGTGATGGTATCTTTATATGTGGGGTATGTGTGTGATGGTATATAGATGTGTGGGGTATGTGTGGGATGGTATCTGTATGTGTGGTGTATATGTGTGATTGTATATGTATGTGTGGGGTATGTGTGTGATGATATCTGTATGTGCGGGGTATGTGTGTGATGGTATATGTATGCGTGGGGTAGGTGTGGGATTGTATCTGTATATGTATGATGGTATCTGTATATGTGTGATGGTATCTGTATGTGTGGGGTATTCGTGTGATGGTATCTGTATGTGCGGAGTATGTGTGTGATGGTATATGTATGTGTGGGGTAGGTGTGGAATTGTATCTGTATGTGTGTGATGGTATCTGTATATGTGTGATGGTATATGTATGTGTGTGATGGTATCTGTATGTGTGTGATGGTATCTGTATGTGTGTGATGGTATCTGTATGTGTGTGATTGTATCTGAATGTGTGTGATGGTATCTGTATGTGTGTGATGGTAAATATATGTGTGTGATGGTATCTGTATGTGTGGGGTATCTGTAATCTGCAGGCTAGTATTAAAGAGATATTTATAAAGAACCATGACGTGCCTTTGTGATCCCCATTTGATGAAATAGTTCCCGTCATTGTACATTATCAAGCAACAACAAGGATAGAAACATCGCTGTCCTCATATACATGTGTCTGTTCAAATAAACGTATGTGATCCCATATAATAAGACCGATCTTCTGGTGACCGATGTGTTGTACTGTATGACCTTCACCTCGTTGACAGGAGAAAAACACGGATGTTTTTAGGATGATTCTTTGAATTCCTGGTCAATTCATCGTCTCGAATATTGACACCTTTCTTACATAAATCATGGGAGACATTCGCCGTGCAGGATCAAACGAGAGTCTAGGGAGAGTTTAAAATGATAGGGTCAGTCTAGGGAGAGTACAGAACTTAAGATCGGCTTTTAATTAGCACTTCTTAAAGCACTAATTAAGAGAAAGTTTTCATAGTATTGACCGCCGTCCATTTTTCTTCTTCTTTTTAACTTCCAGTGCAGCATATTTACAACATATGTCTATGCCCGTTTGTCATTCTCTATTTGTTTTCTTTTCTTTTCAACTCTTGCCCCTAATTTTCCTACCTTTCCAATATCTCTTTGCCTTGTGTTTTTGGGTCCCCTATATTTTCTTGTTCTTTGTGTATTGACTGCCGTAAATACCGGGGAGAAATTCTAAAATTTGATCGACATTTGAAAACAACATCCCTGTCACCAAGGTCGCGAACCCCGAGCCCCAAGGTCGCGAGCCCGGTGCCCCGTGCCCCTATTTGATATAAGCTTAGTGTCACAGGGTGGGGGTGGGGGGCTGGTGTCAGATTCTGGTGCGCGATTAATTTTCTTGGCTGCTCTCTGCGTTTGAAAGTACATTTGTTGTTGTTCCTGCCTAGGTAGACCGTCTGTAATACGATGTGGCAGTAACAGAACTTTCAATGGGACGGCTGCAGGGTCGGGTAGAATGTTTGTAGCAACTTGATTTACATAATTGGGGAGGCATTTGAAAAGGGTAATTCCATTTGAGACATTTGAAAAGGGTAATTCCAAAAAAAAAATATGCATGCTTTGGTATATTGTTTATTTAGTTTGTGTCGTGTGTTGGGGACAGAGGGGGGGGGGGGGCTGTTGGCTGTAGAGGAAGGGTGGTGGGTCTGTGTATGATATGTGTTGTAAGTGTAAGGAGGAATTTGTTATTGATGGAGCTGGGGGTCATTACCCCACTTAATCCATTGATCAGGATTATCCCGATTTTCCTGAGTGCTCTTCTCTTATCCCGATTGCTCCTCCCTTATCCCTATTATCCCAAGTACTTTTCTCTTATCCCTATTATACCATGTGCTCCCCCCCCCCCCCCCCCCCCATATCCCTATTATCCCTTCCCCCTATTCCGGCACTGCTGGCTTTTGTTGACAAATCTCTAGGAGAGGTATCGATACTGCAAGGCCCCACGAAGGTATCGAATGACTGCTTTACATTCGGTAGGTAAACTACACAAGGATGTTTTTTGTTAACGACGACACCGTAGGTTATTTATTGTAAATATTCGCCCGTTTCTTGCGCTTTAAATTGCGTGTCAAGTTTGTAAACAGAACATCTTTTATAGAGTTAAAACGTATTTGACTGTAGAGAAACAAAATGTTGTCCGGGGCTATGGTTGAAATAAAAATATAATCACCTAAGTGCTAATATATATATATATATATATATATATATATATATATATATATATATATATATATATATTTATTTATTTATATATATATATATATATAATATATATAAATATATATATATATATATATATATATATATATATATATATATATATATATATATATATATATATATATATATATATATATTTATATATATTATATATATATATATATATATATATATATATATATATATATATAACGTTGACGTTATTAACATTGTAAAACATTTGATATACGTTCTCAAGTCGGCATCAACTCCCTCACATCCCAATTCAACCCCTCCCCCCCAATTCATAACGGAGTTAGGCTGAACACCTTAGCGCTAACGATTTTCTCACCTCACATAAATTTTTATAGCAGAGTAGAAAATGGTGCGGACATCTCCACCCCCCCCCCCCCCAGTTTATTATTTCCCTCCGTAAAATGAAAGCGGTTGAGATCAGATAAGCGAACCTTTGAATTAATGAGCGTACATCGTTTAGAACAAAAGTCATTGGTCACGCTCCGTGCGTGTCCGCATAAATTTCTTGAGCTTGTTACCATCAAATGTGCCCGCGACCTGACCAACACGGCTGATGATGACATTTCCTGTTTGGGGAGTTTAGTTTTACTCAGTTGCATTTTCTTCTGAAACTATTTGCAACTTTTCACTAAGATTGTTTGCACATTGTGACTAGAAAATTCAAACATCATAAGCTACAAATTTATACTAGAGATTATTTTACCTGTAGCTATAAACTTCAGAGATCTTTAACTTGCAACTTTTCAACATAAAACGTCCAACTTGCAATCAGTGGCGTATTAAGAGGGGGGGGGGGGGGCTGAGAGGGCTGCAGTCAGGGGCCCCCGATTTTAAGGGGCCCCCAAATTTATTTTTCCAATCGTAGTAAATTTCCCTTTAAAGCAAAATTGTTGGGTTTTTTTTTACTATAAACACCAATGTTTTAATATTTGAATCACAAGCTTATTTCAATTTGTGTTAAAAAATATCAAACTCGAGCACACACTTTAGTACAAATACAAGCTGTCATCACCTCCTACCCATACATTGTTTACATAAAGCCGACGTTGGCTAAAATAAATAGCCCGGACAGCGTTCGCTTATGACAATAAAATTGGTTGATTTTACAGTTAAAAACACAAACAGTGGTCAAATTCTGACACATGAGTCTACGATTTACGCCTTTTGAAAAATGCACAGCACTTGAAAGTTATTTAGTCAGATAGCGTCAGACAGATCGTGTAGTGAGGTGGTAGCCAAAATTAAAATAATACAAATGTTAGGGCCTAGACATATGGTCTACATTCTGAATTAAGTCTCACTCGCAAGCATCCAGACAAGCAACATTATTGACCAGCCAAAACAGTCAATGAAAAACTGCCTGGTCGTCTTTGCTTACCCGCTAAACTACTAAGAAAGGTATGAAAGATGTTTTACATTTTTACTTTCTCTCATATACAAAGTATAGAGAAAGTATTGTAATCGTGCAAAAAAAAATCGAGTTTTTGCAAATCTCGACGTTTTACACCTCCTTGAGTCGGAAAAACATAGTTTTGCAATCTTGTCCGTATGTCTGTCTGTGTGTGTGTATGTGTGTAAACACGATAACTTGAGTACCGTTACAGCTAGGTTGATGAAATTTCATATATAAGTATTATATCAAATTTGTAGATCTGTATCAACTTTTCAGCGATTTCCGATAACCGGAAGTGGTATTTTTTCTACTTTCAATGAAATTTCACATATAAGTAAAAGATCTAATTCTCTGCCTTCTATTAAATTTTGAGTAATTTCCGTTGACCGGAAGTAGTAGTTTACGCTTTTTTCGATTTCTCAAAAAACGCATGTGAATTTATAATTTATAAAGTACTAATAATATTCCGCACTATTATACACATTTTGTTTGGCGTTTACTTGGTGCGCATTTCTTTTTTCTACGCGATTTTATTTTAAAACGTTTAAGTAATTAAAAATTGATTAACAATAATGTCTATATCACGAGTTGCCATCCCCCGTAGTGTTATGTAAGAATATTGGAGAAAGTTTAAGGGAGATCTGGGATAGATTTATCTAAAGAAAATAAGGAATAATCAATTTATAAAACTAAAACTTTAGACAATTGTGGATAAGCGTGGGCGGCGTTTGGGTGAAGGTGGGGAGGGTCTATGTGGGCATCATAATTATACTCTGTATTGTTTATAACACAAATAAGACTGCAAAAACATTGTAAAAACAAATACAGCAGTGCTCGTGTTATTTTAACCCAACTCAATGGACAATTATGTCGCGGCAGACCTATTTAGGCCCTATAATACGGTAAACGACAATAGGCCTAAATTAGGCCTAGAGAGAAATATAGGAAATGAATCTGCTGTGGACACTCTATGGTTTAAAGTTTTAAAAACACTTATAGGCCTTAACTTTTAGTGAACGATTAATATTGGGTGTAGAGGCCAGGGATGACGTTAATTAAATGGACGTCTGTGGAAATCCAACTTTTTGAAGGCCTCATAAATGGATGACACCTAAGAGGATGGAGGTGTGGTTTTTTTTACGCTTATACCGTGCTTACTGTTTTAGTTGGGCCTAGTTTAACCTTTGTATGTTATTAATAATTTCCTACATAGAGTGGTTTGAAATTATCGTTTTCTTTTTGCGTCTGCACGCAAACAAGTGCCAACAATTTTTATCGTCTGCTCTATTACGACATTATAATATTCTGATGGAAATTTATATTTATTCAATGTTAGTCTACATATCCAGCTTTCATGCCCCCAATATAAAAACATGACTGACAGTCGAATAACAATTTGTTATGATTCAGAGGTCGGAAACTTCTACAGGCCTAAAGTAAACAGTCATATATTTAGTACTGCTGACGTAGCGGATGGATCTCGCCTCTGTGTTTTGTTAGTGTGTGAGTCGTGGTAGTGGGTGGGGGGCAACATATAATCTTGCTAAAAATTAGTACATTTTGCTTAGATGTTTGTATCCAATTTACCGCTCATTGAACATAATTGACGGTTTTTTAAATTAGCAGTTTTGTAAAAATCGGTGTCGAATGTTCCTATAAGTTATAATAATCCATTATTATCTTGAATAGTATGTTGATTAGGATATATATATATATATATATATATATATATATATATATATATATATATAGGTATATATATATATTTTTTTTTTATTTATATCATGAGACCCCAAAAAGTTTTAGCCCGGGGCCCCGCCCAAGCTTAATACGCCCCTGTTTGTAATGTGTCACCAAATGCCTTGACTCAATGCACTGCTGATATTTGTACAAAGGCTGTAATAAAATGTTTAATCAAAGATCTGTAAAGAAATGTGTTATCAAAGATCTTTAACGAAGTGTTTTTATCAAAGATCTTTGATGTAACATTTAATCAAAGATCTTTAATGTTAAGTTTTATTAAATATCTATAATGAAATGTGTTATCAAAGATCTTAAACGAAGTGTTTTTATCAAAGATCTTTGATGTAATATTTTATCAAAGATCTTTAATTGATTCAGATGTTAAAGATCTTTAATGAAGGGTGTTATCACAAATCTTTGCACTGATCTGACCTTGAATGTTAGTGCTGGCCGGGTCAACTGATTACAACAACAGCCATGTCTCGGTGTGGTGAGGGGGAGGGTGTAACAGACAAGTGGGGTTATAAGTAGAGAAGCTATGGGGCTATGAATAAAACGGGAATGGGGAGGTTGGGTGGCTATATCTAACAACAGAACAAGCCAACATTCATGTACAACAAGCCAACATTCCAACAAGTCAACATTCATGTACAACAAGTCAACATTCATGTCCAACAAGTCAACATTCATGTCTATCACGTCAACATTCATGTCCAACAAGCCAACATTCATGTCCAACAAGTCAACATTCATGTCTATCACGTCAACATTCATGTCCAACAAGCCAACATTCATGTACAACAAGTCAACATTCATGTCCAAAAAGTCAAGATTCATATACAACAAGTCAACATTCATGATGAACAGTTTAACATACCTATACTAGTTAACATTTCTGTACAAATTGTTAACATTCCTATACAAGCTGTTAACATTCCTGTACAACCAGTGGTGCAGTAGTTACATCACAGCTTGTGGTGGGCCGCACTAGAACTTGTCATAAAGTCACGGGGTTTGTTGCATAATTAATTCTCACTGGACGGATTATCTCAGCATAAAGAGGCTTAAGGTATTTGCTGGTTTTAATTGCCAGGGATTAGCCAAAGATCAGCTTGTTTAGCACCGGCTGGTATTGACACTGTGCTGGTGCTGGTGCACCGGTAGTGCTTTAATCAGCTAGGTGCTCAGATATTCTATATCTTGTTACTGGAATTGTGAAGTTTAGAATTTATTTTATTTTATTTTTGTCTTACGGACTAGGCCTACATCATTTCTAAATCTTAGCTTTTATTAAGACACAACAGGTGTTATCATTTAATTTATTTGACGATAATTTATTTATAAATTTATGTTGTAAAACAATAAATTTTTGCTCTTAATTTATTCCGTGATACCAAAAATTATATTTCTAAATCTATTTGGAACACAAAAAAAACGCAACTTTTATCAGTAAATCTGATTTTTTAAGCATCATCTAACACTCTGTGTATAAATTAAAATGTTTGTATCATGTTTGCAGACGATATGGCCAGAATCTGGTCGAGCAGGACGACTTTGTGTCTGCTGATTGGTTTGGCGCTCTTGGATATAAGCAGTTGCCAGTTGGACTCTCCGGGACCGTTCTTAACTCAGTTTGATAATGGTAGGTCCACACGTTTATACATACACATATACATGTGTACACAAAACTCAATATGATAACGGTAGGTCGACACGTATATTCATACACATATACATATGTACACAAATATAATCTACATACGTATTACAGACATACAAAAATACGTACATTTACATCTACACAACCACACACATTTTATCGTTATTTTAATATTTTAGTTGTAATAAATTTACTATCGTATGTTATCTAAATGTTTTAGAAAAACGCATACAGTCGTTGTATATGAAATGACTACAAGGTATTTGTGTCACATGGACGACTTGCTTGCTTATCCACTCAAATCTCTCTCTAGCTCTTACTTAAGCTCTGTCTAGCTGTGACAGTGTCTAACCAGACCTTAATGACACTGCTAATAGACTGCTAAACGCATTTTATTACAAGGTAGTTTTAAGTGGACCTTATCCCCACGGATTCTTAATGATGTGTGTGTTTGTGTGTGTGTGCGTGTGTGTGCGTGTGCAGCCAGAGAAGTAAGTGACAGTCGTGGCCAGTGGCCAGCACGCCCTGGCCCATCCTAGAGTTTGTAGATGTCGGCCGGTCGTGTACGGTGAGGCTCGGTACGTGCCTACACCGTCCCAGGAGCGGATAACTCTGTTTACCTCCCTTCTACAGTCATCGCGGACTGCTGAGAGAATTATACACTATACACTACCATTCCAACATTTCTACACATTTCATCACAGAACTATACACTACAATTCCAACATTTCATCACAGAACTATACACTAACATTCCAACATTTCTACAAATTTCATCACAGAACTATACACTACAATTCCAACATTTCATTATTGAACTATACACTACCATTCCAACATTTCTACAAATTTCATCACAGAACTATACGCTACCATTTCAACATTTCTACACATTTCATCATTGAACTATACACTACCATTCCAACATTTCTACAAATTTCATCACAGAACTATACGCTACCATTCCAACATTTCTACACATTTCATCACAGAACTATACACTACCATTCCAACATTTCTACACATTTCATCACAGAACCAGTTTCTTCCAGGAATCATTTCGCCCCCCCCCCCCCTTACGAGCAAAGTCTACCCCCCCCCCCTCCCCCCCCCCCCCCCGCACGAAGTGGAATTTATATAGAAAATTTATACTTTTACCGTCCCGTCCCCCCTGAAAATTTAGACCCCCCCCCCCCAATAATATCAAGTGCCCCACCCACCCCCCTAGAAAAAGGTCTGGACACAAAGCACAGATATATTCGCTACCATCCTAACATCTCTTCATATACTATGATAAAACTATTTTAAAAATCTCCAAATATACTATAGAAATATTTTAACACTATTCACGACAGAGTTATAAGTGCATATACACATTTCATGACAGAATAAAGTCGATGCAAACATTTATGCTACGTAACCTTTGGACTACGGCACCTTGAATATCTGTTAGTTACCGCTATGATTTTTGGCCCAGAAATATTCAACAAACAGTAAACAATGCAGTGAGAAAACCCCATCAATAGTCTACAACATAACATCAACAAACTCCTAATTAGTCTACAACATAACATCAAAAAACTCATCATTAGTGTACCTACAACATAACATCAACAAACCCATCATTAGTCTACAACATACCATCAACAAACCCATCATTAGTCTACAAAATAACATCAACAAACCCATCATTAGTCTACAACATAACATCAACTAACACATCATTAGTCTACAACATAACATCAACAAACCCATCATTAGTATACAACATACCATCAACAAACCCATCATTAGTCTACAAAATAACATCAACAAACCCATCATTAGTCTACAACATAACATCAACAAACTCCTAATTAGTCTACAACATAACATAAAAAAACTCATCATTAGTGTACCTACAACATAACATCAACAAACCCATCATTAGTCTACAACAAACCATCAACAAACCCACCATTAGTCTACAAAATAACATCAACAAACCCATCATTAGTCTACAACATAACATCAACTAACACATCATTAGTCTACAACATAACATCAACAAACCCATCATTAGTCTACAACATACCATCAACAAACCCATCATTAGTCTACAACATAACATCAACAAACCCATCATTAGACTACAACATAACATAACAAACCCATCATTAGTCTACTACAACATAACATCAACAAACCCATCATTAGTCTACAACATAACATCAACAAACTCCTAATTAGTCTACAACATAACATCAAAAAACTCATCATAAGTGTACCTACAAAATAACATCAACAAACCCATCATTAGTTTACAACATAACATCAACAAACACATCATTAGACAACAGCATAACATCAACAAACCCATCATTAGACATCAGCATACCATCAACAAACCCATCATTAGACTACAACATAGCATAACAAACCCATCATTAGTCTACTACAACATACCATCAACAAACACATCATTAGTCTACAACATAACATCAACAAACCCATCATTAGTCTACAACAAACCATCAACAAACCCATCATTAGTCTACAACAAACCATCAACAAACCCATCATTAGTCTAGAACATAACATCAACAAACCCATCATTAGTCTACAACATAACATCAACAAACCCATCATTAGACAACATAACATCAACATAACAATCGCGCCCCACTGAACTCGACAACTCGGCACAAAACTCTATTTATCTTTCGTTGTTATCTAAAACGTGATCTTTGTGATCATTTAAAATAAGATCGCCCAGGGCTCGTGTAGGTAGACTGACAAAACCACATACAGAAAACAATGTTCGCTTCACTCTTGCCATATATGTCTGACTTAAGGATGTTTTTAAAGTGAAATGTAGATATAGATATTTGAGAAGCGGGGATTTACCTCTCTTGTTATGATAGACTTACTTAAATTGTAGGACCTTCCAAAAGTAAACAAAGACAAATATTTACCATAAATATTCTCACAAACATGCATGCACAAACACACGAATAAACAAAACTTGGCATAAACACGGGAATAAACCAAACTTGGCACAAATATTGAAATCCGAGGCGTTTGAATTGTGAAAACATAGGGTAAGATTTCTTTGTTTTCTAGCAGGCTCTATATCATTGAGGACTGGTTGTCACTTGTAGAAAGGGTTGTTTGGTGCTGGTTGTCGTATGATGAGCTTCTTGTATCGCGGGATGGTTGTCACTAAGGGGTTGGTTGTAACGTGACGATGGTTGTCATTGTGGGTATAGGTGTCAAATATAGATGGATATTAAATGGGGGGGGGGGATTTATCCCTGTGGGGTGGTTGTCACTGTGAGCATAGTCGTCACTTTGGGGATGGTTGTCACCAGGGAGGATGGTTGTCACATGTTAACTGTTGTTTAACGCGGGTTGATGAGTACAGTTGAAGCAGTTTCCTGGTTGTCAGATCTGCAGATGGTTGTATCTCTGATATAGTGGTCTCGTCTGTGTATTGCGTGTGGTCAGACTTAAGGGATGGAGTGGGGGGGGGGGGGGAATCCGGACACCAAGCGTGTAAGTATCACAGCAAAGACCTGAAGACTTTTAACCAATCAGCGAGCTTATACTAACAGTTATATAACATTGCACTATACCGCCGTTCTGTCCACCCCCCCCCCCCCCAGCTTTTCATAAACAAAATACAACGAGACGATTGATAAACACCCTACACCCCCATTCGTGTTATACAAGTCCACGATCCCCAACTAATTCCTATTCCATGTCTGTATTAGTTTTCTCTCAACATACGGAATTACATCGACAAATAACACGTTTTCATCTTTATACACGCAGACACATCGTTACAAGTTTTCACCTGAAATATAAACGTTTACTATCGAATACGTTTTTACGTGGCATTTACGCTTAGGGACGGCGTGGTCTAGCGGTAGAGCGAAAAGTCTCCAGTTATAATCCGGGTTCAAGTCAGTAGAACGTCCCTGAGTCCACCCGGGTGGGTATCTAACTTAGGGAAAATAAAGGCGGCTGGGCATAGTGCTGACCACACGATCCCTTTATATGCCGATGTCAGCGAAACAGATGAACTCTACTGCATCTGCGGGAGGTATCTTGTGAGATTATTAGTCCCTTAAATTAAATTCCAAACCTGTTGCCTTAACGTCGACCTATACAAGTGTTGGGCGGAATCTCGTTAAAATATTTCTTCACTTGAAGACGATACGTTTAGTTTTTTTTTTAAATCCTGAAGTAGAACTTAGTTTCATCTTTGTTCAACAGGAGTTTCTGTTCGTATATTTAACTTGACCAAGACAGAGAAATATGTGTATGGCGGGCTTGAACTTTCTACCAACCAACAGACGTGGGGATTCCCCTGTCATGAAAACTTTGAAACAGAAACCAGCAGAGTTATCTGCCGGATGTTCAACTACACACGAGGGGAGGTAATCAATAGAATTACATGCATACAAGTATTTTGTGTGAAACTATATCAATCATTATGAGTTAACCCCGCTAATTAACAACTAGCAGGGGTGTGTGTCAGACAGTTGTGCTACGACCTTAGTTTACTGTAGTTTACGTTAATAATTCGGACTCAATTCTCAATGGTCAAACAGAGATGTTTATCGGTGTAGGGAATATGGTGTAAGACTGTGGTCAGTGTGGGGAATATGTGGTAAGTGGTCAGTGTGGGGAATATGTGGTAAGTGGTCAGTGTGGGGCAATATGTTGTAAGACTGGGGTCAATGTGGTCAGTGTGGGGAATATATGTTGTAAGTCTGTGGTCAGTGGTTGACTACAGCACTGGGAGTTTCTGGTAGTGGAGTGTGGTCAGTGTGGTCAACTTTATAAGCCTATAGGTGGCATATATGGCTATTGCATCGTCTATTGACTGGCAGCCTCAGGACTATTACAACTGGCTGTAGATCTAGATGTAGTTTTCCCACTGTATACCCGCCCTAATCACCTTCCCCACTGTATACCCCCCCCCCCTAATCACCTGTATCTCCACCACGCCCAGGCAATATCTGGCAGCAGGTTAGGTACCAGCGCACACAGCCGCTTCCCCCATGACTTCAGGTGCTCTGGGCACGAGGAGAGCCTGACCCTGTGTGAGATGGACTTCACCAACACCTTCATCACGTGCCACGCTAACGAGAGCGTCGGGATCCTGTGTTTTAATAACATCAGTGATGGTAAGTCGTGTTTTAATAACATCAGTGATGGTAAGTCAACTAGCACCTGGATGTAAAATTGTAAAATTAAGGTATTAACACATTATGAACCAGCCTTTTTGAATCACGTCGACAACAGAACACTGACACTCCCCCCCCCTTCCCCCACCCACCATACCACTCGCTGCATGTGCAGATACAATTATCTGTGGATTCACAATAAAGAAAAGCTTAACGTTTCTATTCAGGCCTTTACTCGAGAAAAGGCTGGCTAGAATATTCTAGATTTTTTTTTTGGGATTAGCACAACAATCTTGAAATCTTCCTGACGCTAATGTATGTAAATACTCTTAGCCTCCAATTGTCCTGAAGAATTTATAGGAAACTCGGCCCAGTAATTGAATAGTTTAGCAAGTATTAACTAGCTGCCTGTCACTTTAGCTAGCTTTTGTTTCAATCGTTTTTTCAGCAGAAAATGAACGTTTTGTTTGAGGTCTTAGGTTAAAAGTCATTCAAAGTTTGTTAGCTGCTATACTGTGGGACGATTGTATTTTAATTTTAGTCAAGACATTAATAAGCTTGATTAAATGACTTCTTGATTTCATTAAATTTTCTGTCAAGTAGTAGTAGCAGGGGCGGAACTACAGTGCCGCCAGACCCCGCAATGCGGGGGGGCCCACGCCATTTAGGGGCCCACGGCCGACCCTAATAGTTTTTATTATAGTTAAAAAATCTAATTTTCTTGCAATTTTTGACTTGATGTTTGTTTTGTAAAACGATTACCACAGCTGCGGTTTGATTATCTTTATTCTATAGACACCATATATTCTTGTATATTCTTTTTCCCTTTCTTTTTAAACCACTGTGAAAGCCAAGTCCTCTCTCCTCTACAATTAAACTTAACAAAGATAAGGAAACGTTCAAACCACTTCCATGACTTATTTCCCTTTTAAAATAGTCAAATTGGGGTGCTCATAAGCTCCTTTTAATAGAATTGTACTAAACAAATTAAAAAGCAATTACTTCTCTTACTAAATATTTTTTCATAAAATACTTTCTAAAGAATGACCTTGTATAAAAAGGAAATGTATTTAAAATTAATAATATAAATACAAAAAAAACACAAAAATAATCACAACACGAGACACCATTACTTCTACAAAGATTTTATGTTTTATATTCTTTTGGCCAGATAGATGTTAAGAGAATCCATAACAGATAAAATGAAAACTGATTTTCTCAAAACACACTAAAGCACTTACACACATGACATGTAGTAATTTGTTTTAATTGAAAAAAAACATTTTTTTTTCAAAACCTGAACAGGTCAGCAATGAGCATCCTATGCTCTGTTCGTATTTTGTGTTTATATATATATATATATATATATATATATATATATATATATATATATATATATATATATATATATATATATATATATATATATATATATATATATATATATATATATATATATATATATATATATATATATATATATATATATATATATATATATATATATATATATATATGGGTGGGGGGCCTAAAAAAATTTTTTGCGGGGTGGCCCTTTTTTTCTAGTTCCGCCACTGAGTAGTAGTCACACTTCATGTCATGTCTGATGTTACTTTATGCATTACTTAATGTCAGATTTTACTTTATGCTTTGGGGGTCATCCATAAGTGACGTCACGCCTTTTTAACGATTTTTACATCTCCATCCCCTCCGTCGCACTCAAAAAAAGCCAGACCCCCCCCCCCCCCTAAAATGACTCCACAACCCCCCTCAAAATTGCAGTTGAATTTTTCTTAAAAAACTATATTTTTCCAAAATCTTGTCTGAACTCTGTCAACATTGAGTATTTTGATCAATTCCTATTACAATTTATTACAACAGTTTTCTAAAACGCGAAATAACGGCTAAAATTCGTTTTCTAACATTGCTTTTTATAAAACAAAAGTGTGCTTCACGCCATCTGAACCCCCCCCCCCCCTCCCCCTCATCAAACCCCGTCACAAAATTACGGACACCCCCTCTCCCTTCGAGTGTGACGTCATTTATGGATGACCCATTGTTAGTCCAGATCAACTCACTGTCTACACACATTTAGTTTTACAGATGCGACTAAGCAAAGAAGTTCGAACACCAGTACAAATGTCTGGTCGTCTGGAGGTCAGGTTGTCTCCCGTGCTAGACTGGGGTTCTGTTTGTGACGACACATTCACTGATCAATCGGCACAATCGGCGTGCAGATATCTTGGTTTCAAAATAGGAGAGGTAAGTTGTTTTTCTTTTAATTTTTTTTTTTTTTCATTTAGATCTCTAGATTCTAGTTTGATTTAGAGATTAACTTGCAATGTTTTATTTAATTTAAAATATGATCCATCGCCTCACTTGTAGGCCTATTACAAATTTTAAATCAGCTAGATTACAAACGTTGCCTAAATTCTTACTTCAATAGAACGCATGTTTTCTTGTTGTGTCTTGAAGATTTCAGAAGACAAAGGTGAAGGGTCAACGGCAAGTGAAACTCTCTTAGATGAAGTTTCGTGTAGTGCTGGCCAGGAGTTTCTAGATTGTAACCACAATATTTGGGGCATTCATGATTGCAATCGCGTTGAAGATGTGGCCATTTCCTGTATTAAAACAAATGGTACTTGAACTTACCCTTCTTGAACGACACAATATTAAAATTTAGATTATATTACAAACTTTGTACACAAGTTTAAAAAGTTACACAATAGTGAATATTAATTATTATGCTTCATTGCCATATTGAATATTGACTTATATTGTGTTTAAAGTTTAAGTCTTATAATAATAAAATAAATTGAGTTAGGCCTATTATATCTTTTATTAAAATATTATTTATTATTAATAATTATTAATTAAGTCTCTTCTTAAGACTAGTGACTAGACTCTACAACTCTAGATATAAAGCTAGAACTAGAATCTAGATTTTAATTATTTGTGTTCATATACCCCCTAGATCTGAATAACATTTGTTATAAATATAAAATATAATTAAATGAATGTTAGGCCTATTCACAAACTTATTTTACCATTATCTATTAATTATTCAAGTTCTGTGAGGATAATTTTATTGCTATCTAGATTTAGATCTACACAAACAGATAATAATAATTTTTATCTTTTTATAGTGCGGTTGTTGTCTCTTGTCAAAACTGACTCTCATCTTGGAACTGTTGAGCTATACAATGAAAAGGAAAGAGGCTGGTTTGAAGTTTGTGGTGTGGGATGGAAAGATTCGAATGCAAAGGTTTTTTTTATTAATTTAATTTTTTTATTTAGAAAATATCATGCTTATCAATGCAAATTTTAGTGTTTTACAAATTTAAAAATTTCACACTTATATGCTTTAAGAGTTTTTAAAATGCAAACAAATTTTTACCAATTTTTTTATTTTAGTCAGCAAATATATGTTGTTATAATCAGCACATGTGTATGTATTGATTTAACAAAACTACATTTAATGTAATATTTACACATCAGGTAGTGTGTAGGGAGGTGGGGTTTACAGATGGCAAAGCCCTCCAGTGGAACAGTTTAGGGGCTGTTGCCTACGGCAGCTTTACAGCAGCGGGTTCCTACACCAACGTGTCCTGTGATGGCACAGAGTCCACGCTGTCGCAATGTTCACTGGAAGAGACAACACTGTGTGAGTTCCGCGACTCCATCATTGACCTGGCATCAGTCATCTGTTACAACACGTCGCTGGCTCAAGTTGACATGAGTAGGTACCAGCTTTCTGTTTAACTGTAACATGGTGATGATTTAAAGTGGAACTTCATTGGCTTCAGTTTCTTGAGTGTGATTAAAGTATACATTTTTTATATCATACATGCCAAAAGCTTCAAGTTTTTATGATTTTTAAACTTTGCTTTTACATTGTAACTTAAAATATTTATTTTTACATGTGACCTCAAATTGTAATGGTACAATGTTGTGTTCAAATGTTCAATTATTAAGTTTCTACTTTCAGTGGATGCTGTCCTTATAAATTGTTGATGTTTCTACTTTCAGAGGATGTTGTCTGTATAAATTGTTGATGTTTCTACTTTGAGTGGATGCTGTCCATATAAATTGTTGATGTTTCTCCTTTCAGCGGATGCTGTCCGTATAGCCAGTGATGCTGGAGCCTCGTCGGATGCAGGGTTTCTAGAGCTGCGACATTTTGGTGTCTGGGGTAGGGTCTGTGATGGTGGGAGAAACTCCAAGTTTTCAGCTGTTTCAGACAGGGAAGCAACTGTGGCTTGTAAGATGATGGGCTATGTTGGTGGCAAAAGGTAAGTGATGTTCTTTGTAAATCTGGTGTGTCATTTAATTGTGTCTGATATAATATTTAGATGTTTTTATGTATTAATTAGATGTTTCTGATGTATTATTTAGATATTTCTGATAATTTATGTAGATGTTTCTTATGTATTAATTAGGTTTATTGATGTATTATTTAGATATTTCTGATGTTTTATGTAGGTGTTTCTGAATTATTAATTAGTTTTATTGATGTTTTATTTAGGTGTGTTTGATGTATTATTGCTTACAAGTACAAGTTTAATGGTTATTTATCACTACACTTAAGATTCAGTAGGTATTTATCTGTTTTCAACCCAATGTTCTATTTATATCATCTAATAAATGTGAGATTTGTCTTGACAGACTGGGACCTGTGACGTCTGCTGACAAACACCACATCTGGTTGAGGGGGTTCCAATGTCAGGGCAATGAAAGCGCCATTGCTCAGTGTTCTACACCTGACTGGGGTGCACCTGGGGATAGCTGTGACACACCTGTCCGTGTTGTTTGCTTCAGGAAAGGTAACTGACAGTTCTTTGATGTTTTTTTGTCAAATGTTTTTAATTAGTAACCCACATGTGAATTAAAGCATAAAAATAAATAACAAGTTGTTGTATTAGAATAACTTAACTAAAGAAATTAGACATGTCATTGCTGTTTAATTAGTCATGTGACCTTTTTATTTTTAATCCCTATTTAGATCTTAACCTGCATCTGACGCAGTTCAACAACCAGACAGGCTTGTTGAGTGTTGTTCATGACGAGAGAACATCAGGTGTGTGTGCTGACAACTGGACTAACCTAGAGGCTGACGCTGCCTGTAAAGTTTTAAAATTTACTGGGGGGAGAACCTGGACACCGCAGACTAGCCAGAGCATTAATAGCAGGTGAGAATGTGATGTCACTGTCATCAATGTCATGTCTGTGATGTCAGTGTCATCAAAATCAGGTGTGTTATGACAATGTTAGCAATACCAGGTGAGTATGTAAATGTCATTGTCATAGATGACGTCTGGGATAACTGTGTCATCAAAACCATGTGTGTGATATCAGTGTCAGCTACACTAGGTGTGTATTTGATGTCATAGACATCAATACCAGGTGAGTGATGTTAAAATCAGCAATATTATCTTTGTTATACATTCTGACCTGTAGGTGTATTAGAGTTAAGCCTGCCAATGTGAGTGTCTTTAACTACATACATACGAGTTACTTTTTCATGTACCCAATCATTTTTGTTTGTTCAAAACACAAAAGATTATCAATACAATATTTTTAAAGTTTAAACCTTTGTTTATTTGTTTGTTTTATCCAGTAAATTCATAAATATAACTTTTGTGTTTTTATACTATCTCATGTAATTTCAGGACTGTGATTGGCTCTGTGTCTTGTGATTCATCTGATGAGACTTTTTACAAATGTGTCAAGGACAAATGGGAAATTGATGCATCACAGTGTCACAAAGGACAGGCTGGTGTTAGCTGTTTTACAAATGGTGAGGGTGTGTAGAAAATGTTGAGGCATGAGAGATGATGTTGGATGTTTCACAAATGGTGAGGGTGTGTAGAAAATGTTGAGGCATGAGAGATGATGTTGGATGTTTCACAAATGGTGAGGGTGTGTAGAAAATGTTGAGGCATGAAAGATGGTAATAGCTATTTCACAAAAGGTGAGGGTGTGTAGAAAATGTTGAGGCATGAAAGATGCAGCAGACTACATCCACCCTTAGAAAACCATCTTCAGTGCTGTCCTCCACAGTTATTTTATTTAACTCCACAAAGAATGTATGGTGCATTGAAGAATGGAAGGAATGAATTAGTCGACTGGTAGAGCCTACGGCTGCTAACCGAAAAGTCTAGATTTCGAATCCGGGTTCAAGTACGGAGAATGTCCCTGAGTTCACCCAGCTCTGATGGGTTACTAACTCACATTAGGGAAAGTAAAGGTGGCTCCGCATAATGCTGACCACAGTATCCCTTCATATGCCGAGGTCACAGAAAGAAATGAACTCTACTTCACTTACCTCATGGACCATCAGGGAACTTTATTATAGTATAACTTCAACTTCCTGTGTTGTAAATTATATGATTACATATGACAGAAAGTTGCTCCTCTTGGCTATTTCCATATAAGTGAAAAGTCTACTTTCCATGTCTACATCACATTTCTCAACTTGATCTTTTCTCTCCAGTAAAACTTGATCTTTTCTCTCCAGTAAAACTTGATCTTTTCTCTCCAGTAAAACTTGATCTTTTCTCTCCAGTAAAACTTGATCTTTTCTCTCCAGTAAAACTTGATCTTTTCTCTCCAGTAAAACTTGATCTTTTCTCTCCAGTAAAACTTGATCTTTTCTCTCCAGTAAAACTTGATCTTTTCTTTCCAGTAAAACTTGATCCAGGCTGGAAAAATACTGGAATTTTACAAGTCTTTAACCAACAACTGGACGCCTGGGAAACAGTTTGTAGGTCAGGATTTACCAATGTCAGTGCAACCATTGCTTGTCGTCAGCTGGGCTTTAAGCTTGGCACCGTGCTGCCCGCAGGAGTTTTTGGCTCGTACTACTCCTCCAACAGGAGATTCAATGTCAGCTGTCGTGGACAGGAGAGCTCCATCAGTGATTGTCCTTACGACAACATCACCACCGCCGGCTGCAACTTATACAGCAGCTACACGTCCATCAGCTGTTTTGATGAGATCAGCACTGACCTTAAAAGTGAGTACAGATATTATATAGACCTAACATGCATATCCATCAGTTGTTTTGATGAGATCAGCACTGACCTTAAAAGTGAGTACAGATATTATATAGACCTCACATGTATATCCATCAGTTGTTTTGATGAGATGAGCACTGACCTTAAAAGTGAGTACAGATATTATATAGACCTAACATGTATATCAGCTGTTTTGATGAGATCAGCACTGAACTTAAAAGTGAGTACAGATATTATATAGACCTAACATGTATATCAGCTGTTTTGATGAGATCAGCACTGAACTTAAAAGTGAGAACAGATATTATATAGACCTAACATACACAACACTTGTTTTAATGGGGACAGTAATGACTTTGAAGTTTGTTACATATTATAAAGATCTTAAATTCAGAATAAATTATGTTTTACATGCATTGAAAGTATTTCTTAAATTTGACTGTGATAAGATTTGCTTGAAGACTGAATCTTCTCTGTTGTTCCAGATAGTTATTCTCTAGAAACGAATCAATCATCCAATGTATCGGGTGTTGTCAAAGTTTACCAAAACAACACCTGGGGCTACGTGTGTGAGGAGATGTTCACAGATGACGATGCCAGGGTGTATTGCAGTGAGATAGGGAAGTTAACAGGGCAGAACTTCCAGAGGGGCATTAAGTTTGACGCTGGCTATGACATTACTGGACCTTACTTCCATTCATTCCCCAACTGTTCCAGCAATGACACGGTGTTACAAGATTGTAAAAGTAGCCGCTTCCTCTGCTCTGCTGCTAAAGCTGCTGCTGTGTTGTGCTTTACTTCTGGAGGTAAAAATAGTTTCTTTCAATAGAAGTGCCTTAGTTATTTAGGAACATCTACAAATAACATAACACTGCTGGGAGGGGGGAGTGGTTTGAATAAAACTTTTGTGGCGAGGGGGTTCAGAAAGTGTAATAACACTTTTTGCAGCTGAATACTGGCAGTTACATGACGTATGTTAGAAGTCTTTTTGAAAATTGTAATCAAATGATCAGCAAATAGAAAAAAATGGCTGTTTCATACAACAAAAATTGCAACTAGGGTGGTTAGGCGTAATGGTTTTATGGGGGGGGGGGTCTTATTTCTGTTATACTGTGAAAAAGAGGTGGGGGTCAGTAAAAATTTTTTTAAAAAGTGTTATGTCATATATTAAATAATTATTTTGTTTAAATTTAAGTGTAATGTTTTTAAATACTTGTTTTAAGAAATTAGTTTAATACTACCTAATTTTTTAGTTTGAACTGTTGTATAAACATTTTGATATACTTTCAAATGCAAGTAGGTCATATCAAAGATATTTTGCCAGTAATACCATCCTATCCATTTCACTAGTGCTAGCTCTAGCTCATAATATTGACCAGCACCATTTCTAGTACATTTAGTTTTATGGATTTCTTTTGTCTATATAAGTTTTTCATCACAGTGCCACCCCAGACTATATACACTTATATAAATATCAGTTATCTGTGAGACAATGGTTAACTGATTTTCTATTTGACCACAGCTCCAAGCCTAAATTTGGTTGAAGATCACACCCAGGTGCATTCTGGGAGACTTCAGCTGACCATTGGTAGTGAGACAGGTGCCATCTGTGGAGATAAGTGGACTGACCATGATGCTGAGGTAGCCTGTAAGATGATCAACCCAAACTTTGTGACTGGGATAGCTAAATTGTAAGTCTCTTTAGACCTACATTTGTATACTGGATTGGTGTTGTCTGTTTGTTTATCCTGGTACTTTAAAATTTTATATACCAAAATAAACCAAAAGCAACAGTCTATTATTTGTTTTAATATTTCCTGTTCCATATCTATCAGATACGACAGAAGTAACCTGGAATTCTTCATGTCGGGGCTGCAATGTTCAGGCAGTGAATTGAGTTTATTCCACTGTAAAAATGATGGCTGGAGAAGTAAAAGTAATGTGGCTTGCCAGGGCAGTGTCAAAGAAGCTGGTGTAATCTGCTCAACTAATGGTATGCCAGCTTGGATATTTTGTTCATGCATTTTAGAACATTTTAAATTATTTATCTGTGTTTCATTCTTTAAAAAAATAGGCCCAAACTAAATATTAAGTACTTGGATGAAAGCATTAATTTCAAACTATGATCTTATTGTTTGTTAAAAAAATAATTTCTTGTTTCAGTAATTTTGACCAATGCAACCTTCACAAGAGAAAGTATATCTGGTAAACTAGTGATAACAAAATACAGCAGACAATATGACGTCTGCTACGATATGTCCTTCACATTTAAGATGGCAGAATTAGCCTGTTCAGAGCTTGGCTACAGATATGCTGCCATACTCAAGCCAGCGGCCACTGATGATCTGAGTCGCTTCTACATGATGAAAACTTTTTACTGCACGGAATCAGCAAAAAGTCTAGCCCAGTGCCAGACAAGTGTGGGCTACTGCAGCCATGGGCACGTCCGTCTGCTCTGTTATCAGAACCCTCTCAATGGTAAAATATTCATATTGTAAGCCTCAGTGCATGAATAATTGTGGAAATGTTCATAAATTTATCATACTGTAATAAAGTGGGTTTTTAAGTAGCAATTAACCTTCTTTTAGAGACATTCATGAGGTTAATGTTGAGTTTTTATTCAGTTTTTATCTTAATTTATAAAAGGTTGGGAGGGGGCTTATTTTTTAAGATGATGTGTGAGGTAAGGGAGGTAGGATGAGGTAAAAATCATCAGAAAATTAATGTAATGTCTATTACCAATGCCCCCCCCCCCTTTACACAACAGGAATGTTGCAATGCCTAATTAATCCATTGTCAAAACTCTAAAAAAAAAATTTAAATGTACTTAAAAGCTTAAAATTTAAACTAATTTATTTGCTTTAATAGAAAAATATTGGGTCAGAAATAGTTTAAGTAAATTAGGTTTTTTTTTACTTGTATTTCCTTAAAATCTTGTTATTAAAAAATGTTGAATTTTTTAAGAATAGTTTTTATACTTTTTCCACTAGATTTTTCAAAATTGCTTGCCAAAGATTTTTAATTTTACACTGCTGTTTGAACTATTCAAGAACAAATTTATACTGCAGGCCATTTAATCCAATTAGTTACCAGTTGATTGTTTGATTACAGATTTAAATCGCTGGTCTTATAACAGTCAAGCACCAGGTCGACTGAGGTCAGACATACTGGACACGTACTCAGGTGTCATTTGTCCAGTGAACTTCCGTGATGCAGATGCTATTAAAATATGTAAGGCAAACGGTTACATGTCAGGGAAGTCCCTGAGCTCTACACAGATCACAGAGACTAGTGGCAGAGAACTGGTGTGGTTTGGACCCCCTAAATGTTCTACACTAGATGGTGGGGTGGAGCAATGTTCTCTACAGATGAATGTCTCCAGGGAATGTTTGTCTAAGTCCTATTCAGCTGGAGTTCTTTGTTTGAGCAACAGTGGTAAGGGACTTCTTTCTGTTTTGTTCATCAATAGTGATAAGGAATTTCTTTCTGTTTTCCTTTATCACTAGTGGCAAGGAATTTCTTTCTGTTTTCCTTTATCACTAGTGGAATTTCTATCTGATTTCCTTTATCACTAGTGGAATTTCTATCTTATTTCCTTTATCACTAGTGGTAAAGAATTTCTTTCTGTTTTCATTTATCACTAGTGGTAAGGAATTTCTTCCTGCTTTGTTTTAGCAAAATTGTTAAGGAATTTTTTTCAGTTTCATGTCATCTTATAGTTTTGTTTTTTATTTATGTTATTTAGAGATATATAACTAGGAAATATCCTAAACAATTCTAGACACATGCATGTTTGTATCAAGTGATATAACTTCATACAAACAAAATCTAGACACATGCATGTTTATATCAAGTGATATAACTTCATACAAACAAAATCTAGACACATGCATGTTTGTATCAAGTGATATAACTTACTTGACTTAGTCCTCTTTGCTCCTTATGGAGCATAGGGCCTCCACCATTTCCTTCCATTTCTTCCTATCCTCGGCTATTAATTTTGACATCTACCAAGACATCCCTGTTGGCTTCAGTTCTTCAAGAAGACTCACCCAGCGCCACTTCCTCCTTCTTATTGGCACACCAATAGGCTCCTGCCTAGCTTTCCTCCATAGTTCCAAGTTCGGCACTTTGTCCTGCCATCTCAGTTTCAGTATCTGTCTAAGGCATCTATTCATGAAGGTCTGTATCTTTGCTGTGCTTGCCATGGAGACTATCCATACAGCAGAACTGCCTTGACATTAGAGTTAAATATCCTAATTTTTGTGGTAATGGAGATGGCCGAACTTTTCCATATTGGTCGCAGGACTGTGAAAGCGCAGCGGGCTTTATTAACTCTAGCTCGTATGTCCTCCTCTGTGCCTCCCGTTTTGCCGATCTTGCTGCCAAGGTAGACAAACTCTTGCACATCATTTACCTGTCTTCCGTCTATTGTCACTGGAGCCTCCTGTTTATTGTTAATTCTCATCATTTCAAGTGATATAACTTCATACAAACAAAATCTAGACACATGCATGTTTATATCACATGATATAACTTCATACAAAAAAAATCTAGACACATGCATGTTTATATCAAGTGATATATAACTTTCCCACTTACAGACTCCTTTGGCTACAGGCTGATGGACAACACGCGCCAGACCTTGTTTGCTGGTAGGGTGGAGATGAAGGTGGACAATGTCTGGGGGACGGTGTGTAACCAACATGGGGGGTGGCTGCAGGCCCGCGTCTTGTGTAGGGAGCTGGGCTTCATTGATGGCGTTGTTCTGCCCAGCTCACCCAAACGTTATGGCAATGGAACGGGGCCCATTTATTTAAAGGACGTGGCTTGCAACCATGATGATTCTCATTTTTTGGGCTGTCTCAACGCTGGATGGTCCGAAACATCAAACTGCACGCATGCTGATGATTTGGAGGTTATTTGTTACACAAAAGGTAAGTTGGGAAAACAAGCATTCATTTTTTTTTAAGTCTTAATTTTAAAAAAAATCAAATTAAAGTAGCTCTTCCAGACCTAATGATCCATGTGACAGAAGAAGTGGAGTTCATATATTTCTTGACCTCGGCATATAGACAGATGCTGTGGTCAGCAGTATGCCCAGCCACCTTTTCCTAATGTGATTCAGCTACCCATCAAAACTTAGCGCACTCAATGACATCCTCCAGACTTGAGATCAGTCAAGAGACTTCAGTTTGTAGTAAAGCGCTACACTACACAACCAAGGTGTTCCAAAAAAAATGCATTATTAATGTTAAATAATTGTATTGCTTCAAATCACCATTTAAATAGTTTAAGTTAATCCTCTAGTTTGCTACATACCACCATTTAATTAGTTAATCCCCTACTTTGTTTCATCAGAAAGATTCTACCCCTTCCCTGAAAACCATTACCTCTAGTTTGCTACATACCACCATTTAATGAGTTAATCCCCTACTTTGTTTCATCAGAAAGATTCTACCCCTTCCCTGAGAACCATTACCTCTAGTTTGCTACAAACCACCATTTAATTAATTAATCCCCTACTTTGTTTCATCAGAAAGATTCTACCCCTTCCCTGAGAACCATTACCTCTAGTTTGCTACATACCACCATTTAATTAATTAATCCCCTACTTTGTGTCATCAGAAAGATTCTACCCCTTCCCTGAAAACCATTACGGTGCCGTATCTCTGATCTCCAATGGAGCGTATCGTCTCATATGTTCAGACAACTTTACTGACACAGAGGCTTCAGTGTTTTGTTCTGCCATGGGTTACATAGGCGGCGTTTCCATTTGCTGCTCTGGGATCAGTGTCCCACACTCAGTAAGTAATGGCTGGTTAAGTGGCATCACTGTTTCTCTAAAGTCTTATTAATCTCACTTTTTTGTTTTTTGTTCTGTATGTAATGTCAGTCAGTTAATTGATAATATTACAATAATCAAAAGTTAGGTCAAACCTGTGCAGAATCACACATAACAAAATCATCCTTGCTACAGTTTTCTGGTTGAGAAAATAGCCTTTGGGGCAAATGTCCAGCAACCCATTTTAGATAATAATCTTTTCTGTTTTAGGTTTTACTGAATTTTTTAAAGCTGTGTCCTTCTGTTATTCTAAACATTAACACCCCCTGCTCTCCCACTCTATGTCAGTTTATTCATTCTTACCTACTTAAATTAAGTAGTAATAAGTTTAATGCTAGCTGAATGGGGCACTTGTACAACCCAATATTGTTGTATTAATTGACCTCATTTTGAGATTGCTATAAAGTTATGGTACTTGTTTTTACTTGGCAGGAAATAGGAATAAGCCACATGCACTGTGGAGGATCAGAAAAATCTTTGATAAACTGTAGCTTTGCTGAAACACTGGAGAAATCTTCCTGCCCCTCCCAGCTGTATGCTTCAGCTGCTTGCTCTCTCACTCCTCAGTCTGGTAAAAAAATGTTTTTGTTGTCAAGACTTTGTGCACATACATGCAGTAGCTAGATATATTGAGAAATACTCAAGACTTTGTGCACATACATGCAATAGCTAGATATATTGAGAAATACTCAAGACTTTGTGCACATACATGCAATAGCTAGATGTATAGAGAAATAGTCAAGACTTTGTGCACATACATGCAATAGCTAGATGTATAGAGAAATAATCAAGACTTTGTGCACATACATGCAATAGCTAGATATATAGAGAATCTAAATCTACCTTTTTCTTTACTAAGCACAGATTTATATCATAATTGCTTCATGTTATTTACACTTTTAAAACAACCCCAACAGTGTGGGCTAGAAGATAGATAATTTGAGTTTTTATTTATATTCATTTCATGGTTTGTTGTTTTATGTTGTTATACAAAATAGTTGTAATCAAAGTTTTCATTTGTTGAATTGGATTTATGAATATCCATTTTATTAGAATTATTAAGATAATAAAAATTCTTTCATATTTTTTCCCCAGAAAACTATGCTTTATCTTTGGAAAAATCACACTACGGGCGAATTAATATAAATTATTATAGTTTAAATAAATTTATGTGTCATAACAACTTGACAAAAAACATTGCTCAAGTAGTTTGTAGAGAGGCTGGATATAATAATGGGATGGCCTTTGTGAGTGCTGGGTCAGCTGATTTTACCTGGGCAGCTCAAATAGAATGTCAGGGGTCTGAGGCGAGAATTGACAGGTGCTCCAAATTTTCATTAGGGAAGACAAAACCTTGTCAGATGATACCCAGTGTTTACTGTCTGAGAAATAATGGTTGGTATTTTTATTATCTCATTTATTGCCAGTAAATGAATGTGGGATAAATAGGGTTAGCTTTCAATATTTGAATGTTTATTTAGAAGTACATTTTCCTTGCTATTTAATATTTGAATGTTTATTAAGTACATTTTCTTTGCTGTTCAATATTTGAATATTTATCAAGTGCATTTTCTTTGCTGTTTAATTAATGAGTTGGTAATCTCTATAGCAAATATTGTTTTATTTTTAATGGGGAATAGGGGGAGAAAAATCTGAAAATTGTATTAATCCCATCTTATTAAGCATAAAATTGTGTTCTTACAAAATACCAGTGCTTCTAGAATATTAACATTATGAGAAATGAGTTTTAATTTAAATGTTGGGCTCAGGTAAAATTAAAGTATGATTGTACCTCTCCTAATCTGGTGTATTTAGTTGGTTTTTGAGTCTTAAGTTTATGCCTGTGTTATGCTAAGACGGTACCTTCAATACATTTTGAATCAAAATGTGAGTCAAATAACAACATTTTTTAAAACCAATATTTTTATTGTCAACTTTTAAATTGTGTTCCATTAAATAGTAAAACATGTTTTAATAGAAGTTTGATTTTTTTTTCTTGAGGGTTTGTTGTTTTAAAATACACAACTATCACTGTTTACAATTGTTTTTGTTTTCTAAACTCCAGAAGATGATTCTATGCAGTTACAACTTAGAGATGGAACATCAAAAAACATGGGGCGGCTAGAAGTTCAGATAGGTGGTGTGTGGGGGAGTGTGTGCATTAAAAATACACTCAGTGCTAACCATAATGCAGCAGCTGTAATCTGTAAGGAGCTTGGATATAAGTAAGTACAAAAACTAGGACTATAACTGTTAGTTATCAACCATCTCTGATAAAAATGAGTACAAAGACTACGACTATAATCATAAATATAATTTGAATGTCTTCCATGGTTATAATAGTGAGTGTAACTGTAAACAAATAAGCTGAAGTAAAATAAACAATTGCATTGAGTGTAGCTTATTACTTTATAATAGTTTGTTTAACTTTTTCCATTTTTCAGGGATGGAAAAGTTTTGCCACCTGGTACTTTTTCACAAAATGCCGGGCAAATATGGCTGGCAGGCATCAACTGTACGGGATCAGAAACCAGCTTTAAAGACTGCCAGCTCGTCCTGTATACAAACGAGGATAGTGATTGTCAAAGTCATCTTTTTGATCTAGCAATTGAGTGCTATCTAGGCGGTAAGTCACTTTTCTGCTTTGTTGTTTTACTAGTAGATCTACATAAATTGTGGGTTTTTTTTATGTTTTAGATTTTGTTTGAACAAACTGACTCTCTTTTTTTTTTTTAGCTTTTATGCTTTTTCATTTTATTTAGCTTATATATGCTACTTTGTTAGAAATTGATTTGATTTAAGTTTTTATATTTTTATATGTTGTCTTTTATAAAAGCAAGACTTGTCAATGGCCCACCCAATGCTGAAGGCAGAGGTCAACTACAAATCCAGGACAACACAACAGGCAGCTGGCAGTATGTGTGTGATGCTGGGGTGACAGACACAGAGGCAACAGTGGTCTGTGCAAGTCTGGGCTACAAGTTTGGCAAGCAGCAGTGTTGTAGTGCTGCAGGAAGGGTTTCACGTCTGGCAACATTTGTCACATCCATCTCCTGCCGCGGGACTGAGACTGATGTCAACAAGTGCAGCATCACCAGAGGGGGGACCTGTTCCAGCCAGAATTATGCTTATGTCCACTGTAGCAATACAGCTTTTCTTGAGGAAAGTAAGTGACATTTACATTTTATAAACCAATATAACAGGATTATTAAGCAATATATAATCAGTGGGGATCAGAAAATCCTATTTACACTGATGAAGCAACAAAATAATGTGATTGTTTAAGTTTAATAATAAATGGAGTGATCATAATTTATACTGCTATTAAGACAAATATAAATTCAAATATTCCTGAATGGGTAAAATAAAAAGAAGTGGAATACTTATGTTTTTAATAACATCATGTAATTGGTCTGGTGCTTAGGTATTGCATTAGACAAACTAATACTGATGATGGGGTAGGAGTTCAAGAAAACATGGTGGGTTTCTTGTAGGCTCTCCATAATGAGCAGTCATAATAAACTGACTCGATTAATCTTCTTCTTCTTCGTTCTTAATTATTAGTGTTGAAGGGGATCGAGATTTATCTGCCAGTGGGTTTGAACTCGAGACTTTGTTCGAATTAATCAACCATGACCTTTTTGCCGACTCGACCACGCCTCCAACACAATTAAGCGTTACGTGTCAACTGGTTATGCGCCATTGAGGCCATTGACTCCGATTTCAGCCTGCTTTTCTTTTTGGATTTGATTCCATAGCCTTTGTCCAACCAAGAACAATCTACAAGGCAGCAGTTGTTTAATTTTGGAGTTGTCTCTCCTAGAAGAGTGGCTGTCCCCAGCTAACGAGCCTCATCTGCCAGAGGGTTCGAACTCTAGACTTTTCGGTTTAGCAACCATGAGCTTTACCGACTCGACCACGCCGACCCCCTACACGATTAATCAAAGATTAAAGAAACTTTATTAATATATATATTTACTTTTTTTATAACTGCTAGATTTCCTCATTGGACCCATGGAAAGTTTTGTTGGAGTGCCCAAAGTTCACCGTTATGGAATTGAAGGCTATATATGTGCTCAGAATGTAACAGACACTGAGGCAGCTGTTATGTGTAGGGATATGGGATATGTAGGGGGGCGACGTCTGTGGCCGGCCAATGCTTCAGTAAATGAGGTTTGTTTGTTGAATGGACTCAACTGCACAGGCCAGGACAGAAATGTCAGCAGATGTACCTACCCCAGCATGGCCAGTACAGGAACCTGTTTCACCAGACAGTCTGCACAGATACTTTGTCAGAGAACTTTTGGTAGGTTCATCTTTTTAAATGGAAGTTTAAAAGTTATAGTCTGCGCATGAAACAAGTCTAAATGCTGCTTATGATTAGAATTTTGTTGTTGTCTAACATCTTTAGTCTAACCACGTTATGTTATGTAAAAAGAAATTTATTTCCAAAAAACTAAATCTCAAGAAAATGAGTTTTTAAATTAATTCCCGTATTAAAATAGTGAAAAGTATTATGTTAGAACATAATATGTGCATTCTAGTTTTCTGACATTTTACATCTGTGTTCTGGTTGTTTATTTTATTGCCAATACAAATATAACTATCCTTTGGTTTCACAAAAAAGTCGCCATACTGCATTAGTCTTAAATACAGTCATTATCAGGATTCATACCTAAAAGTATATTTTACAACTCATACTACAGAATCAACATAAAAAAAGCAGGCCTATATGTTCATTTCTTTTACTCTTTTCTTTGTCAAACTTATTATAGCTATAAAAAAACTGCTGCATGTGTCTGTAGGTCCATAAGTTCCACACAATGTCTAATTCAAATGATTTTATTTATTTCTGTTACACTGCTACTTGTTTGTCTTCTTCTTATCATTCAATCTTGTTTCTCCTCACTTAGCTACCATATCATACCGCATCAGTTCCGAGACTTCAGCCCATTCAGGTAGAGCTGAGATCATCATTGATGACAAACCATTTCTCATAGAGAGTCGAGGGCTGGGGTCAGATGAAGCGTCAGTGTTCTGCCGCAGTGTTAACGCCAAGATGTACGCCTATGGGAGTTTGTATTCAGGTCAAACAGCAGACGTGTTGCCATCCCTGCAGGTGATGATGTCCAGCGTCATCTGCCAGGGGAATGAGAGCAGCATCCTGGACTGTAAGGCCAACTTTACCCTCAAGTATTTGAGTTCCAGCAGCAAAGTAGCTCACTTCATATGTCATCGTGCTGGTAAAGTTTTTTTTTGTCATGCAAACTTTTTTAGTTTTTTAACCAAGTCTTTATCAAGATTGGATTCCTTATTACCTGATTAAAATGATTTGGTATAGATGCATTAAATATTATTGTTTGAGATCACTAAGTAATATTTGGTTTAATTAATTTGGTTTTATCTGTTGTAGTGGAGCTTGAACAAGGCCCCACTCATTCAGCTGGAATCCTCACACTTTACAACGCCAAGCTGAAAGATTTTGGTGCCATTTGTAATAATAACTTTGGACAGAATGAAACAAGTAAGTGTTCAGTCTTACATTATATTTTATGCTTGAGTTTAATATGATAAGTATAAAAGCAATGAAAAAACCCTTTTAATGCTTAAGCATATTTTAAGCACTAGTACAAAAATTATCTTAAAAAATTCTGTAATCATTTTTTGAATAGTTAATTAATTTCCATGGTTGAATAAAAACGTGCGTTGTTCACAAACATGCACTGGAATCTTTATATTTTATAAAGACTACACAATTAGTTCTATAATAAAATGCGCTTCTATTTTCTCTTCCATACAAAAATATTGCTGAAAATAGCTTTAATTTAAATTTAAACATGAAAAGCTTCTGCCTGATGGTACTTACTGAAATTTTCTAAAATCATCTGACATCAAAGTTTCTAAATTATTGTCTTGTAATCCTCAGCTGTGGCTTGTAGAATGTTGGGCTTTGAAAATGGTCTGACACATTGTTGTCTCCCTTTTGGCTATAACTACTACGACATTTACCACAAGAACTTTAAATGCACTGGGCAGGAGCAGTCTTTGTTTGAATGTCACTACGACTCAGCCCAGGTGTACACACCTTACTTCTGCAGTGGCAGGCAGGATTATGTGGGGCTCACCTGTTACAATGGAACTAAACCCAGAGGTGACCAAAATTATACATCACATAATACAAAGTAATAATTAATGGTTGTTAAAAAATATTTTTGGCTTGCAAATAATGCTCTTGTATGATCTGATTCCTAAAATTCTGTAATCTGACACATTTTAAACTAAATTTGAAACCTCTCTACAAGTACGATTGGATTCCTTCAAGTCTGTCATCCACAAAAAAATTTTAACTACCCCTTTATGATTTGATTCCCACAATTCTGCCCTCCTCCAACAGATTTTCAACTAGCCTTGAAGTCTATTTGTATGATTTGATTCCCACAATTCTGCCCTCCCCCAACAGATTTTCAACTAGCCTTGAAGTCTATTTGTATGATTTGATTCCCACAATTCTGCCCTCCCCCAACAGATTTTCAACTAGCCTTGAAGTCTATTTGTATGATTTGATTCCCACAATTCTGCCCTCCCCCAACAGATTTTCAACTAGCCTTGAAGTCTATTTGTATGATTTGATTCCCACAATTCTGCCCTCCCCCAACAGATTTTCAACTAGCCTTGAAGTCTATTTGTATGATTTGATTCCCACAATTCTGCCCTCCTCCAACAGATTTTACACTAGCTCTGGTAGGATCAAGCAGCAACGCCCACACAGGTCTCCTGCGCGTGACCTACCTGGAGACCCAGGGCTCAGTCTGTAATGACAAGTGGAACGACTCCTCTGCTCGGGTAGCCTGCAGGGAGCTGGGATTTCTTGACGGGAAAGCTTACACACATTTTAGACCTTCCTTCACCTTAAATGATAACGCTGGACCTTTCTGGATCTCTAATGTAACTATTTATCTCTATTTACATTTTATTTTATTATTAGCTTTTACAATGTTAAAGGCCAATATACTATTACATTTTTTACTATTATAACTTAACTAGTTATACTTGCTCCCAACTCCTGTGTATTTAGATTTGTTATCCTCACTCCCATTTGTTGTTTGAAGGTTGAATGCTCAGGAAATGAATCACGTCTAGCAGACTGCAAGCATACAGCTGTTGGTGATGTCACTTCCTGTTCATCTGGTCATTTTGCTGGCCTACTTTGTACTAAAAGTGGAGGTAAGAAAATGTATTGGCCTACTTTGTACAAAAAGTGGAGGTAAGAAAATGTATTGGCCTGCTTTGTACTAAAAGTGGAGGTAAGAAAATGCATTGGCCTACTTTGTACTAAAAGTGGAGGTAAGAAAATGCATTGGCCTACTTTGTACAAAAAGTGGAGGTAAGAAAATACATTGGCCTACTTTGTACTAAAAGTGGAGGTAAGAAAATGCATTGGCCTACTTTGTACAAAAAGTGGAGGTAAGAAAATACATTGGCCTACTTTGTACTAAAAGTGGAGGTAAGAAAATGCATTGGCCTACTTTGTACAAAAAGTGGAGGTAAGAAAATACATTGGCCTACTTTGTACTAAAAGTGGAGGTAAGAAAATGCATTGGCCTACTTTGTACAAAAAGTGGAGGTAAGAAAATACATTGGCCTACTTTGTACTAAAAGTGGAGGTAAGAAAATGCATTGGCCTACTTTGTACAAAAAGTGGAGGTAAGAAAATGCATTGGCCTACTTTGTACAAAAAGTGGAGGTAAGAAAATGCATTGGCCTACTTTGTACAAAAAGTGGAGGTAAGAAAATGCATTGGCCTACTTTGTACTAAAAGTGGAGGTAAGAAAATACATTGGCCTTCTTTGTACAAAAATGGAGGTAAGAAAATGCATTGGAACTACTTTAGATGACATTATTATATTCAAAGATTTTCCTGTTAAAACTGCATTTCTAATGTAAAAAAAATAATATTATGTGTAAAATAAAATTGTAATTAAATATTTGATTATAGTCTGTGATGCAGAATAATTTGGTTTCAGTTATTGATTTTTTAGCATCATCAGTATCAATTGATTTGTTTTTAACTTAGTACTTTTCTCACCCAAACCATCCGTTTCTAAAAAAAAAAATTTTTTTTGTAGAAATTGAGTTCCGTATTTCTGGCACTGATAAAGCCCACTACGGGCGTGTTGAGATTAGCATCAATGGTGTGTGGGGTTCCTTGTGTGATCGCTACTGGGACTCTAGAGATGCCTCTGTACTCTGTCGCCAGCTTGGATTTGTCAATGGAGATGTGTTTGAAACCAGTGGTTTAGTAAGGGCAACAGGTAATCTGTTTTCTCTCTCAAGCAATGTAAAACATGGGATGTTTACTGTGGTCATTGTGGTATGATTAATGGTGGTTAATGTGCTACAGTTAATGTTGGTCTTGATTATTCTATTGTACAATCTGAGAAATCAAATTAAAGTGACCTTGAGATAATTAAAGTCACGACACAAACATGCAACTTTCAGGACCTGTGTGGGAGATCAGCCCCAGGTGTGTGGGGAAAGAAACCAACATCAACATGTGCCCTCATGAGGGCTGGAAATCCAACATCAGCAATTCTTGCTCTGGTCACATGAGGGATGCTGGGGTCTTTTGTTATACTTCTGGTGGGTTCTTTTGTTTGTTTTAATTTGAACCATTTTATGTACTTCTGGTTGGTTCTTTTTTTTTTTTTTTTACATTTTTTAATACTTCTGGTTAGTAAATTTAAAAAAAAAATGTTTGTATACTTTTATTTATTTCAATATTTTTGTTATACAAGCATCACATTTAGTACATTTCCATTCTGTTGTTTAAAAAGAATTATGATATTTTGTTGGAGTAAAAAAAAAGCCTAATGTTAACTTTCTCTTTAAGATAATTCTAAATGATTTAGTCTCTCAGCCACTAATCTGATGAGATAAGACACCCTACTGTATATATAGTTGGGCCTGGTATCACAAATGTTACTGTTGGTTTTATTATTATTGGTGGTAATAGTAATAGTTAACTTATTTCAGTACGGAGAAATACATTCGTAGAAATTTGTTTCTGTTGACAGTAAAACTAGGCACAGGTGCAGGTAAATCGTTCTTCCATGGGCCTGTCCACTACTTTGAAAACGGAGAATGGTATAAGATCTGTGACGACGGTTTCACTGACATGTCAGCCAGGAAGGTGTGTCAGGAGTTGGGTTTCTATGACGGACAGGCTCTCTGCTGCTCCGCCTACGACGGGGAGACTGCAAGCCTTGAGGCCGTCCATGCTAATGTTTCTATCCAGTGCTCAGGGGAAGAGGCCAGCCTCAAGGACTGTGTGCGTATGGAAGTCTGCAGATCTGGTCTCTACGCGTCGGTTGCATGCTTTGAAATCAACTCTACTAAGTCTGATCAGAGTAAATGTCTTTCTATTGTATTTATACGCTTTTGATTTTCTTATATTGAAAAGTGGAAATCTTCTTACTTACCATGTTATAAAGTAGTTTAGTTTCTATGCCTTTGATTTACTTTTGAAGAAAGCTCTGGTTCCTTAGGTCAAACACTAGTTGTTTAACATTTTTTTATTTATTTGAATTGTTTTAGAATAAACAAACAGATGTTAAATTTATAATTAGTTTTGAGATATTTTCCCCTGCAATTATAAACTAGTTACTCTTCCAACAGCGGCTGTAATTCTCTAATACTTCCCATTTTTATTTCAAAAAGTTAATTGTAAAACATCTCCAGCAGTTGACCAAACTTGTGTATGATATTAAACCATGAAATGTTTTCTAATTTCCAGACTACAGTTTAAGTTTGGTGGAGAGCTCACCTGGGATAGGTACCATAGGTGTCACCTACTTGGGGGTGTCAGGTCGCGTCTGTAGCCATGGATGGACTGATAAGGAAGCTAAAGTTTTTTGTAAAGAGAAACGTTACGATGATGGTTTTGCTTACTACCACTCTTATGCTGAGGTAGGTGGAAATGTTTGTGGCCCTGTTGTGAACAAATCTAAGGGAGAAACCTTTTTTAATCATTATCATTGTGGTGGCATAGTTAGATAATTAGATACGTTGCAGGGATATATAAAACAAGTCTATACTGTTATGTTTAATCATTCTTATTGTGGTGGCGTAGATTGTAGATGTTGTAGGTTATAACAAACAAGACGGTAGAGGCTGGATGGCAGAGTAGTTAGTACACAGAATATTGTAGAAATTAAAAGCATTAATTTAGTGAGGAGGAGAACATTCTTAAATATACCCCAGCTCAATGTTCTCAATTAATGATGAGAAATACTGTATAGTGCATTATTTATTCAGATAACTTTCAATGTTCTCAATTAATGATGAGAAATACTGTATAGTGCATTATTTATTCAGATAACTTTCAATGTTCTCAATTAATGATGAGAAATACTGTATAGTGCATTATTTATTCAGATAACTTTCAATGTTCTCAATTAATGATGAGAAATACTGTATAGTGCATTATTTATTCAGATAACTTTCAATGTTCTCAATTAATGATGAGAAATACTGTATAGTGCATTATTTATTCAGATAACTCTCAATGTTCTTAATTAATGATGAGAAATACTGTATAGTGCATTATTTATTCAGATAACTTTCTAAAAAATATTGTGCATGGAGTTACTGCTTCAAGAGAATTATCAGTAGATATCATTGTGTATCAACTATTGAGTTATCATCTTATGTTGTCAGATGCATGGAAATAAGTCTTTTATGGTCTTCTTCACACAGTAAAACAGATAAGTTGCAGAGATATATAGATAAAGTCTATCTACAGTTTTTATCAAAGTGTCTCACATATTTTTGGAAGCTTACCACATAACATCACACTCATATAAATACAGGCTGTAAAATTTTGTTACAAATGTTTTAGTGATCATGAGTTCACAATTCTAAATATATTTTAAAAGCATAATAGCTTTTGATTTTGTTAAAATATTTATATGTAAAAACAACTATTTACTACCTTGGTTCCCGGAAGATTCATGGGCAAATGTTATGTTAACTTCTGAAGCTTTTTGTTGTTGTTGTTCCCACATAATTGATGGTTAAATTTTTTTATTTTAGAGCTACATCTCAGCCTCCAGCCTAGGTCCCTATTGGTTGAGTAATGTCACATGGTTAAATGTTTTGTTGTTTTAGAGCTACATCTCAGCCTCCAGCCTAGGTCCCTATTGGTTGAGTAATGTCACATGGTTAAATGTTTTGTTGTTTTAGAGCTACATCTCAGCCTCCAGCCTAGGTCCCTATTGGTTGAGTAATGTCACATGGTTAAATGTTTTGTTATTTTAGAGCTACATCTCAGCCTCCAGCCTAGGTCCCTATTGGTTGAGTAATGTCACATGGTTAAATGTTTTGTTGTTTTAGAGCTACATCTCAGCCTAGGTCCCTATTGGTTGAGTAATGTCACATGGTTAAATGTTTTGTTGTTTTAGAGCTACATCTCAGCCTCCAGCCTAGGTCCCTATTGGTTGAGTAATGTCACATGGTTAAATGTTTTGTTGTTTTAGAGCTACATCTCAGCCTCCAGCCTAGGTCCCTATTGGTTGAGTAATGTCACATGGTTAAATGTTTTGTTATTTTAGAGCTACATCTCAGCCTCCAGCCTAGGTCCCTATTGGTTGAGTAATGTCACATGGTTAAATGTTTTGTTGTTTTAGAGGTACATCTCAGCCTCCAGCCTAGGTCCCTATTGGTTGAGTAATGTCACATGGTTAAATGTTTTGTTATTTTAGAGGTACATCTCAGCCTCCAGCCTAGGTCCCTATTGGTTGAGTAATGTCACATGGTTAAATGTTTTGTTGTTTTAGAGCTACATCTCAGCCTCCAGCCTAGGTCCCTATTGGTTGAGTAATGTCACATGGTTAAATGTTTTGTTGTTTTAGAAGTACATCTCAGCCTCCAGCCTAGGTCCCTATTGGTTGAGTAATGTCACATGGTTAAATGTTTTGTTGTTTTAGAGCTACATCTCAGCCTCCAGCCTAGCTCCCTATTGGTTGAGTAATGTCACATGGTTAAATGTTTTGTTATTTTAGAGGTACATCTCAGCCTCCAGCCTAGGTCCCTATTGGTTGAGTAATGTCACATGGTCAAATGTTTTGTTGTTTTAGAGGTACATCTCAGCCTCCAGCCTAGGTCCCTATTGGTTGAGTAATGTCACATGGTTAAATGTTTTGTTATTTTAGAGCTACATCTCAGCCTCCAGCCTAGGTCCCTATTGGTTGAGTAATGTCACATGGTTAAATGTTTTGTTGTTTTAGAGGTACATCTCAGCCTCCAGCCTAGGTCCCTATTGGTTGAGTAATGTCACATGGTTAAACATTTGTTATTTTAGAGCTACATCTCAGCCTCCAGCCTATTGGTTGAGTAATGTCACATGGTTAAATGTTTTGTTGTTTTAGAGCTACATCTCAGCCTCCAGCCTAGGTCCCTATTGGTTGAGTAATGTCACATGGTTAAATGTTTTGTTGTTTTAGAGGTACATCTCAGCCTCCAGCCTAGGTCCCTATTGGTTGAGTAATGTCACATGGTTAAATGTTTTGTTATTTTAGAGCTACATCTCAGCCTCCAGCCTAGGTCCCTATTGGTTGAGTAATGTCACATGGTTAAATGTTTTGTTGTTTTAGAGCTACATCTCAGCCTCCAGCCTAGGTCCCTATTGGTTGAGTAATGTCACATGGTTAAATGTTTTGTTGTTTTAGAGCTACATCTCAGCCTCCAGCCTAGGTCCCTATTGGTTGAGTAATGTCAAATGGTTAAATGTTTTGTTGTTTTAGAGCTACATCTCAGCCTCCAGCCTAGGTCCCTATTGGTTGAGTAATGTCACATGGTTAAATGTTTTGTTGTTTTAGAGGTACATCTCAGCCTCCAGCCTAGGTCCCTATTGGTTGAGTAATGTCACATGGTTAAATGTTTTGTTGTTTTAGAGCTACATCTCAGCCTCCAGCCTAGCTCCCTATTGGTTGAGTAATGTCACATGGTTAAATGTTTTGTTATTTTAGAGGTACATCTCAGCCTCCAGCCTAGGTCCCTATTGGTTGAGTAATGTCACATGGTTAAATGTTTTGTTGTTTTAGAGGTACATCTCAGCCTCCAGCCTAGGTCCCTATTGGTTGAGTAATGTCACATGGTTAAATGTTTTGTTGTTTTAGAGCTACATCTCAGCCTCCAGCCTAGGTCCCTATTGGTTGAGTAATGTCACATGGTTAAATGTTTTGTTGTTTTAGAGCTACATCTCAGCCTCCAGCCTAGGTCCCTATTGGTTGAGTAATGTCAAATGGTTAAATGTTTTGTTGTTTTAGAGCTACATCTCAGCCTCCAGCCTAGGTCCCTATTGGTTGAGTAATGTCACATGGTTAAATGTTTTGTTGTTTTAGAGCTACATCTCAGCCTCCAGCCTATTGGTTGAGTAATGTCACATGGTTAAATGTTTTGTTGTTTTAGAGCTACATCTCAGCCTCCAGCCTAGGTCCCTATTGGTTGAGTAATGTCACATGGTTAAATGTTTTGTTATTTTAGAGCTACATGTCAGCCTCCAGCCTAGGTCCCTATTGGTTGAGTAATGTCACATGGTTAAATGTTTTGTTGTTTTAGAGCTACATCTCAGCCTCCAGCCTAGGTCCCTATTGGTTGAGTAATGTCACATGGTTAAATGTTTTGTTATTTTAGAGCTACATCTCAGCCTCCAGCCTAGGTCCCTATTGGTTGAGTAATGTCACATGGTTAAATGTTTTGTTGTTTTAGAGGTACATCTCAGCCTCCAGCCTAGGTCCCTATTGGTTGAGTAATGTCACATGGTTAAATGTTTTGTTGTTTTAGAGCTACATCTCAGCCTCCAGCCTAGGTCCCTATTGGTTGATTAATGTCACATGGTTAAATGTTTTGTTATTTTTGAGCTACATCTCAGCCTCCAGCCTAGGTCCCTATTGGTTGAGTAATGTCACATGGTTAAATGTTTTGTTGTTTTAGAGCTACATCTCAGCCTCCAGCCTAGGTCCCTATTGGTTGAGTAATGTCACATGGTTAAATGTTTTGTTATTTTAGAGCTACATCTCAGCCTCCAGCCTAGGTCCCTATTGGTTGAGTAATGTCACATGGTTAAATGTTTTGTTGTTTTAGAGCTACATCTCAGCCTCCAGCCTAGGTCCCTATTGGTTGAGTAATGTCACATGGTTAAATGTTTTGTTGTTTTAGAGCTACATCTCAGCCTCCAGCCTAGGTCCCTATTGGTTGAGTAATGTCACATGGTTAAATGTTTTGTTATTTTAGAGCTTCATGTCAGCCTCCAGCCTAGGTCCCTATTGGTTGAGTAATGTCACATGGTTAAATGTTTTGTTGTTTTAGAGGTACATCTCAGCCTCCAGCCTATTGGTTGAGTAATGTCACATGGTTAAATGTTTTGTTATTTTAGAGCTACATGTCAGCCTCCAGCCTAGGTCCCTATTGGTTGAGTAATGTCACATGGTTAAATGTTTTGTTGTTTTAGAGGTACATCTCAGCCTCCAGCCTATTGGTTGAGTAATGTCACATGGTTAAATGTTTTGTTGTTTTAGAGCTACATCTCAGCCTCCAGCCTAGGTCCCTATTGGTTGAGTAATGTCACATGGTTAAATGTTTTGTTGTTTTAGAGCTACATCTCAGCCTCCAGCCTAGGTCCCTATTGGTTGAGCAATGTCACATGCCAAGGGAGTGAAGCAAGACTGATAGACTGCCAGCATCAAGGGAGGTTAACTCTGGGGAACTGCACCAAGGCCCACTCAGCTGCTGTTGTTTGTTTCTCCACCACAGGTTGGTAGCTGTTGCACTATTTTAGTACATCTACCTAACTTATTATAATCATGATGGAATCTAATATAATACTTGTAGCTATCTTAAACTTATTAATGTATAAAATTACAACTGTTCCAAAGCCAAACTTTTCATATGCTGATCAAGGTTTGGGGCCAAAATCTTAAAAATGGTTGGACTGGCTTATGAAATAGTTCAAATGTAAAGTTTAGCTACATTAAAATTAGTTTTAAATGTATAAGGTACATAGACTATGCTGGTGCTGACTGATTTAGACAGATTAGACCCTTAAAGTGATTAGAAGTTTTATAGTTGACAGATTATTCATTGCCAGCCAGATTTTTAACAATTAATATGCCGTACTCCTCAACAGAATTATTAAAAACTTTAATTTCCCCAGAAAAAATATTTAAAAACCTATCTAGTATATGTTTGTTGTATTTTATGCTAAATTTTATTTAAATTTGCTTTTACTCAAGGTGTTCAGTACAGACTGAAGGGAGCAAACTCTAACCAAACAAATTCTGGTAGAATAGAGATGGCTATTGATGACAAATGGGGCACCATCTGTGGTCGCTCCTGGGACAACAGAGATGCTGGTGTGGCCTGTAAACAGATAGGCTTTACTGATGGTGAAGCCGAGGCTCCGGGAAAATATGGCAGAGGTGATGGCCCCACCTGGCTCAGGGACATCCACTGTAAGGGAGATGAATCCGCCCTGCATAAATGTCCTCACACTGGCTTCCAAGCAGATCCTCCAGAACAGAATGCCTTCCCTTGGCTACCAACACCATGTTCAGACCATAATGATGATGCCACTTTGTTCTGCTTCCAGGATGGTGAGTACAACTCCGTCATGGTGTGTAGGTTGGCTAATTGCTGCTGGACTGGTCAGACTAATTTATTATTCTGTTTTAACCTACAACTCACTCATACTATGTAGGCTGGCTAATTGGTGCTGGACTGGTCAGACTAATTTATTATTCTGTTTTAACCTACAACTCAGCCTTGTTGTGTAGGTTGGCTAATTGAAGTAGGAGTGGTCACACTAATTATTCAAAGTTTTTAACCACAACTCAGTCATGCTGGGTAGGTTGACTAATTGGTACTGGGCTGGTCAGACTTATTAATTATTCAAAGTTGTTGGGAATAGTTTGAACCCTGGGCCAATGGGGCTTAGCTGTGGTCAGCCACCAATCTAGGAAACAAATCCAAATTAAAAAGCAAGCTAAAGTTGGAGTTGATAGCCCATTATGTTGAACATAATACATTGTCTGAGTTGGAGGAAATTCCCTCCAATTTTACAATTAAGAACTAAAAAAAAAGAAGAGGAAATCTTTTTATAAACTATTAAATAATTAAGTAATTGATATTTAGCTTTTAATTAAAAACCAATTATAATTGAATTTATTTTCTGTGGTTAAACCATTAGTAATGTTTAATTTTAGTTGTGTAAACTAGCAACCCTTGACTGTCTATGTTTTACATTTCCCTACCAGTGAAGCTGCAGCAGAAACTAGGGGTCACCAGTGGGGCTCTGCTCTACAGCCACAACAAGAGATGGGTTTACATTTGTGACTCGGATACCTTCACTCAGAGAGAGGCCAAGGTTGCATGCAAAAGTTTGTTGCAGAACTTTGTTGATGGCGTCGCTATACGTGGTGGTTTGTTTGGTGACATGGATGCTGCCTTGTCCATTGGTGTTACTTCTGTTACCTGCTCAGGTAAGGTTTATGTGTTTTACAATTGTTTGACTAAATTAAGGAGATTTTAGCAGAGATTATTTATATTTTAAAAGTTAAAGCTTAATATACATTCAGACCTATTCAGAATTCATTTTTTTATATTTAAAAAATAGGTTTAATTAATAACAATGATTTGTTTCTCTATATAAAGTTAAAATAGCCTAATTAAAGTGTTATTTAGTCCAGTTTAAATCTCCCATGTAGCCCACCTGATGTAGCTTTGCTTGATCCTGCAGGTCCAGAAACCTCCCTGTCCCAGTGTCAGGTGACCTCCACTGGAAACTGTACATCAAAAACCTACATCTCAGTTGCTTGTTTCACTCAACCTTTGACCTCTGAGGATTTCAGTAAGTTGACCTCAGTCATGGATGGTTTGACTGTTTTTCTGACATAAATTTTAAATTTTTGAAAGAAGTGCAAAGCATATGAGACTCAATAAGGATGGTGGTGTCATTTACATATTCACCTGTTAGCATCATTATTAGTTACATATGGCAAACACTGCTATACTATAATTCTGTATTACTTTTAATATTATGCATTTTACTTTGAGATCTTAAAAGTTTCAATGCTACATTTTACAAATAGAAAGCCACAAAATTGAGTATGGTGCAAAAACAACTTAGGTGATCAATTTTAGCATTTAGTCAATATGGAATGTTCTAATGATAAATGTGAGCATTTAGTTAACAAGATGTTCTAATGATAAATGTGAGCATTTAGTTAACAAGATGTTCTAATGATAAATGTGAGCATTTATTTCACAAGATGTTCTAATGATAAATGTGAGCATTTAGTTCACAAGATGTTCTAATGATAAATGTGAGCATTTAGTTCACAAGATGTTCTAATGATAAATGTGAGCATTTAGTTAACAAGATGTTCTAATGATAAATGTGAGCATTTAGTTAACAAGATGTTCTAATGATAAATGTGAGCATTTAGTTAACAAGAAGTTCTAATGATAAAGTTAACAAGATGTTCTAACACTGTGTACAGAGTTTAAAGTCAGGTTGTCAGATGACACAATCAAAACAAATGAGAATCATGGGATACTGGAGGTTCGTGTCAATGGAGCCTGGGGCAGGGTCTGTAACAACAACTTTACAGAGCTGGAGGCCAATGTGGCATGCAAACAAATTGGAAATTACACTGGTAACATTTATAGGCTTTTTTTTTTCATTTTTTTATAATTAGTTATGCTGTTATATTGTTTTCCAGCTTAAAAGTATTTGAACTAAACCTACAGATTCTCCTGTATTAGCGTGAATGTTAAGTCCACTCCACTTTGTTCAGGTGGCGTCCCCTATCTACATTTATTCCGGAATCGCCTACCAGTGCTGTGGAATCAAGTCACTTGTTCTGGACATGAAAGTTCTTTAGATCAGTGCCAGCACTCCAGCCTCCACCATCCCAACTGTTCTTATGAGTCTAATGATGCTGGGGTCATTTGCTATAGGGGTGAAGGTATGGTATACACTGCTGTAAGGGGGATGGTATGTCATTCAGTGCTTTAAAGGGGAGGGTATGTTATCCACTGCTTTAAGGAGGTTGGTATGTTATACACTGCTGTAAAGGGGATGGTATGTCATTCAGTGCTTTAAAGGGGAGGGTATGTTATCCACTGCTTTAAGGAGGTTGGTATGTTATACACTGCTGTAAAGGGGATGGTATGTCATTCAGTGCTTTAAAGGGGAGGGTATGTTATCCACTGCTTTAAGGAGGTTGGTATGTTATACACTGCTGTAAAGGGGATGGTATGTCATTCAGTGCTTTAAAGGGGAGGGTATGTTATCCACTGCTTTAAGGAGGTTGGTATGTTATACACTGCTGTAAAGGGGATGGTATGTCATTCAGTGCTTTAAAGGGGAGGGTATGTTATCCACTGCTTTTTACCTTTGTTTATATGGACAGTTATAGTTTAGCTTTGTTTATACCTATCTCTAATGTATATGAATGTTTATATTCTGATTAATGAAATGTGTTGTATCTATTGTTTCAGGTGTAAAATACAGGCTGAGGGGAGGTAAATCTGCCCAAGTAGGAAGAGTTGAAATAGGTATAGATGGGAAGTTTGGCACAGTGTGTGGCATCAACTGGCACGCAGCCAACTCCAGGGTGTTGTGTAGGTCCCTGGGCTATGTGGACGGTGTACCATCACACGAGGTCAACTCTTCACTCACCAGCATGGATCCCTACATGAGCTTTTTCCTGTGTGATGGCACAGAGAAAAATTTGTTCTCCTGTTTGAATTCTGGATTTGATGGTGGGAATCATGTTTTTATATGCGGAGGTGACTCATACACTCAGTGCTACAATGAAGAAGTCAGTAAGTCTAACATTGTTGTGTTACACTCATGGTTTTCTTGTATACTTCATGTAGTCTAGCTACAAGGATTGGCTTTCTTGAATAATTTATTTACTGTAGGTATTCTTCTATAGCCGGCAGTAAAAATATTCCAAATTATTTTGTTTACAGACTAGTGAAACTTAAGTGGATTTATTTAAATTAAATTTTTTTTTTAAAATACTGAAAAATTATTTAATATGAAATACTTAACATTTAGCAGATTAATGAGAATTGTGTCTAGTATTCTATTTAGTAAAGACATTCAAGATTTGTTTCTGGAAAATAAAAAATTGAAATATTTGAAAAAGTTTTATTTGAAGAAACAAATTTAAATAAACCGGGAGTGATCTCCCCTAAACTTTCTCGAATATTCTTATATAAAACAACAGGGGATGGGAACTCGGGCTATTGACATGATTTTTAATCCATTTTAAATACTTAAAGTTTTAAAAATAGAATAAAATCTCGTAGACAAAATAATTGCACGCCAAGTGAACTAGTGAACGCCAAATAAAAAAGTGCACAATAGCGCGCAATATTATTAGTACTTTAAAAATTTACATTAGTTTTTTGAGAAATCGGAAGTAGCGTAAATTACTACTTCCGGTCAACGGAAATTACTCAAAATTTAACAGAAGGTAGAGAATTAGATTTTTTACTTACATGTGAAATTTCATTTATCTATCTGAAATAGTACTCAAGTTATAGGCTTTTGAAAAATTCAAAGTAGGAAAAGTACCACTTCCGGTTATCGGAAATCGCTCAAAAGTTGATACGGATCTACGATTTTGATAAAATACTTATATATGAAATTTCATCAACCTAGCTATAACGGTACTCAAGTAATCGTGTTTACACACGGACACACACACAGACACACAGACATACGGACAGAATTGCAAAGCCCAGTTTTTCAGACTGGATTACGCATAAAACCTCTTAATTTTGATAAATCTGGATTGATAATTTTTGCCCGATTAAAATAAGTCCTCTATACTTCGGATGTGATGAAGGACTGAGGTGTAATACGGTGAAAATTGTTAAAATTTCAAGTGATTTTTGTGCACGATTACAATACTTTCTCTATACTTCGTATATACGAGAAAGTAAAAACAAGCATTAACCCAACAATATAGTCAAATGAAACAATAAAAAGCAACTGAAAATCTATAAATTATTCAACTAAACAATCAATTGAAATTTAGGAAGACACCCAAAAAGATTAAATTAAAAAAAATTATTTTTAAAAATATTTCATGTCTAGCCTAAAATATTAAAATATAACTAGATGACCCAACTGACATCAAATTTGACTTCTATTCAATTGGTTGCAGCTTTAGACAATACATTGACGTATTTAAGACTAAGAAAATTGAAATTTAAAACACATAATTTTTGTGATTTGTTCAATGACTTTAAAAAGTATTTATCTTTTTTCTTGTGTTAGAGATCACAAACTTTAGAATAGGAGATGGCCAGGAGAGTGAAGGACGAGTTGAAGTTTTTGCCTCAGGGATGGGGGTCTGGGGGACTGTCTGTGATGATGACTGGGATGATACAGATGCTGGAGTCTTCTGTAGAGCACTGGGCTTTGATGATGGTAGGTTGAACACTGGACTTTGGTGATGGTAGGTTGAACAATGGGCTTTGATGATGGTAGGTTGATAGGTTGAACACTGGGCTTTGATGAGGGTAGGTTGAACACTTTGATGATGGTAGGTTGTACACTTTGATGATGGTAGGTTGTACACTGGGCTTTGATGATGGTAGGTTGTACACTTTGATGATTGTTAGGTTGAACACTGGGCTTTGATGAGGGTAGGTTGAACACTTTGATGATGGTAGGTTGTACACTTTGATGATGGTAGGTTGTACACTGGGCTTTGGTGATAGTAGGTTGAACACTTTGATGATGGTAGGTTGTACATTTTGATGATGGTAGGTTGAACACTTTGATGATGGTAGGTTGAAGACTGGGCTTTCATGATGTTAGGTTGAACACTTTGATGATGGTAGGTTGTACACTGGGCTTTGGTGATAGTAGGTTGAACACATTGATGATGGTAGGTTGAACACTGGGTTTTGATGATGGTAGGTTGAACACTTTGATGATGGTAGGTTGTACACTTTGATGATGGTAGGTTGTACACTGGGCTTTGGTGATAGTAGGTTGAACATTTTGATGATGGTAGGTTGTACACTTTGATGATGGTAGGTTGAACACTTTGATGATGGTAGGTTGAACACTGGGCTTTGATGATGGTAGGTTGAACACTGGGCTTTGATGATGGTAGGTTGAACACTGGGCTTTGATGATGGTAGGTTGTACACTTTGATGATGGTAGGTTGAACACTGGGCTTTGATGATGGTAGGTTGAACACTGGGCTTTGATGATGGTAGGTTGAACACTGGGCTTTGATGATGGTAGGTTGAACACTGGGCTTTGATGATGGTAGGTTGAACACTGGGCTTTGATGGTGGTAGGTTGAACAATGGGCTTTGATGATTGTAGGTTGAACACTGGGCTTTGATGATGGTAGGTTGTACACTTTGATGATGGTAGGTTGAACACTGGGCTTGTTTGAAATCTGGGCTTGTTTGAAATCTGGGCTTTGATGATGGTAGGTTGAACACTGGGCTTTGATGATGGTAGGTTGTACACTGGGCTTTGTTGAAATCTGGGCTTTGATGATGGAAGGTTGAACACTGACCTTTGATGATGGTAGGTTGAACACTGGGCTTTGATGATGGTAGGTTGTACAATGGGCTTTGATGATGGTAGGTTGAACACTGGGCTTTGATGATGGTAGGTTGTACACTGGGCTTTGTTGATGGTAAGTTGAACATTAGGCTTGGTTGAAATCTGGGCTTTGATGATGGTAAGTTGAACACAGCCTTGAGGTGCATGTGATTTGTATGTCCCATCAAACAATTTAAATCAGATTACAGCAGAGTTAAATTGTTTAATAGGTGAGACCTAACACATTAGAATAACATTTTATAAGTACTAATGAAACTTTATAATAATTCACTATGTAAAAGAGAAAAAAAGTGGATTGAATTCTTTCTCCTTTCAGATCTGATGTTCCATAGTGTAGATGAAGTAGAGTCATCACTTTATTAATCTGTATGCCCGTCTGCCTTTACTTTCCGTAATAAATCAGGTACCCAACAGAGTTGGGTGGACTTAGAGATGTCCTACAGACTCAAGTCTGAGAACAGAGCTCAAACTTTCAGGTTGAGCTCATATGTTTATTAATGCTGACATATTGAACTCCAATCAACCCAGCCACGTGAAATGTTAACTATTTGAGCCTCTATTTTGCCAGGTGTTGCCAGATCAGGCAGCTACAAGCTGGGTACCGGTGACATCCTGCTGGACGACGTCAGCTGTAAGGGCACAGAGAAATCTTTCTCTCAGTGTCAGCACAAGGGCATCGCGACACACAACTGTGAGCACTCTGAAGATGCTGGGGTTCAATGTTTTAGTAAGTTATTCCAATCTTTCTGTACTATATTGGGGTTCAATGCTTTAGTAAGTTGTTCCAATCTTTCTGTACTGTGTTGGGGTTCAATGGTTTAGTAAGTTATTACAATATTTCTGTACTATATTGGTGTTCAATGGTTTAGTAAGTTATTACAACATTTCTTTATTATATTGGGGTTCAGTGCTTTAGTAAGTTATTCCAATCTTTCTTTAGTAAGTTATTCCAACCTTTGTTTATTATATTGGGGTTCAGCGCTTTAGTAAGTTATTCCAATCTTTCTGTATTATATTGGGGTTCAATGCTTTAGTAAGTTATTACATTTCTTTATTATATTGGGGTTCAGTGCTTTAGTAAGTTATTACAATCTTTCTGTACTGTGATGGTGTTCAATGCTTTAGTAAGTTATTACAATATTTCTGTACTATATTGGGGTTCAATGATTTAGTAAGTTACTACAATATTTCTGTACTATATTGGGGTTCAATGCTTTAGTAAGTTACTACAATATTTCTGTACTATATTGGTGTTCAATGATTTAGTAAGTTACTACAATATTGCTGTACTATATTGGGGTTCAGTGCTTTAGTAAGTTACTTACAATATTTCTGTACTATATTGGTGTTCAATGCTTTAGTAAGTTATTACAATCTTTCTGTACTATATTGGTGTTCAATTCTGTACCAAATATCCACCTGTATCTGCAGTATCACAAACTAGAAATGCATAAATCCTTTTAATTTAGCTGTGATCAATAAACTTTTACATTTACCCTATAGATTAAAGAATGATTATATGTGATAATAGTTAATAACTAGACAGGTATGGCTATCTTGTATTTGCTAATGAAAGGACAAAATATTTTCACAGATCATACAAGAACAACAACTGTACAAGTTTCAACAACTGGTCCACCAACAACTGTTAGGACCACACCCACCCCTAAACCTACCATGACAACAACTTTACCACTTACCACCACCAAACTCTCCACTCCCTCAACAACCACAGCATCAACAACAACAACAACATCCAGTAGTACCAGCACAACCACACCCAGTGATCTGGAGACTCAGCAACAAGCGGACCAAGAGGAGAAAAAGAATACAGTCGTCATTGCAGCCTGCATTGTCATTGTTGTTGCCATCACTCTCATCGTTGTCATCGTTGTGGTGGTGCTGCGATACAAAGGCCACTTCAAGCTTGGGATCCCCCATGAGAGGTTCCACAACGAGATAGAGCAGACGCAGGACATGTCTGTAGCTGTGCCCAACAGGATGTTTGACATCTCCAACCCCAGCAACTTTGACCCCATGAGCCAGTACATGGCTGAAGGCCCAGAGGTCCATCTTGACCGCGCGGGATATGTCACGTTCTCCAAGGGTACCCCCCCAGAAACAAAAGACCAAGATGGACACACAGGTTTTGTTAACCCTTTATACTCCGCAGTGACACAACCTGTGACCACAGACCTTGACCATACAGACAGCAGCCATTACTCTGTCACCTGAGACATTCAAAATTGTTTAGTTCATGTGAATAATTGTTTCGTTTACTGCAACATATTTATGTTGTTGTTTTTTTTTATTATTGAAAAAATATCCATCATTCTTTCATTTTACTATGTTTAATGTTTTACAATTATTACGGCGCATATACAATAACATTTATTCATTGACAAAGCTAAAATAGAAATCCTTGTTTTAATGACTCAAGCATGCATATAAGCAGAAAATATGTAATAAAATTTAAACTAGCAATTATTTATTTCTTACATTTATTTTAGAAATAAATAATATATGCTTATTCTCAGTTAGTTTTTTTTAAATCCATGATTTTTATGAACAATCCACAAAAAAATTAACTAATTTTTAAAACTGCAAATTAATTGTAATCATGAATAATAATTTGAAGAATTTTTATACAATTGTGTTTTTTAAAATGTATATTTATTTTCCTCTTGTGCTATGTATATTTCATGGTAAAATCTTTTTAGATTGTTAGATATAATTCACAACTTATCGTTGATATTTAAAAATTAATATAAGTAATTTGTCCTTGTAAACAAGAGAATATTTGAAGTTTGGAGATGACCAGACTTAAATAATTATTGCAAGACTTTTTTAATCACTTGTGTAACATATAATGCTAGGTTAATTTTGTCATTTTATAAAAGTTTGTTGATGTTATAGCTTCTTCCTGGTTAAAAATATGTTTAAGTCTTGAAAGAAAATTATGTGAGTTTAATTATTAATTGATTCTTTTATTTAGAATATCAGGAAAAAAAAAGGTGTATTAATTTTCTCTTAGAAGTTTAACATTAACACCACGATGTAGAATGTATTAAGTTACATCCCTACTGATACCATCCTAACAGGAGTTAATGTGTGGTTTATTTTTCTCTGTGACATGATAAAAAAATACTGTTAGAGTTGATTTAAAAAGATTTACCATGCACATGTTGTAATTTAACTTTTATTACGTTATTATGAAAACTGTTTGTTACAAGCTCAAATAACAGGAGTGTACTGTAACCATTGCCATTCCACTATGCAAGTATATAGCAGTGATTGTTTTGAAAATCTTTCTAACAAGTCTACTTCAACAATTGCCATTCCACTATGCAAGTATATAGCAGTGATTGTTATAAAAATCTTTCTAACAAGTCTACTTCAACAATTGCCATTCCACTATGCAAGTATCCAATAATTAATGTGAAAATTACTTTGCCTGTGCTATACTCCAGTTCTCATCACATAAAAAAAGGTTATGTTATTTTTTTAAATTTGGCAATAACTTTTTTGAAATATTAAGTATTTTAAAAACTTTTTATCTTTTAATTTTATTAAATACTACAAACGATGTTAATTAAAAAAATATTCCTTAAAAATGTTTCTGCTTCATTTGAATTAATTTATAAAAACTGGTTGATTCTGCCTTCCTTGAAAGTTTGTCTACAGTTGTTGCATAATTCAACACCTCACACAACTGTTTTTCATTATGTATTTTGCAAAACTTAGATCAAATTCAAAATTTGAACAGTTTGCGCAGCTTATTCCTATTTTTTAAAATTATATGCAATACTAACATAAATATTTATAATTTAATAAAATATACTTTTCTAATGTAAATAGTTATTTGTCTTTTCTTTTTGAATGTTGAATGTAAATCCCAGATAGAGCATGTGAAATGGTTGTCTAATACAATGAATGTAAGCAAAAATATGACATCAAACTGGTATTAGCAACATTGAAAATTTTAAAAATGTAGGCCTATGTGTCTTTAAAAACAACAGATGAGCATTACACATTCAGAGACAAATTGTATTTTATTAAAAGTTTAAAAATGTAAGAAATTCAATTTTTTTTAAAAGTATGAGGTCTCAGGGCTTGTAGCTGGACATGAGATCAACAGACCATGGGCTGCCCATTATGATACCTCTCTTGACCTGCTGGTATTGCTAAATATTCCAAAATGACAAATTTAAAAAAAAGCTGTTTGAAAATAAATATTTTTTATTTACTTGTATTAAATGAAAACAAATGGAAGAAAAATCACCATACAAGAAGTTCAAACAACTATCAGCATATGGTTGTTTTTTTTTTTTTTGGAACAGTAACTGGCCGTAAATCACTAGACTTCACATCTGATAGCTTTAAACTTGGAAAAAAGACAAGAGGTTAAGCTTTACTAATCACAAATATCTGATACATAGCTGGACATTGAAACAAGCAATTAACAGTATAGCGAGTCTCTTGCCTAGTGTTGAAAAACATTTAAAGTGGAAAGAGAATTTTACCACAGAATAAATCGTTTAATTAGAAAGACAAGTACACCAACATCAGCAGTATATCAGAAATAGAAAAGTTTAAAAAAAACATTTTAAGCACCATCTGTGAATCTTCCTGTAAGATACTGAGTCCCCCCACCCCTTACCCACAAATATATTTATTTACACATAAAAGGACTCCACAGACTAAAGAAGTAGCTGCAACAAGTACCCTCAATTCAGAGAGAAGAGTTGTTGAGAGGATCTTTACCCTAGTTGTTGAGAGGATCTTTACCCTAGACCAGCACAAGCTTGTAAGAGAGTTGTTGATGGAGTGTTGAGAGGATCTTTACCCTAGACCAGCACAAGCTTGTTAGAGAGTTGTTGATGGAGTGTTGAGAGGATCTTTACCCTAGTTGTTGATGGAGTGTTGAGAGGATCTTTACCCTAGTTGTTGATGGAGTGTTGAGAGGATCTTTAGATCAGCACAAGTTTGTTAGAGAGTTGTTGATGGAGTGTTGAGAGGATCTTTAGACCAGCACAAGCTTGTTAGAGAGTTGTTGATGGAGTGTTGAGAGGATCTTTACCCTAGTTGTTGATGGAGTGTTGAGAGGATCTTTACCCTAGACCAGCACAAGTTTGTTAGAGAGTTGTTGATGGAGTGTTGAGAGGATCTTTACCCTAGTTGTTGATGAAGTGTTGAGAGGATCTTTACCCTAGACCAGCACAAGTTTGTTAGAGAGTTGTTGATGGAGTGTTGAGAGGATCTTTACCCTAGTTGTTGATGGAGTGTTAAGAGGATCTTTAGCCTAGTTGTTGATGGAGTGTTGAGAGGATCTTTAGACCAGCACAAGCTTGTTAGAGAGTTGTTGATGGAGTGTTGAGAGGATCTTTACCCTAGTTGTTGATGGAGTGTTAAGAGGATCTTTAGCCTAGTTGTTGATGGAGTGTTGAGAGGATCTTTAGACCAACACAAGCTTGTTAGAGAGTTGTTGATGGAGTGTTGAGAGGATCTTTACCCTAGTTGTTGATGGAGTGTTAAGAGGATCTTTAGCCTAGTTGTTGATGGAGTGTTGAGAGGATCTTTAGACCAGCACAAGCTTGTTAGAGAGTTGTTGATGGAGTGTTGAGAGGATCTTTACCCTAGTTGTTGATGGAGTGTTGAGAGGATCTTTACCCTAGTTGTTGATGGAGTGTTGAGAGGATCTTTACCCTAGTTGTTGATGAAGTGTTGAGAGGATCTTTACCCTAGTTGTTGGTGGAGTGTTGAGAGGATCTTTACCCTAGTTGTTGATGGAGTGTTGAGAGGATCTTTACCCTAGACCAGCACAAGTTTGTTAGAGAGTTGTTGATGGAGTGTTGAGAGGATCTTTAGACCAGCACAAGCTTGTTAGAGAGTTGTTGATGGAGTGTTGAGAGGATCTTTACCCTAGTTGTTGATGGAGTGTTGAGAGGATCTTTACCCTAGTTGTTGATGGAGTGTTGAGAGGATCTTTACCCTAGTTGTTGGTGGAGTGTTAAGAGGATCTTTACCCTAGTTGTTGATGGAGTGTTGAGAGGATCTTTACCCTAGTTGTTGGTGGAGTGTTGAGAGGATCTTTACCCTAGTTGTTGATGGAGTGTTGAGAGGATCTTTACCCTAGACCAGCACAAGTTTGTTAGAGAGTTGTTGATGGAGTGTTGAGAGGATCTTTACCCTAGTTGTTGATGGAGTGTTGAGAGGATCTTTACCCTAGTTGTTGGTGGAGTGTTGAGAGGATCTTTACCCTAGTTGTTGATGAAGTGTTGAGAGGATCTTTACCCTAGTTGTTGATGAAGTGTTGAGAGGATCTTTACCCTAGACCAGCACAAGTTTGTTAGAGAGTTGTTGATGGAGTGTTGAGAGGATCTTTAGACCAGCACAAGCTTGTTAGAGAGTTGTTGATGGAGTGTTGAGAGGATCTTTACCCTAGTTGTTGATGGAGTGTTGAGAGGATCTTTACCCTAGTTGTTGGTGGAGTGTTGACCAGCACAAGCTTGTTAGAGAGTTGTTGATGGAGTGTTGAGAGGATCTTTACCCTAGTTGTTGATGGAGTGTTGAGAGGATCTTTACCCTAGTTGTTGATGGAGTGTTGAGAGGATCTTTAGACCAGCACAAGTTTGTTAGAGAGTTGTTGATGGAGTGTTGAGAGGATCTTTACCCTAGTTGTTGATGGAGTGTTGAGAGGATCTTTACCCTAGTTGTTGATGAAGTGTTGAGAGGATCTTTACCCTAGTTGTTGATGGAGTGTTGAGAGGATCTTTACCCTAGTTGTTGATGGAGTGTTGAGAGGATCTTTACCAAAGTTGTTGATGGAGTGTTAAGAGGATCTTTAGATCAGCACAAGTTTGTTAGAGAGTTGTTGATGGAGTGTTGAGAGGATCTTTACCAAAGTTGTTGATGGAGTGTTAAGAGGATCTTTAGATCAGCACAAGTTTGTTAGAGAGTTGTTGATGGAGTGTTGAGAGGATCTTTAGACCAGCACAAGCTTGTTAGAGAGTTGTTGATGGAGTGTTGAGAGGATCTTTACCCTAGTTGTTGATGGAGTGTTGAGAGGATCTTTACCCTAGACCAGCACAAGTTTGTTAGAGAGTTGTTGATGGAGTGTTGAGAGGATCTTTACCAAAGTTGTTGATGGAGTGTTAAGAGGATCTTTAGATCAGCACAAGTTTGTTAGAGAGTTGTTGATGGAGTGTTGAGAGGATCTTTACCCTAGTTGTTGATGGAGTGTTAAGAGGATCTTTAGCCTAGTTGTTGATGGAGTGTTGAGAGGATCTTTACCTTAGTTGTTGATGGAGTGTTGAGAGGATCTTTACCCTAGTTGTTGATGGAGTGTTGAGAGGATCTTTACCAAAGTTGTTGATGGAGTGTTAAGAGGATCTTTAGATCAGCACAAGTTTGTTAGAGAGTTGTTGATGGAGTGTTGAGAGGATCTTTAGACCAGCACAAGCTTGTTAGAGAGTTGTTGATGGAGTGTTGAGAGGATCTTTACCCTAGTTGTTGATGGAGTGTTAAGAGGATCTTTAGATCAGCACAAGTTTGTTAGAGAGTTGTTGATGGAGTGTTGAGAGGATCTTTAGACCAGCACAAGTTTGTTAGAGAGTTGTTGATGGAGTGTTGAGAGGATCTTTAGACCAGCACAAGTTTGTTAGAGAGTTGTTGATGGAGTGTTGAGAGGATCTTTAGACCAGCACAAGCTTGTTAGAGAGTTGTTGATGGAGTGTTGAGAGGATCTTTACCCTAGTTGTTGATGAAGTGTTGAGAGGATCTTTACCCTAGACCAGCACAAGCTTGTTAGAGAGTTGTTGATGGAGTGTTGAGAGGATCTTTAGACCAGCACAAGTTTGTTAGAGAGTTGTTGATGGAGTGTTGAGAGGATCTTTAGACCAGCACAAGTTTGTTAGAGAGTTGTTGATGGAGTGTTGAGAGGATCTTTAGACCAGCACAAGCTTGTTAGAGAGTTGTTGATGGAGTGTTGAGAGGATCTTTACCCTAGTTGTTGATGAAGTGTTGAGAGGATCTTTACCCTAGACCAGCACAAGCTTGTTAGAGAGTTGTTGATGGAGTGTTGAGAGGATCTTTACCATAGTTGTTGGTGGAGTGTTGAGAGGATCTTTACCCTAGACCAGTCGATGTTTGTGGTATAACAATCAATAGTGGACTGTTCTGGCTATAAACTCACCAGCATAATGTAGACATACTGGTATTCAGCACATTTCATCATACAAACACACCAATGGTAATGTACACGTAAACAATCCTAGACAGAATATGTTAAAAACAATGATCAAGTAAGCCATAGCAATATCTCATCAAACAATCTTCTTATTCTGCTTAGTAAGTCTTTACTTTGTAGGTCTGAATTTTTTACTGCTTCAATGTTATGTTACCAATGGTTTTTAAAAGTGTATTGTAAATTTGTTTAATAAAGCAAATTTTAAAAACTTCTTAAGTACTTTGAAAATTTTAAAAATAAAACAAACTTATTTTTTTTAGTAAAAGATTGGTTGTAATATTGTAAATGTGTTTGTTATTTCTTGACAGAAAGAAAGCAATTAAAAAAAATATATATATTTTAAAGCTTTTTATATTTGTTTTATTTTCTAGTTTTCTCTGAGATGAGTGTACCTGAAATTGCTGCATTAGAATTGGGTCAAATTTGAGTGAAAAGATTTGCCACAAACCTACAAACAGACATGAGCACCTAAGTAACAGCTTTTAAAAAGGCAACACTGCCTACAGTTGTCACAGATAGAAAATATATTTATTTTAGTATCTCACAAGTATAATGCCAGTTAGAGTAAGAAATATCTTGTATAAACATTAGATGTATTGTATACTTTGCCTAGAAGTTCTATACAATGTTGTCAAGTGCTCTTTTAGGTTAAGTACAAAATGTTAATATTGGAGAGAGTTAGATAAAATTGGTACAGCTAAACTAAGAATTACAAAATGAACAAGACAATATGTTATGTTTGTCAAATTTTTTTTAGCAACAATACAACTAAAAGTAAAGGAAAAAATACTAACTGACTATTAGAATAAAATCATAAGGTAACATTAGGATTAGTCTATGAATCAGTTTTGGGTTTAGGGAGTATGGTGTGACTAAGATTAGGTTTATGGTTGTAATGATTAGAGTTACTCTTCACTCTATATTTTAAGATCTTCTTGCCTTGTTAGATCATTGTAATAACTCAGTATGTCTCAAATTGCTAAAGTTCTTCATGGAATAACCTTATTCTACACTTTTTATGTTTGATATAGAATGCTTAGGCAAAGTACAAAATACAGTAACGTATACATACACAGCACTTTCTGACATAGAAATTCACATATTCAGTCAAGTTTCTGCCCTTGAACAACAGAATTCAATAATTACATTGCAACATGTCCCAAAACTAAATGAGCTCTGGGTTTGATGAGACAAAAATATTAGTTTACCATTTAGAGAATTTTTTTTTTAAATGTTAGAATAGAAAAGAAAAAACATTCATGATAACAAAACAATTCTTCATTATACCGGTCATAATAAGCATTTCGTGTCAGCAGTATCATACAAGTATGATGCAGTATAAAAGTTATAAAAGTCTGACTTTTGATAAGAAATCATTTTCATTATAGTAATAAACGAACACAGCAATATAGTGAAACTGTTCCTTGGGTAAACATTTTCTCTCAAGTATGCTACAAAAATATGTGAAGATTAATTGGTTCATATCAGAATATTGTACAACACACCAGTAGACATGGTGGGTTAGATGAATAGGTGTGTGAACTGACATATTGAGCCTTGACATGAGATCAAGGTCACACACACACACACCAGTAGACAAGGTGAGTTAGATGGAGTCGAATGTTGAACTGACATCCACCATTTGTATGGAGGCTTGACATGAGCTTTCACTTTTAAAAAATATATTATGAACATGACTAAAATAAACTATGAACATGACTAAAATAAACTATGAACATGACTAAAATAAACTATGAACATGACAAAAATTAAACTATGAACATGACAAAAAGTAAACTATAAACATGACAAAAAATAAATTATGAACACGACTAAAAATAAGCTATGAACATGACAAAACTATGAACATGACTAAAATAAACTAGGAACAAGAATAAACTATGAACATGACTATGAGCATGGTGCATTACAAAGCTGTAATAATCAGCTGAGTGAAATAACATGATCTTGATTAGTAAAAATGTGATCATAAATTTCATGATTGATTAGAAGAAGTCATTTATCAACAAGGTATTTCACAGACAGAAACAATGTCATCAGTACAGAGGCCTAATTCCTCACATTTTAGTTTTGGTGCAATGAACTCATTAAAATCAACAACTATATTACTAATTAAAAACCTGTTGTAACTTGACTCTGCATAGTGAACACATTCAATCAGAAAAACTGAACCATGTTAAAACCTAGTTAACCTACAATAGCAATAGTCCAGAAAAATCAGTCAATATAGGCACTACAATAATTTATCATGCCATTTTGATATACGCGAATGATTTATCATGTAAGGTTGCTTAATTTACAATAGGACTAGTATTGTGTTGAATTCAGCTTTAGGTATGAGACTAATATTAGTATTGATTACACCTCAGGTATAAGACTAATATTTTCCACGAGCTGACCCCCGACCTTGCGCAGCTCGTTAACAGTGCCTGGTTTACCCCTCTCAAGGAAGACAAAAGGAAAGACATGGTGCAGCCTGTGACAGTCCACATCAAACAAGCTGGTGGAGGGGTAGGCCACGTTGGTCTTGTGAACATAGCTGGCTGTCTTACAGGCTGAGCTGAACTCTCCAAACTCAGCCGCCACCAGCGCCCTGGAGGTCCTAGGCACCGGCATGTTCCACAGCTCAAACTTCCTCCTACCCAGGGGGAAAATGTCTGTCTTTTTACTGCACAGTGAGGCTTTAGCACCCCATGTCTGTGCCCATATGTGAGTCTCATCTTCATTAAAGAAGAAAAGGTCAAGGTTGGGCCACTTGAATGGCCTATTGCCTTTGGGTAGAGAGCTCATGAAAAACTTCCACTGGACTTTATCTGGAGAAAAAAGTTCGAACCCTTGGATGTTGCCCAGCACGTTGCGCACCCGGTGCCACTGGGTGGCGTTAAGTATGATGTCGATGTCATCGTCCCAGGGTATCATGCCATGGTGGCGCACTGACCCCAGTAGCGAGCCAGAGATCAGGAAGTAGGTCAAGTTGGCCGCCTCACACGCCTGAATGAAGGTGTCCAGCGTGAAAAAAGCCACGGCTCTCTCGTACTCCGACATCATGGGCTGGAACTTGAGCAGCTCCGTCAGCTCCTCGCTGGCCGCCACGTCTGACTCCTGCTTCAAGTAGGAAACCCTTTCATAGTATTTAGAGTAAGCTTTTTCCCGTGAGGTGAATTTGCTTTTGATGTCGTCCAGGTTGATCTTGAGTTGAATAGGGCTCTCTCCAAGAGGGGTTTCACTCACTGGTAGTCTTTGATTATCTAGCAGTACCTAAATCACAGGGGAAAATAAACAATCATTATAAGGCTACAGCATTGTTACTCACAGGAGATGGGCAATTTTTATTAAGCGTTCAGCATTATTATTTCTAAGAAAGCTTAATTTTTTTTAAAAAAAAACATTATTTTCTTCTTATGTGTGGTCTAAATAAATCCAATCTTGTAGTTTGAGCTTGATTACCACCACACAAGACATAGATCTAGAGCTAATCGTTATATTGTAACACATATGGTTACCAGCCAAAGGGGGATAAAACTATGAAGTTTTTATTCATTGGGTTGCGGCCCCTGTGGGACTGCAACTGAACTGTTGACGTTTTTTTATGCTTTTGTGAGCGAAATTACTTGTGTTCCATGTCATGTGACATGTGCCTAGTCGTGTCGCACACGCAAGGCTGCTGTCTGTGGACCAAGATGTAGACCTAATGAAGGTAGTGTAGATATTTAAATTATGTTTGTTAAAATACTTATGTATTCCTGCTAGTGCTGCATGTGCACACTAGTTAGGGTGATGTATTAAATTAAGTATTTATTTTGTAGTACTACTTATTGGTACTTGTTGGCAGTACTGTGTACTGGCCGAAAACATAATTTATTGTACCCGTGTATATTGTAGCTTACACGTGGTGTTGTCCTGAATGTAACTTTTTTATTTTACATTTGTTTTAGGGCTACAGTTTCTGTTTCTATTTTGATCTTTTGATCTTTTGATCTTTTGGTCTTTTGGATTGTTTGGATCTTTTGGTCTATCTTGGCTAGTTCATTTTGTACTACTGTGTTGCATCGCCGTCATGGCTCGATGCTATAAATAAACGAGTACTTGACAACAACTGTCGGCGTCGGTGTGTACTTAATCTCAGGGTCAGCCCGTCTTAAACCACAACACCTCAGTGGGTAAAAGCATCCCCACTGAGTGAGGGTTACAATATATAAATAGCTAAAATAGAATTTTAAGCCAGACTCTTAAAACATATAAAGTCAAATAACATTCCTATAGCTCTATTGTTTATGAGATTAAATAAAACTGTAAGTGTAAAGAATACAGTTAAACAAAATCTAATCAGTGATGTAAAATGTGAAAGAAAAAAAAAACCTTTAATAAAAACAAGGAGCTGTGTTCCAGCCACATCCCAGGTAGAACAAACTGAAGAATGGCATTACGTATGGGGATGATGAGCACCATCAGTACCAAGATGATTCCCAGCAACTTCAACATTTTCCAGATACAATGTTTTGGGTGGCGGCCCCATTTTAAACTTGGCCATCTTTTAGAGCGCATGTTGGGGGCTGTGGAGCAGAGCAAGAAACAGAGCTGACACATTGGGAGATTTAAAGCTTCTGATATAAGCTGCAACCAAACAGCTGAGCTTAGGTGCAATCAATACTTCACACATGTCTACACATCACACGCTTTACTGCAGTCTCAGGCGTGTGTGTGTGTAGCTCTCATGGCAATAAGGTAACTCACACAATAAATAAATAAAATCGTTATTTTAGAATTGTCATTAAGCGCTAGTAAATGGGCAGATGAATATCAGCTTACTCAAGTTTTCAATGTAAGTGTATGCATTACCAATAGGGAGTATAAGTACTGTAAGTCTGTCTTGAATTACTACGTCAATATAAAGATACCATTACATAGGTTCAGTGTTTGAAGATTCTGTATCCAATTGACATCAAGCACTATACAGAATGAACCATCTAAACCAGGGGTCTCCAAACTACGGCCCGCGGGCTGGATGCGGCCCTCGTAGTCCTCTCATCCGGCCCGCGGAGATCTTTTTGTCCAAAAAAATCGTTTGTTGGTGATGGCTGAGGAACTTTACCCAGAAAAATCAAAGACATGCCTGGAAGAAACTGGCCCCCTAACTGAAATTTGACAGTTAATGCGGCCCTCTGACTGAAAAGTTTGGAGACCCCTGATCTAAACCAAATTAAGGAAATGTATTGATGGTTATGTAAAATATTCAAGCCCTGTATTGTGCAACTGCTAAAAATAATACAGCACAGCTAGATGTACATGCAGGTCAAAGTATGGGATAAAACATGGTGCAGAGGATCTTACATCACACAGGACCTAACACTAAGTGGACCTTACAAAGGACCTTACACCACACAGGACTGTATACCATGGAGGACCTTACAACACTGAGGACCTTACAGCACACAGAGGACCTTTGACCTTCCATGATGGGTAGCCTAATATAGCTCTATATTAATGCCTGGACAACAGAGAACAGATGTAGCCCAATGACTGACACTTAGAATCAGTTTTTCTTCTTAGAAATGGTGGGGAACAAAAGACAGGAATCTGAGCTCATCTTCCTCACACCAGGCTTGATGGGCTGTACACATCCATTCTGTCTTGTGTACACAGGGGGGTCAGGGGGGTTATAACCACACCCACTTGCTATGTGGCCCTCCAAAAGGTGTCTTGTGTTAAATTACAGCTACTTGTAATGGTGGTATGAAAGCCATTTTTAACCCCCCCCCCCCATCCCCCATTGAACCCCCCACCCCCATCTCCCATGACCAATTCCTGCCCAGGCCGCTGCTTGTGTTGTAGTAAAATTGTTGTCGGGAGGAAATGTTTAAAAAACCCAGAAACAATTGAATAAACGTGATTTAAAAAGAAAAAAAAATAGTGACTCTGTCATATGGCCTTGTTGTACATGTCTATGTAAACAACTGAAGTAGAGATTAAAAGGCGATAGAGCCAAAAGTTTAACCTTCAAATGTCTCGGCACTGGTGGGGGAGGGGGCGGGGTGGCTTGTTACATATCTTGACCCGTGGGTCATTCGTTGATGGGTCGAAAAAAAAAAGCTGCTGCCAGTTTTATCAAACAAGTGTGTGGCAGCACCAAGCCAGCCCTACAAGTTCTGAGATACGGCGTTAGTTCTACGGAGTAAATGTCGCAGTCGGGGTTTGATACATCCATTCAAGCACGCCCGGTTTTGCTTTTTTTTATGACGTCACGCAGGCAGTGAGTGGTGGAATTCTGGCTGGTGACATGGGGGGTGTGGCTAATAGATGTGACGGTGCAATTTTTACATTTGCGTTGTGCGTCGATCCTATGCTGATATAGGGAGCCGTACATTAGTCAGCATCCCTTCAACAAATACGAGATAGGACGACAAGTGTAACAAACGATGAGCGGGGGAAAGTCACAGGACGAGAATAAATATTTTAAAATAATTTACACAGCGGCCTGAAATTTTGTTACATGTGTAGGCTATTTGAATACCAGGAAGAAAAAATGGATTATAAAAGAAAAGTAGGCAGAGCATTGTGTTTTGTGTTGTTTTTTTATGCCGTAGGCCTTTCCTATGTTGACCTTGTCCGTTCACTGTATGTATTGTTGACGCTTGCGTCAGTGACAGCCTTTGTACCCTGTCGGCTTTTTTAAATTCTTGATTCTATGTTTTGTTATGTAATGAGCGTGATAAAAGTAGGCAGTATTAATGTTGCGATGTGTAGAGGACATCAATTCACATTAACTATGCATTTTCCCCATTCCACGCTAATTTAGCTTTTTTTTTTTTTAAAAGGCGAAGAAAACTCAGTAGGTTGGAACATACTATAAAATTCTACCAAATTCTATTAAATATTATGTGTATAACGGAATTAAAACCTATATACTTCAGACTAAATATTTTTACGTGTGTTCTAAATATTACCATAAGAAAACAGCATACAGTCGTGTCTGAAATAGTTACATTGAATTTAGATAATCGCATTAACAGATTCCAGTCAAATACACATTTGTGACTTTTTATTTTAACTTTTGTTCCTACAATCGTAACGAACACCTGTGCCCCCACCCCACCCCAACATAAACGCACACGTGGGACGTGACGATGCATGTATAAAACACCACCCCTCCTCCCTCCCCTCTAAAAAAACAAAAACAGGAGATACGGTCATGCGTTTATCGAACTCCACCCCTCCTGACCCCCCCCCCCCCCAACACACACACACACACAAAACGATATATGACGACCTTTATATATCAAACAGTCCACGATTCAGTAAAAATCCCGTAACACGGCATAAAACAGCGATTAGCCACCAACGCTGTTAATCTCTGGCATTCCTCGGCCTTATGGCTGAGATCAAAGTGTGGTATCTGTTAACATTTTGTACGGATCTTGGTCATTTGGTTCGTCAGTCCTTTTTAGGTCTGACTGTCGGGGCCGAGAGCGGTCAAACCAACTCCTCAACTCATAGCATCAATGGCAACAATAAATCAACGACCGCTGTGGGGTAGCGCCTTCACTTCCATCGAATGCACTAGGCCCTGGAGAAGAGTCACCAAGTACGTGTATTCTGGTGACTGAAATATGGGCGTGGCTAATTCTCATTTTTACTTTCTCGTATATACGTAGTATAGAGAAAGTATTGTAATCGTGCAAAAAAAAAAAAAATCGAGATTTTTACAAATCTCGACGTTTTACACCTCACTGATACGGAAAAACATAATTTTGCAATCTTGTCCGTATGTCTGTGTGTGTGTGTCTGTGTGTGTGTAAACACGATTACTTGAGTACCGTTACAGCTAGGTTGATGAAATTTCATATATAAGTATTTTATCAAAATCGTAAATCCGTATCAACTTTTGAGCGATTTCCGATAACCGGAAGTGGTACTTTTTCTACTTTGAATTTTTCAAAAGCCTATAACTTGAGTACTATTTCAGATAGATAAATGAAATTTCACATGTAAGTAAAAGATCTAATTCTCTACCTTCTGTTAAATTTTGAGTAATTTCCGTTGACGGGAAGTACTAATTTACGACATTTCCGATTTCTCAAAAACGCATCTAAATTTATAAAGTACTAATAATATTGCGCACCATTATGAACATCTTTATTCGGCGTTCGCTTGGTGTGCAATACTTTTTTCTATTGGATTCTATTTTATTTTAAAAAGTTTATGTATTTAAAATGGATTAAAAATCATAACTATATCCCAAGTTCCCATCCCCTGTTGTTTTATATAAGAATATTCGAGAAAGTTTAAAGAGATCACTCCCGGTTTATTTTGTAAAATTTTCAGCTCCACGACGCCTACCTAGGAGTAACCCTGGGATGTTTCCGTCCAGACTCGACTGAAACCTCAACTCACCACTACTCATTAACAATACTCAACTACTCAAAAACACCAACTCGATACCATCAATTAGACACAAAAAAAAACAACTCAAAATCATGTACTCGATAGCAACTCGATACCAACAACTCAAAAGCACCAACTCGACACATTCCACTTGATATCATAAACTCGATACCAACACCTCAGATGCGTCAACTCGATCAGAGGCGTAGCGACCCTTCCCGGCGCCCGGGGACAAACTTATCGATTTGCACCCCCCCCCCTCAAGATTTCGATTTGCACCGCCCCCTCAAACTTTCGATTTGCACCCCCTCAACTTTTCAATTTACTTTTCCAACCCATTTTGGCGCCCCCTACGGCCGGCGCCCGGGGACATATGTCTACCGGAATGACCAGGAAGAGTAAAACAATAAAAGTCAGAACAATTGTTCTACATGATAAAAATACACAATAGTGATCTATGGTGTATGGGGTAGTATTGTATTTTTATTAAATAATATGACATCCCCAATCACCATAACACCCTGACTCTACTAATCCAAATGTTAAAACAAAAGTTATTGCTAAATTACTACTATTTTACTAGCAATTATTTCTTTGTCTATTTCTAACCTTAATGAAACCGGAAGTAATTTTGTACTTATTACACAAATGTTAAAGTTTAAGTCCTGTCGAAATCATTATATATCGAATTTTTTATATCAGTAACACATGTTTGAATGTGTGTTATATTTGTTTGAAAAGTATCGGTTACGAAAAATAAAATTGACCGTTTTGCGAGTACCAATCGAACCAATACCAATACTGTTTCATTTGGTCGCAGCTTCGCATCGTAGAAGCATAATCTTAATGACACGCACAAGAGCCGATCGCTTGATGTCTAAATTGAAAAATTAAGTTTTCAAACTTTAAAATGTGTTGTAAATTCACTTATTTCTCATTTACAGCCACGAAGCCGCGCCCTCAATAAACATATAACCCCTGGAGTAGACTATCAGCCTCGAGTGGGTTCTAAAAAATGGCACTTTTTGAAAATCATTTTTTACCAGTTCGCTTTTTTTTTAAATCGCATAACTATTTTATTTATTGAGATATTTTTATATAATTAATGTCATAGAGCTTACAATTAAAAGTTCTTTCAGGGCATACTCACAACAGAAGTCTGCCATCAATAGGTAATTTCAGTTTGGACAGCTACTTTCACAAGAAACAACACCGATGCACTCTACTTCTATAACCTTCAACACTACGGAACTAACCCCGATACAACTACCAACAAAAGATCAAACACTCAAGATTGTCACAAGTTACAAGAAGCACGGATAAAGAAATTTGATCGGATCAACCGTACAGAGAAGCGATCATGTTATGTCGTGTATTTTAAGTACTTGACAGGAACTCGCGTACCTAGAAGTGAAACAATGCCCTAAGCCAGAGCTACAAGAGACAAGAAAGAAATGGTACCTATGTACAAACTGTGTAAAGGGCTGTGTATTACCATGTACCATTTTCGTGCAGAGAACTCCTGGCTCGAACGGAGGGACGTGTGTGAAAGGAAAACTATTAAACGCAACAACAACAAAGAAAAACCGCGATTAGCCAACCATCGAGATAGCCGTAGAACGGCTTACAAGGCGTGAAATGTCTATATGGGCTGAGGCGAAGCGATACGCTATGGATGATTGCACATTCTCCGGGTGTTCCAGTAACTGGATAAGAAAAACTCTGGCCCCTATGGTTGAGTCGTCACTGAAATCATTCATCCACGGCAATCATTCACATTGTCTTTTTACATAACGTGTATTAACTTGTATCGGCTTAACGCTTTTAGACAACAACGATAGAAATAAAAGTTGTACTTTTGGTAATGATTGTTTATTTTAAAATGTAATAACTTATCAAATTAAAGGACATCACACACCAATAGGGGAGTGGGGAGGTTTCTTCATTTGGTGGCGATGGGGATTCAGATAATGTAGCGTCACACTTTTGAATTTTTAAAAAAGTAATGTTACAAAGTGAATATAGTTCAATATAGCCATCATTTCGCGATTCATGAAACTGTCTAGGTCAAGTATAATTGAAATTGATTTTAATATAGACTACTCGATGTTGACCGAGCTCAGTCAATATTTTAGAAAGAAATCGATGTTTTAAACAATTAAATTACCATTTTGAGATGGGGGGGGGGGGGGTAGGCTGAAGTGTGAAGTCATTTTAAGGGAATCTGTTTTTTTTTGTGACGATGTGTGACGATGCTGATGTAAAAGTCCTCCAAAAAAGCGTGACATCATTTATGTAAGAGCCCTGATACGTATATTTCAATACATCTTTTAATAAAACATGCCAGCAGGTACCTCATGTCTACCGGTATGGGTTTTGGACCAAAGGCTAGGATTCTGGTTAGGGTAGCGACACACACACAAGCGTGTCCCCTCACGTGATCTATGACACGCAGGATGTCAGCCGCTATGTGCGACACTTTAGTCAACAGACACGTCTCTTTGCCTCCTCATACACACGTTAAACAAAAGGGGAAAATGTGCACATAAGGGTAGATCTATAGCCCACACCCCTAGTACAATATGCCGTGGGAGGTTCTACACCGTTTTTACCACAGGAAATTACAATTTTGCATCAATTAAACACGTAGTATCCAGACTTCGTTAAAAAAAGAAAAGAACATGGATTTAATTGGGAAAACACTGTGACGTCTTCTAACAAGCTTACATGCTGTAATTAAACGTAAGCACATATGGACTTACCTCGGTGTATTCTGTTCAACTCAAATCGAACTGTCACTAGCACGCCATTATATCGCCTTCACTAAAACAAAACAAAAAAATCGATGACGTAAGAGAATGTGTATGGCCTATATTTCTCAGATAATGAGTTCAGCGGAGCGTATCCTGTTAAATAATAGACAGGTTTAGTGACCTCGTCAGTGTGTTGGTGTGTTTACATGTGAGCGTGTGTTGCCATGGATACACTCTAGACAACATGAGGTTGGACATGAAATGGTAGACACAAAACCCATCGGTTATCAATAATCACTGTATGGACCAATGGAGAAATGGGCAATCGACGATTTTAAGACTGATCTGATACTCCACATGACACAGCAAAACATCAACACACAAAATGAAACTTGAAAAAATATGAATAAATCGATTATTTTAACTAAAATCTAAAGTGATTGAAATCACGGAATATTGGGAGGCCATAGAGTGGTACACATCTTGCAGTCTAATCTTGGGAGTCTAGCGTCCACACCCCCCTCCCAGTCTGTCCACACATCCCCCAGTCTAGAGTGTCCACACATCCCCCAGTCTAGAGTGTCCACACATCCCCCAGTCTAGAGTGTCCACACATCCCCCAGTCTAGAGTGTCCACACATCCCCAGTCTAGAGTGTCCACACATCCCCCAGTCTAGAGTGTCCACACATCCCCCAGTCTGGAGTGTCCACACATCCCCCCCCCCCCGTCTAGAGTGTCCACACATCCCCCAGTCTGTCCACACATCCTCCAGTCTAGAGTGTCCACACATCCTCCAGTCTAGAGTGTCCACACATCCCCCAGTCTGTCCACACATCCCCCAGTCTAGAGTGTCCACACATCCCCCAGTCTAGAGTGTCTACACATCCTCCAGTCCAGAGTGTCCACACACCCCCCCCCAACCTGGAGTGTTCACACATCCCCCAGTCTAGAGTGTCCACACATCCCCCAGTCTAGAGTGTCTACACATCCCCCAGTCTAGAGTGTCTACACATCCTCCAGTCCAGAGTGTCCACACATCCCCCAGTCTAGAGTGCCCACACATCCCCCAGTCTAGAGTGTCTACACATCCCCCAGTCTAGAGTGTCCACACATCCCCCAACCTGGCGTGTCCACACATCCCCCAGTCTGGAGTGTCCACACATCCCCCAGCCTGGAGTGTCCACACATCCCCCTGTCTAGAGTGTCCACACATCCTCAAGTATGTCCACACATCCCCGAGTCTAGTGTCCACACATCCCCCAGTCTAGAGTGTCCACACATCCCCCAGTCTGGAGTGTCCACACATCCCCCAGTCTATAGTGTCCACACATCCCCCAGTCTAGAGTGTCCACACATCCCCCAGTCTAGAGTGTCCACACATCACCCAGTCTAGAGTGTCCACACATCCTCAAGTATGTCCACACATCCCCCAGTCTAGTGTCCACACATCCCCCAGTCTAGAGTGTCCACACATCCCCCAGTCTGGAGTGTCCACACATCCCCCAGTCTAGAGTGTCCACACATCCCCCAGTCTAGAGTGTCCACACATCCCCCAGTCTGTCCACACATCCCCCAGTCTGGAGTGTCCACACATCACCCAGTCTGGAGTGTCCACACATCCCCCAGTCTAGAGTGTCCACACATCCCCCAGTCTAGAGTGCCCACACATCCCCCAGTCTGGAGTGTCCACACATCCCCCAGTCTAGAGTGTCCACACATCACTCAGTCTAGAGTGTCCACACATCCCCCAGTCTGTCCACACATCCTCCAGTCTAGAGTGTCCACACATCCCCCAGTCTGTCCACACATCCCCCAGTCTGGAGTGTCCACACATCCCCCAGTCTAGAGTGTCTACACATCCTCCAGTCCAGTGTCCACACCCCCCCCCCCCCCAACCTGGAGTGTTCACACATCCCCCAGTCTAGAGTGTCCACACATCCCCCAGTCTGTCCACACATCCCCCAGTCTAGAGTGTCCACACATCCCCCAGTCTAGAGTGTCTACACATCCTCCAGTCCAGAGTGTCCACACATCCCCCTGTCTAGAGTGCCCACACATCCCCCAGTCTGGAGTGTCCACACATCCCCCAGTCTAGAGTGTCCACACATCCCCCAACCTGGAGTGTCCACACATCCCCCAGTCTGGAGAGTCCACACATCCCCCAGTCTAGAGTGTCCACACATCCCCCAGTCTAGAGTGTCCACACATCACCCAGTCTAGAGTGTCCACACATCCTCAAGTATGTCCACACATCCCCCAGTCTAGTGTCCACACATCCCCCAGTCTAGAGTGTCCACATATCCCCCAGTCTGGAGTGTCCACACATCCCCCAGTCTATAGTGTCCACACATCCCCCAGTCTAGAGTGTCCACACATCCCCCAGTCTAGAGTGTCCACACATCCCCCAGTCTGTCCACACATCCCCCAGTCTGGAGTGTCCACACATCACCCAGTCTGGAGTGTCCACACATCCCCCAGTCTAGAGTGTCCACACATCCCCCAGTCTAGAGTGCCCACACATCCCCCAGTCTGGAGTGTCCACACATCCCCCAGTCTGGAGTGTCCACACATCCCCCAGTCTGGAGAGTCCACACATCCCCCAGTCTGGAGTGTCCACACATCCCCCAGTCTAGAGTGTCCACACATCCCCCAGTCTAGAGTGTCCACACATCCCCCAGTCTAGAGTGTCCACACATCCCCCAGCCTAGAGTGTCCACACATCCCCCAGTCTAGAGTGTCCACACATCCCCCAGTCTAGAGTGTCCACACATCCCCCAGTCTGGAGTGTCCACACATCCCCCAGTCTGTCCACACATCCCCCAGTCTAGAGTGTCCACACATCCCCCAACCTGGAGTGCCCACACATCCCCCAGTCTGGAGTGTCCACACATCCCCCAGTCTAGAGTGTCCACACATCCCCCAGTCTAGAGTGTCCACACATCCCCCAACCTGGAGTGTCCACACATCCCCCAGTCTAGAGTGTCCACACATCCCCCAGTCTGGAGTGTCCACACATCCCCCAGTCTAGAGTGTCCACACATCCCCCAGTCTAGAGTGTCCACACATCCCCCAGTCTGGAGTGTCCACACATCCCCCAGTCTAGAGTGACCACACTTCACCCCCCCCCCCAGCCTAGTGTGTCCACACATCCCCCAACCTGGAGTGTCCACACATCCCCCAACCTGGAGTGTCCACACATCCCCCAACCTGGAGTGTCCACACATCCCCCAACCTGGAGTGTCCACACATCCCCCAACCTGGAGTGTCCACACATCCCCCAACCTGGAGTGTCCACACATCCCCCAACCTGGAGTGTCCACACATCCCCCAGTCCAGATTGTCCACACATCCCTCAGTTCACCCAGCTCTGAAGGGTACCTGACTCACATTTGGGAAATTAAAAGCAGCTGGGCAGAGTGCTGACCACACTATCCCTACATAAGACAAGGTAACTGAAAAAGGCACACTCTGATTCACCTGCACCATGGACTGAAAAATTGCAGAATTTTTTTTTCAAGTAGACTGGAAGATCATACATTTCATGATTGTCTTCCATTAAATTTCAATTATCATAATAATTATTTGCACATTCTTTCACCTGTACTCTCATAGTCAATTGTCTTTTTCTCTGTCAGTTTCTTTCCTGTTTAAATATCTGTTTCACATACATAAATTTAACAGTCTCTTTCTAGGAGAAATAAGGTTATCGCTTAGAACCAACATTAAGGTGGTCAAGGATACTAGTATCCATACCTTACCAATATATCAGGTGTTGTTATTTAATTTAACTACAATGACATAAATAGTTTTCTTTTTACATTTTCTTAATCTTCATCATCATTCCTGTGGACCTCTTTTGAAGCATAATAAAGAAGAAACCACACCTCTCCATCATACCGGTTTAGGGCCATCCCTTCAAGTTTGGTCTAATAAAGACCTTCCAACTGCCTCTGTTTCACTGGCAAATGATCTTTTCCAAGTTTGTTTTGGCCTACCTACTTTCCTCTTTCTTTGTGAATTTCCGTCTAATGTTTGTCTAGTCATGTTGAAAGCTGATTTATGTAAGGTGTTTCCAATCCATCCCCATTTGCGCTTTTGTACATTTTCTTGATAATTAAATTAAATTAATTGTAATTCTATTTCTATTATAAAAAGGTGTGATCTAGTAAAACTGCTAGGTAAATTGGTGAATTTTTGTTGTTTTTTTTTGTTTGAGTTTATATTTGACTCTATGCACATTGGTTGGCTCAGGCCTGGCTGGGGTCTCGTTTTGCTAGGGAATCAGGTAATCTTCAGTATAGCATCGGAAATTATTTGATGTTTGTTGAGTTTCGTAAACATTAGCTAGCATTAGTTATTGTAAACCATTGTTTATTGACAGTTTGAATGTAATACAAATAAAGTCGTAAGAACTAAATTAAAATCAATGTTTTAACTTAATTTCAAGTTTAATCGACATAAAGAGGCAACAGTTTAAAGATCTAAATATAAATAATAAAGTCAAGTGTAGTAAATTAGTTTTAAGTTTTTTTAAGAAACGCAGAAATAAAAACTGGCAGATTTGCGACTATTCTCGATCTACTAGTACTACTGTAACTAACTACACAGTTAATGTGAGCTACAGGCCCAATCAAATAATTTAAATTAAAATCTAGAAATCTTATTCTAGATCTCAGACTCAGATCTAGCCTAACACTGCGTTTCCACCTAACATGAATTATGATGAATCTTGTAGATCTATGTATGTAATATGTATACTATAATAATAAGTAATAAGGCCTACATGTCTGGAAAAAAAACTCACAATAAATGAGTTAAGTACAAAAAAAGTCAAGAATCCTCTTCAGACCTAGTCTAGCTATTCATTTGGCGATAAAGCCCACTGTCAGAGTTTGACTGTGAGTGTCAGTGTACTGTAACTGTGTGTGTGTGTGTGTTGTTGAGTAGACTTTCAACTTTGACTTTAGTGTAGAGTGTAGACTAGTGTACTGAGTGTAGACTGGAGACTACTGACTGTTCTGTGACTGTAGTGTTACTTGTTAGTCTTAAGAAATGTTACTAGATCTGTGTTACAGTCTACTGCTGTGACTACACTCTGTCACTTTGACTATAGAACTGTAGGTAGACTAGAGCCATAGAGTGTGTGTAATGTGTAGGTAGAGTGTAGATTAGTGTAGAAGTGTAGAAGAAGACTAGACTGTAGTTACTAGTTAGTAGTTAAACTGTAGTGTAGACTCACTATCATTGTACTGAGTACTGTACTGTACTGGAGTCTGTAACAGTCTACACTAGACTGTTACTGACTGTAGACTGTAGACTAGTGTGTCAGTAGTCAGTAGAGACTAGTGACTAGATCTAGATCTAGATCTAATCTAGATTCTAGGTCTAGTCACTAGATCTAGATTTAGATCTAGCTAGAGACTCGAGAGAGACTCTGAGCACTCTCCCATCTGTTTTCAGAAGAAATTGAAACTAAACCGGTAACCTAAACGTTTTCAAGATTGAAACCAAAACGTTTTCAAGAATTTTTAAAAATAAGCACATCTAATCTAGTTAGAAACAAGTTCAAATACATACATTGTGACTGTAGGCTTACACACCATATTTCTTTCAATTATTTTTTTTACTTCTGTCACTGTCACTGACGACCCTTACAAAATCCTGTGATCGTGTTGATAGTAGTTTAGGCCTACACACAAAATCTAGATCAGCGAGATCTAAATTATTATCTCGTATTTTATCGCATTGATATTGAGCGATCGAACTAATACTCAATATCAATGCAGTGTTGCTAAAATACTATAGTTATATGCTAGTCTTAGACAAGATAGTAATGATAAATAATGCTGTTTACGAATTGTTTTTATCTCAAATACTACAAATAGGGTGGAAAGATCCCACTCTCTCCTTGCTCTTAACACGCCAATGGCAAATAGGGATGACCCCCGCCCAACAAATTTAAATATGCCTAAACATTATTAGGTTAGAAGATGATTTAATTTTTTTTATTAATAAATGCATGTCGAGCTAGTAAGACAGACGTGTTTTGTTTACTAGTTTAGTGCATTGGCTAGCTATCTCTTTAGTTAGTGCATTGAGGAATGGATCCTACAGTATTGACTGAGGCCGTTTCGTCAGAAGCCTATACTATATAATGATCATCATCATCTTTTCTCGTTTGTGTCCAAGATAAATGGGCAAATGAAGTAGAGTCCATCTGTTTCAATGATCTCGGCATTCAAGGGGATAATGTGGCCAGCACTATGCCCAGCCACCTCTGCTTAAAATTGTATGCCATGCTCCCAAATGGCGCCTTTCTCATTCTGTTGGAAGGAAATTGTTGTATAGAGCTGACTTAATGGGATCAGTTTGTCGCTGGTCCCTGGTTCGGGGTCAATAAGTCGAATATTGGTTTTGTCATTGGCCTCGGCTATAACTAGTATAATTATAAGCTGGTGATTTAGGGCAAAAACAATTTTTTTTTAAAAATGTAAATGTGTGAGTGCGCGTGTGTGCATGCGTGTGTGTTAGCCTATGTTTAAATGTAAAATCTAATCTATTTAAATCAATTTAATCTCAAGGTACATTCGTATTAAGCTGGAACAAGAAACGATCGGCAGTCATACGCACTGTTGAGACAATGATGAATCACACAGGGTAATTTAGGTAATCATGGAGTAGATGAAACCATGCATGGACCAAATCAAAAAAATTACCAATGTCAGCGCCAGCAAGAGAAGAAAATCCTTAGAACTTTGTATTGTAGAGGGGGGGTGGAAACGTGTTAATATTGCGAACTTTATATTGAGAGGCCAATCTACCTGACTTTGACGAGACATTGTTAAAAATATGAGCATTCATAATCATATTTGTATATACATGTAATTAATATGAATAGCAATGCTTTCGGCAAAAACAATCTGGCTATATTGTAAAGCAATTAACAGCAAGTATGTCCTTTGTTTAATTGAAACAAATCAAGAAAGAGACGTAATCTAGGTTGAGGGGGGGGGGGAATAGAGAGAGAAACCGCCCCTCTAAGACAACCGTTTTGGAAAGTGACGTCTTTTTGGAGCTTTTTTTTTTTAATTCCAGTTACAAAAATTACAGAAGCTGCGAACTTGAAAATGAAACCGCTGTCAACTATTATCCATTATTAATTTTACGTTATGTAGGTAAATACCAAATTTTTAATGACTCCTAGAATGGGTACTTCCCGGTGCTTAAGATTTTAACTTAAAACGATGTTTTGTCACTATGTCAGTTGTTTACGTAAATGGAGTGAACTTAAAGGTTTCGTCTTTAATAGGCTATGCGATGTCTACTTTTTACTATCTTTGGAATATAGTATCATTTATATGCGTTTATCTTTATCATTGGAGTTCATTAATAATTTTTAATATTCGCTATGCAAAGCGCTCTTATCATATTCCTGTTCGTCAGTACAGTTTGTTGCTGTTCGTCAATTAGAGTCACCGGTTCTTTAAAAACTGTCCTCAATGTTTATTTTCATTTTCCCCTCTACATTTCTAGTTTAAATTATTTTATGCCAAGAGGTAAGATTAAGAATAGATCTAGATTCTAGATAATCTAACTAATAGTAATACTAATACTAATAGTAGTACAAAATACTAAACTAGAGGGAGATCAAGTAGACTAGTCTATAAAATATCTAATTTATAATAATAATTTCCACACTTTTAGTTTTTTGGTAATCTATCGTTTGATTCGTTTTGGGTACGTAAAATCGCCCGCGGCTATTAATGTACGAAAACGTTACCTCATTGTCAAGGCTGTAATAGAAGTATATTGTGATATGTTTGTGTCAAATATTATAGATAAATGAATAATAAACCTAAATCAATGGCTAAATATATCAATATAGGCCAGAAATTAACTTTAAACAGCAGTGTCTGCAAGCAAGATTTGCTATATAAACAGCAGCCATTTGTAAAATAGAGTGACTTCCGCCTGAATCTCGCGCCGTAAGTCTATAAAAATAAAGCTTTAACAAGATTGCTGCTATAGTAAATGAGCATGGTTGCATCTGTTGGAAACATCGCTGGTGTTCATTTATTACTGAAATTTTTTTATTCAATTGTTTAAAAACAGGTACATAAATGAAACAAGGAAACATTTTGTATTTTTCAAAACATAAATCCTCCTCAAAATGTGAAATAATTATTGAAATGTAAGGAGTCACCTGTTTTTCACATTACTAGTCGCGGGCGATTTTACGTACCCAAAACGATAGATTACCGTTTTTTTTACTAGAAATCTAGATCTCTAGTGACTAGTAGATCTAGTATTCTCTAGGTCACTCTAGGATCTGGTCAGGATGTGATGTTGGTAAATTCAATAAAAATTTAAATAGCCTAAGTAGGCCTAACAAATTATAAATTCAAATTTGCAAAATGCCCAAAATGGAAATATGGTATATTGCGAGAAGGGTTTGAAAACCCTAGCCCCTAGGGGGTAAAATGCATTATTAATTATTAAAAATTTTATTATTATGAAAGTATTGAAAGGGCCGGTAAAACTCCATTTTAGGCTTTTAGCGTATTTTATTCCCCGCTTGACGTTCACCTCCAGTTGAGCGTATTTTATTGTAAACACAACCGAAACACACAAAAACGTTAGGAAAACACAGATCTACTTATTGTTTTTTTATAAATGCAATTTTTTTTATTAGAAAAGGCAAAAAAACATAAAAAAGCATTAGAACCGTTCCAATTAAATATTGTGTGGTCGTCAGTGGGAGAAAAATCCTTACACGCCTTACACCGTTGCGGGTTCATCGTGAGTTCACATTGACTTTAATTATCAGCATATGTCATAGCTCGGGCAATAGCTGTTTGAAATTGTGTAGGCCTCAGTTTTGGGGTCATTGTGAGTTCATTAATGTTTATTTATAGAGTATCATGCCTGGGAAATACTTGTAACAATACAAACTTAAACGCCTTTGCAGCCAATTGTGAGTTACGTTTTTACGTATTTCACCCATTGCCATGAAAATTCTGACGCACGCACATTGCACATTAAATATTCTAAATTTGGATTTTTCTCAACTTTTAACAAAAGTAAATTATCAAAATCTATAAAAAAGTCAGTCTCTTTGTTTTTTTATTCATTTTTATTCATTTGTTAAAACAAAAATACAATACAAATAATAAATCGTGTTTTCTTAATGTTTTGGTGTGTTTCGGTTGTTATAATAAAATACGCTCAACTAGAGGTAAACAAGAAGCGGAGAATAAAATACGCTAAAATGAAGTTTTACCAAAAGGGCCTATTAAATTATATGATATTAATAATATTAGATTTTAGATCACTATGAAAGTTCAACAAATAGTTGACTATGAATAACTATGATAATGACAGATGTCTGCAAAAAATTATACAGCACCTGATTTACAATGAACATCTTTTTTACTTTAATTGTAATACAGACTTCAAAAATGTTTTGTTTGTATTGTTATAACTTTGATTTTTCCGTTGCTTGACATGCTGATGATTTTTCAACTTCTTTGTTACTGCTGCCTTCAATTAATTTTTTCATCATATAGATCTATAGTATTCTATAGGCCAAAATATCAATTTTGTTGATTTTTAAAAATGTTTATAATTAGGCTAAAATTACATATTTAAAAAAATAAATTGCATTTTTTAAATTTTTAATTAATTCTTTTACACTTTCTACAAGTACAACAATACAAAATGTTAAATATCATTAGGTCTATTAGTATTAGCCTTACATTGACGAATGGCTGAATATTTCTCTTGCATACAAGTTTATATTAACTCACAATGACTCAAAGCATCTTTGTCATATTACTATTGCTCAGGCTTTGACCTATATTAAAAGATTTTATATGCACTAAAGGTGACCCTTAAACTGCTGTATTTTCTCTAGCTGACAAGAAAACAATGAGAAAGCACTTATAGGAGCTATAATTTTAAGATATTTTAATATTTAAAAAAAAATCTAAATTTGATCTTATTGAAGCTTATGTAATCTTCTCACAATGACCTGACAACTACACTTTTGAACCACTTTTCAAGCCTATTTAGAACTGTGTTATCTGTGTCCCACAGGTCTGAAATAAAAGGATAAAATGGATGAAGAAATGAATACAATATTATTCACAAACCTGCAGCTGCTTGGGATGGACATTGTTGATATGGAAGCAAAGTACAAAATTCCTTTCAACAAGTAAGACTTGATTGCTTATTTATAATTATAAGGCCCATCTAATGAATACAATTTCTTGTGTTTTAAAAACATGATTTTTGTTTACATTTAATCAGTGGGAACATTTTTAATTTATTTCTGAAGTCTAATGTAAGTAATGGAGTTTAAAAGTGTAGAGTGATGATATATGAAGGTTTTGAAAACTAGAATTTTTTTGGTATATTTAACTAGCATTGAGTACAAGTGATTTCATTTGCTTTTCCTGATTTCAAAGGCAGTTCAAGTTTATTAGATAATATTGTTAAATACATTTTTAGAAAATATTGAACATGGTATACTTATTGAAATAATCCACGCTTCATTTTAGGAATATGTTCAACCTTCCCAACAAAGCAGGCTCAGAGGCAGTATTTTATTTTCTGTTTAATCGTCTTAATCCATCTTTGTGCAGAGAACAGTTTAGGTAAGAATTTTTACACCCACTAAAGCTAACATTCTCAATAAACAACTAGATTTTCTTTATTTTGGCAATGAATGGACCAGTCAATCCATGTTTAAAAGTCTCCTTGTGTTGACAGAGACTGTTGGCCTGTGACAGACAAGAAAACAGAGTTACAGTTCAGGAAAGTTTGCAACGCTTGGTTGACACATGTTCAGAAGGTGTGTGAATATAAAGTCTACAATGCTTTTTGTTTTATAAAAACTATTTGTTAAGTATCAGTTGTGTGGAATTCTCTTTTTGCCAGGTTTGGATTGGCATGTAACCGCTGATTCATCATGTTTTTAAAGAGTTTTCTCACATATTTCAATATTTGTTAGAAACCTATTGGAGGAAATATGCTGAAATCATAGCATTTTTAAATCAGGTTTATAGTGACTCTGACCTCTGTTAAAGTAGGGTTTCAAGTGTTAACCTATATCCAATGAATGTTCCCTCTAAGCTGTGAATTCATTTTGTAATATACAGATAACTTGGTATAACTAATTTGAGAACAGAGTGCACACAAAATACAAGCTGCTGATAAGGTTTTGCTTTTTAGAGGGAATGTTGCCTGTAGCCAGTGTTGGGTTCTTCTGTCTAGGGGTGTATATATATAACAACAGACAAATATAACGTATACAACAGTAGATAACACTAACACTCTATAATAATAATAATAATAAGATATTTAATATATATACAGTAATAAAATAATAAAAGATCAAAGGGGTCTACAACATAAATAACAATACTCAACACCACGTTCCACGTCCACAGCCACACTACAACTAACTGCTTCACACACTAGCATACGCTCTGTCACCCGTCACTTGACACACCTCACATGAACACCTCTCGCTCCATTTAAACACACTCAACCAAGGGATACAACTATACACCAAAGGGAGGGTACCTGCCGTTCCAGCACACAACACACACACACAAGCAGGGGACATGTAAGGGACGTAACAGCCAGATGGTATATGACAGGGGATCCAGGCCCACGGAACAGCTGATGTTAGCTAGAGTTGTTTGTGTGGTGATTGTGTTTGTCCCAGGGACATTTAAATGTAATCTGGAAATAGTCAAGGTTATCCACTGTGGGGTCTCATGTAGCTTTGTAACTAATAGTTGAGAGAGCCAGAAAAATTGTTGTAGGTACTATGGCCTAATAGCACTCAGCACAAGGTTTATTTATAACGTAGAATCAATTTATTTGTCCACCATTTTTGTTCTAGGAGGAACCTGATGCCCATCTTCCTAGAATGAATGCTTCACTGTTATTGTCACCTGGTGGTCGCAAATTTATTCATTTGCTCTACAGTTTTTCTACTTTTGTTTTGTTGCAAGTAATGAAAATGGAGCATGGTGGGTTGAAATAATTTTTTAATACCTTCAGCTTGTTCTAATCAATCTCTACATATACTACATTTTTGTGTGGTTTTGTTTTTGTTGTTTGTTTTTTTTTTGGTTGCTGTTTTTTTTTTTGCTAATCCTTACTTACCAACAATAGGCAATTTTTATTTTTCAACATTACATGAACTGAAAATGAATTTTATAAAAACATTTTTCTTATAAATCTTAAATGATAATATTTAAAAAATTATAATTTCCTATCTCCCAACAGGCTGGAAATCTCAGGATGCATTAGTGTATCCAACGATGACTCCAAATCTCAGTGCAGTGGGTAATGTCATGGTTTCATCCATTCAAGACAGTTGTTGTAGAGAACGATGGCAGTTCTCTAACAGCCTACAATTGATTCTGGCCACTAACGATCAATGGAAAGAGTACTGTGGGTTAGTATTGGACGGAGTGGCTTGAAAAAGGTTTAAACGATATTTTAGTAACATGAATAATAAACGAAAATGTAAGATGAGTTTTTTAATGAACCTAAGTATAAGATGAGCTGTTTTGATAATTTCAGGGAACTGGTGAAAGAATACAGGTCTCTGTCTAAGTCATTGAGAGATTCAGAGAACGAGAAGAGGCAACAAGTCAACATAACTGCTGATTCAGCTATCAAACATGCTTGGTATGGAACACTCTATTATTATGCTTTTAACATTGTGAAGTTGTGAGTCTAAATACAATGAAAGTTTTTCTGATACTAAATTGATCAAGTTTTTTCCACAGCCCACTCCCTGCTAAAAGAACATTGACGATGTTTGATGCTGGCACTGATGCTTACACTGTGAAAAGGGCTCAAAGAATGGAAAAAGTAAAATATTTTATCATTGTTTATTCATTTTGTATGACAGGCAGCGTGTTCATAATCAACTGCAATTGCCAATCTAAATCAGAGCATAGGGCCCTTACTGCTGTATTAATTATTAAGGATACAAGATACCCATGTTTTCGATAAAAAAATAATTTTGCTCCCCAAAATTTTTATTTCTTAATTCGGTACTAATACCTTTTATCTATCTAACCCGAACATTTCGGACTTCTACGCCTTACGGTTATCCGTTTATTGCCATGTGAAACATGGTACCCCCCGGCAAGTTTTCACACTACTACGTGGACAGCGGCTATCTTCGAGCGAGTATTACATCATTTATTGCCCGCGAGGCACCATAAACTTTACAGCAATCTAAGGGCCAAGCACTCGTGTACCCGCTGGTGTAGTGACTTTTTCTTTTGTTCTACAAATAAGTGGGATAAACGTTGTTTTCTACCAAGTAAAATTTGATGTCAAAGTCCATATATGGGCATGTGCGTAAAAATTATGAATGGGAAGAGATTCATTGATACGTTTGACCAATCATACAATAGTACAGTAAATCAAAATAATCTGCGATAGGTTGCAACTAACCACGTGTGCAAGGCAGCCATCTTGTTTCTAGATAAACAAAACAATCACCTGTCTTGTTTGTTTACATCATTAGCGTATACTCTTCTATTTGTTGTTTTAAAGTTATACAACAACATTAAGTTTAATAATTGAAACTTTACCAACAAATGTTCTGTTGATTGTCACTGGAACACTATTAAACACTGTTTCGTACGCTTTATTATACTAAGCTGAAACAATGCGTCATGGACATGTCTATCAGTTTGAAGAATGTACTAAGTCCATCCCCTTTATCCCCCTCATCCCCTTCTCGCCATTCAACCAACGGCTGTTTTATAATCTTGTTACGGCATGCTGTGATATGCTTGAACGCGTTTATCAGGCTTTACACCGGACTGTATACGACACCTGTGTTAATGTGTATGCCCGCCCATCTCTCCGTACAGGGTTTGCTAGCAACGAATGGAAATACTAGATGGGATAGCTGATAAGCATTCACTTAGGCCTTGTACTTGACCCTATCTACACAGACGTGTTATTCACGGTTGAATGAACATTGGTAATCTATGGCTCATCGGTTCTTCACGCACTATCCAGCGGTGGGGTGGGGTGAAGGGGCGTGTCTAACCTCAAGCGTTGTACCCAGCGTTGTGTAGTAGGCTATTATCATAAGGCAATAAACTTGTGTAAGCTACAATAGACATTCTATTGACGTGAGAAGACCGGCTAACAAACAAAACTTAATCTGGTTTGATGATAGCTGTTCTGAGAATAACAATCAAATGATAGGATGTTTAAGACTTAACAGTCATTAATTTATTTTCTGTTGTATGCATATTTTCTGCTTACGCAGAAAAATCTATCTAAAACTTACAACATGAATCAACGCGTATTTTATTAGCCAAATGGTTCTTCCACACATAACAAGAAGTCATTTTCTGTTTGCTATAAGAGGAAACGCACAGTGCCTTTTTCTGCCTTTCTTTTCACGTTTTCTCAACTTTGCATTTTTACTCAAAATTCAACATTCAAATCGCTAAGGCTTTGGAACCCTTAGTCTTACAGCACTGAAACATTCCACATGCATTTAGCATTATACCATCTACAAAACTACGTTTGTACATTAAGTTTACTACAATACTTTAGAAAATATCAATACTTATGTTATACCACCCCCTAATTTTTGTACTTAAATTTACGTAAAAATTTGTAATAAAAATTGAGTACAAGCTATCGCAATGAACAAACGTAGAAATGTATAGTTTGGTTTCGTAAATCTAAATCTTTCATCCGCTTTACAAAATTGCTTATGGGAACAAAGCCTTAGCGATTTGAAAAGGTGTTAGTTTTCACACCTTTTCGCGGTTCCCATGGCAACCAGTACTGCTATTGACGGCCACATATTATTTTTGTCAATAGTTTAACAACTACTAACATATGTACTTATTAAATACCCAGAAATGTGTTAAATTAAAAAAAAAAATCTATCCGTGGTGTCTACCCTTAAAGTAGAATGACTAGTTACCCATTTTCCTGAGTTTTGAAAGGTGCTTCATAAAATGTATTGTAGCTTCACATTACTTATATGTGTGTTTGTGTAAAGGGCAGAGAAACTCTAACTTTGTGATAATTTGACTCGTTAAGGTGAGGTCCATGTGGAAATTCCTGTCAAAATTTAATGAGAGCTTAGCAGAGAAAAGGGAAATAATTCAGTCTATTCTGAACAAGACAGCTTCAAAATATACAATAGATGGAACAGAAATGGGTGTCCGTGTACCAGGACTTTTGCTGAGGGAGCATAACAAAGAAATTCATAATGTAAGAATCTATTTTTAGTGTCATCTTATTGGTACTTTGCTTGTGTAAGTAAATAGGTCTTTATTTGATGTTTCTAGATTTATTTTTTAACATGTATTACTTCTTAAATATTTTTTAGAGATTTTATTTACACCTGTTTGTACTATTTAGCCCTAGAATAAGTACCAAATTAGTTAAGAAATTCGTATAACATTTTCTTGTAACGTTTTGTAAGCAAAATTAAAATGTTTTCAAAAACTATTAATTTAATATTGACTTGTTAAGCTGTGTATTTTATTTAGTCAATCAGCCTAAAGATTAAACTTTTAACTGTTCATAAAAAAATGATATAAATTTTCAGCGTGAAATCGACAATGTTTATACTGGTGGTTGCCTTAATCTTGTGTCAATTGTATTACTGTGGAACATATGTTTAAAGCTTTATAAGGAACAATTAGAAAAAGGTATGGTGTGTTAGTTCATATAAGCTTAGCGGTTTATAAACTTAACTAGTATCATTTCAATACTTCTGTGGCATTTTCTATAAATCAGTTTAACAGTAACAGTTTTTGACTTCCAAGGAAAAACCCATATTATTGTCTACAACTTATTTGATGTTTATGAGCTATACAGGTTTTACATTTTGATAGCCAATATTTTATAGATGGTAGAGGTTTACATTTTGAGTGTAAATATTATAGATGGTAGAGGTTCACATTGATAGCCAATATTATCGACGGTAGAGGTTTCACATTTTGATTGCCCATTTTGTTTACCTGACCATTTGAAAGGTTGCAGTCAATCAATAAGGGAGATAATCTTTAGGGCTCTATGCCAATCTACAAATAAAATTCAGAATAACAATAATTTACATTCCTAGAGTATAAAAAAGTAAAGTTCCTCTTAGACAGACCTAGCAATCCATTGGGTGTTCATATGTTTCTTGATCTCAGCATATAAAAAGATAAAGTGTGGTATGCACTATGCCCACCCACCTCTGTATTTTCCACAATGTAAGTCAGAGCTGGGTGGACTCAGAGACCTCCCTCAGTAACAGGTTTATATTGAGATCCCAACTTGAGACCTTTGGGCCAGCAACTAAACACTCTACTATTCGACCACACCATTCCATTTAAATTAGGGTATACAATTGTTAATTGTTTATCAAAATCTGTCTGGATGTTAACTTTTTCCCTCTCTCCAATGCCGTTTACTAATAATTTAATGCTATGAACCTACAGAGAAACTACCTGATGTTTCACAAGAACTTCCACACATAAGTGCTCAGGCTCATAAACATCACAGTCTCCTGAGGGTTACACAAGAAATAAGGTAACTGATCATTGATGCACATATGCTTTGATCATGTATATTTATTGTATTTACAATCCTTTTTAAGTTCTGTTTCTTTTTGTTTATCAACCATTGCTCAATGGAGATTTCTAATTTTTTTCATTAACTTTCTGATTTAATTTTGTATAGAGAAATCTGGAAAAAAAACCAATACAATATTGCCCTTGATTTACTTTATTATATGTAATAACATACATTTTACATTGTTTATGTTTAGACTGTTGTAATAAAAATAATATAGTTGAATATGTCATCAAATGAAGTTCTGTTTTGTGAAATTTGAACATAGATCATTTGCCTCTCCATGTTATTTTGTCATGTGTTCTATCAGATATCAGTATAAAAATGTCACTTGTCTACAGGGAAGAGTTGAGTAAAAAAACAATGCCTGAATTAAAGCAGGACATTGAACTGGCACAGAAGAAATTGAACAAATTAAGTTTGCCCAGGTCATTGAATTCTGATAATTCTGATGTAAGTTGTTTGATCTTGTTATATAGTCTTATCATGTGCCCTGTACCTGTAGTTTCATTCTCTCTGGTCTTGTCCTGGTCTCAATTTGTGGTCTCATCAAGTGGTCCCATTTTGTGTGGTCTCATCAACTGTGTTTTCATAACCTAGTGTGATAATGTAAAACATGTTTCTTATAATAATTTTTTAAAGAAATATTTGTTTACTTGATTTCATTTAGAATATTAAAATTGTTTTTGTTTGCCATGAAGAAGTTCAGGTTTGAGTTGACTGACCCGGCCTATATAAAACCTGCCCCAGTCAAAAGTTCTAAGACTGGAGGGACCCCTAAAGGACCTCTAGCTGCTTCCATCTCTACTAAAAGTAAGACAAAAAATTCTTTTAAATATTTCTCTGCTGTATTGAATACAATTTGTTGTATAGTGTAGCTGATTTTTTTCTAGACCTGTGTTTCTATAACCTGAGTTCTGTTGCACTCCAGGGGTTCTGTGAGTCTGTCTCAGGGGGTCAAGACACACACCAGACTCATATGGTTCATGATCACATTTTGTCAGTACAATGATAGAACTATAAAGAAGGATTTAATGAATGCGCATATGAAACTAGTGGGGTTTGGTAATTCCAAAAAGGATTAGAGCCATTGTTCTAGACATCTCTGTGAGCTGCCTTTTGATCAGTGTATTTAACCATTGGTTTGTTTGTCACAGGTACTCCAGATGTCATTGTGTCAGTCTCTAACAAAATAGAATCTGGAATCTCCAAACATGTTTCAAAACCAAAACCTGCTCAAGCTCTACAAGTCATGCCTGGTCACTTCATGAAAATACTCAGGTAAAAACTTTATCTAAACATTCAGGTGAAAAGTTGATCAAAACATTCAGTTAATAATTTAATAAAAACATTCAGGTGAAAAGTTGATCAAAACATTCAGGTGAAAAGTTGATGAAAACATTCAGGTAACATACTTGATGAAAACAGTCTGGTTTAGAAACTTGATGACAACAGTCTGGTTTAAAAACGTGATGAAGATACTCAAGTAAAAGCTTGACAAAGCAGCCAGATAAAAATCTTGATAAAAACACTCAGATAAAAACATGAATAAAAAGAACAGGGCACAAAAGAAACATGATTATACTTCTTAGTACATTTTAAACTGCTAAGCAACCAAGATTGTTGTTTTATGCTATAAAAAAGACTAATTTCTTTAAACAATTAAATTCTAGAACAAATGGTACAAATGAGAATAAGTCTTCCAATAATAATACTGAGCCTTCAAAACCATCAAAGAAAGCAAAGCGACCTCCCACAGCACATCTGTCAACTGCACTTCAAAAGCCGCTCAGACCATCAGTAAAAGAGAAGAGTCATACAAAAGAGGATTCAAAAATAAAGGTTTTGTTTTCAAATGATTTTTTAAAGAATAAAAAATGTTAGCCTTTAAAAAAAATAATCTTTCAGAAAAATTAATAACTCTAATTCTAAGAACATGGTTGTATTAAGTTCCATTACTTCCTGGTTTTGCCATCAACTCAGTTTTGGGAGACGAGATGCAGTGCTCTTTTTCTGTTTGATAATTAAAATGGTTAATAGATTTTATAAATAGTAAGAGTTAGTAAAAATGTGCTTGGTTATAAAATTTCTCTTCTTTTTTTTATTAATTATGAATAATTTTATGTTTGATAATATAAAAGAAAAATAAATAATATGTCTAAACTTTTATTTTACTTTTAAACGAGGACAGTGAGTCTTTTTTTGTTACATATTGGTAATCAACCAGGTGACAGTGTTCCATTTTTCCCTGCAGCTGGAAGAAATATTCTTATAACAAAAATCAACAAAATACATTTTTAAACTTAACTGTAAAAATATATTTTGTCATTTATATGAAAGTGGAAGTGCTTTAGATAATTGTTTTGCATAAATTGATAGCACAAAGAAGTAGAAAAATTAATAAAACATTCAAAATGGCACATGGAGTAACATTTTGTTTAATATGAGCAGGCACGCTTAATGCCTAAAAGGGTTAAAATAATCAAAAGTCAATGTTTATTTATTTGAATATTTCAGCTTAAAGGTAAAATAAGTTCTGCATCCACCAAAGTGTCATCTGTTGCATCCACCCCTAGAACATCAAAACAAAAAGCTGTTGATGAACTTGTTGATTCAGTATGTTTTTTCTTAAATCCTTCATTGTTTCATTTATCTGACAGTAAGACCTTCTTGCTTGTCGTCTGTGACTCAAGTTTGTTAGAGTAACCTGTAGAAATTAACACTGCAGACATCTAAAATTAATGAATTACCTCCTATAATTTGTTTCTTCTTATAATCCTCACCTTATATTTCAGGTTGTTGAATCAGTGTTAAGTAATGAGAGAAGAGATTTGATTGGAGAAAATTTGTTAGAACTACCAGGACAGCTAGGTAACTTTACATTCCTTGTGTAACACTCCAGTGGTAGTTGATGATAGTTTCTCCTAACACCACCATTAGGCAATACATGTTCTAGAGGCTTCTAATGTCAGTGTAATCAGTGATGTTTTTATTTTTCAGACAACTCAGCATTTTTGACAAAGAATTTAGTTGGCAGAAGTCCCATAGAAGTAAAAACTTATGGTACGGAAGAGGATGGGATTTCACCGATCGAAGAATATTCAGGTTCGAATACACATTTTTAACTTAGGAGAATATTTATAACTTAGGAGAGTATAACTTAGATTTAAAAGTCTGACCTGTTATTATAAACAATAAACTAGTTGTTGAAATAAAATTATAATAGTTTTTTTTTAAATGAAATCTAGCAGAAGGAAAGTAAATTAAAACATTAAAGACAATGAGTTTAACTTTTTTGTAATTATGGTGTGATTTTAAAAGTCATACATTGTAAACTTTGAATAGCTAAACATTAGGTTAGATTTTGTATTGTTCTGAGGCTCACATTAATTATATCCATCACCGTGGTAACTTTTTCTGTTTCAACAATAAATTATGTATTTTTATGTAGTATTTATATTCACAGTTTTAAAACAAAATTTCAGCTGTTAAAAGTTGTTCTATAAAAATGTTTATGTTTGCTTACATGAACTGTTCCATGTAAATTTTACAACCCAATACTCTGTTTTAGGTGAGCCTTCCATGCCCCAGTTGGGAACATTTGACGGCAGAAAGGATTACTCTGGTTACTTAGATTTTCTCAATGCATCTGCCAGAAAAAGTGCTTCAAACAACTCCATGTTTGACCATTATTTGAGTGATGATGCTGAACCAACAGCTGGAGCTGGTCACAGTGAACGTCCACCTGCTGATGGGCAGGCCAGTTTGTTACAACAGAGAACGTTTCCACATCTGTTTCGAAATCCTCGGCAGCAAGAGCAATACCAGACCCCGGTTAAACAGACCCCAGTTAACCAGGCCCAAATCAAACAGACCCCAGTTAAACAGACCCCAGTTAACCAGACCCAAATCAAACAGACCCCAGTCTCACAATATGCTTTACTGAATGAAGTATACCATAGCCCAAGGAACTCTGCTCAAGATTTATACCAGAGCCCAAGGAACTCTGCTCAAGATTTATACCAGAGCCCAAGGAACTCTGCTCAAGATTTATACCAGAGCCCAAGGAACTCTGCTCAAGATTTATACCAGAGCCCATGGAAACAACACAGTGCAGCTGTTGATAGTGGGGTGACATCATCAACCTACCTTCAATGTGTCAATCATTCTGTTCTTAGTACACCTTCAGAAAGACACCCTAGGACACAGGATAAAATGAGTTTTGTTCTAAGTACACCTTCAGACAGGAGCCCAGGGATCACTGAGACTGCAGCAGATCACCTTGTGTCACCTGGCCCTCTGAGCTTCTACAGTGACAGTGAAGATAGTTGTGATAACGGACTTGACCGGTCATACGCCCCTGTCAAGCAAGGCATTTTACTCACTTCCAGCCAAGTCAAAACCATAGCCAATGTTTCTGTCTCATCCCAGACCCCTTCAGACAGGACAGTTGAAAAGTTGGCCCAGACCCCTTCAGACAGGACAGTTGAAAAGTTGGCCCAGACCCCCTCAGACAGGACAGTTGAAAAGTTGGCCCAGACCCCTTCAGACAGGACAGTTGAAAAGTTGGCCCAGACCCCCTCAGACAGGACAGTCGAAAAGTTGGCCCAGACCCCCTCAGACAGGACAGTTGAAAAGTTGGCCCAGACCACCCCAGACAGGACAGTTGAAAAGTTGGCCCAGACCCCTTCAGACAGGACAGTTGAAAAGTTGGCCCAGACCCCCTCAGACAGGACAGTTGAAAAGTTGGCCCAGACCCCCTCAGACAGGACAGTTGAAAAGTTGGCCCAGACCCCCTCAGACAGGACAGTTGAAAAGTTGGCCCAGACCCCCTCAGACAGGACAGTTGAAAAGTTGGCCCAGACCCCCTCAGACAGCATTGTTGAAAAGTTGGCCATGCTCCAACAGAAAGTGTCCCATATATTAAACAGCTCATCTGAAGGATCTGTACACGGTGAAGGTGCTGCTAACTCAAGTTTCAGTGCATGGAGCAATGATGTCCAGAGTCTGCTTCAGAACTTAGGTATGTACACTGGGTTTGTTAACTAGGTGTTTTTACAAGCTTTTATTTAACTCACTTCCTCTGTCGTCAGTCGTCCGTCTAGATCAAAACGCCCGAGCGAAATTTCGAACACTTCTAACTGATAGATACTGTTCATAGTTGGAACGTGGGTCAAGACATGAAGACATTGCATCGTGACATTAAATTTGACTTAATTGGATGCCTAATTAATTTTTTATGAATTAATTAAAATTTTGACCAAATTAGTTGGCAGTTCTATCCAACTACTCCACACGCGTCATCACGTTCAATAGTGCATCATCGCATTCAATAGGCGCGCAATGGTTTTTAGTCATGCAACTCTAGTGTAAATAAAACAGGCAAAGTACTGAAAAATAAAAATGTTTTTAATAGCTGTTATGTAATCACCATCTCCATCTTTTCCCGTTGGTGCCCAAGACACATGGGACAGATGGAGTAGAGTTCATCTGCTTGAGAAACCTATGCATATGAAGGGTTAATGTGGTCAGTACTATGCCTAGCCGCCTTTGTTTCCGTAACGTGAATTAGGTACCCATTAGAGCTGGGTGGACTCAGGGGCAATCTACTGATATGAACCTGGATTCGAACTCCAGACAATTGGGTCAGCAGTCTAGTTCTTTACCAGTAGACTACGCCATACCATAATACTATGTAATAAAAAGCAAAAAAAAAAAAAGATTCTGTAAATATATAATGATCTACTATTTAAATAATTAAAATAACCAAATTAATTTAAAAACCATTGAAATTTTCTTATATAAAGTACTAATAGTTTTTTTCTATGGTAGAATCGGTAGTAACGCGCTTTTGAAGTCACTCGGTGCGTTCAATAGGTGCACCGATATAGACACAATCCATTTGATTCAATCTAATAGGCTAGGATTTAAAATGTGAAATACGTCACTTTCTTTCCTATTATGTCATCAGTAAGTCAACAACAACAAACAATCAGACATTTTGTGACAATTACATGATGAGTTAAATATTTCGAATGTAATAAATTCTAATATAGAACTATTTACAAATCAGCAGGCTTAGTGGGTTGCAGCCATTGTTCTCTATGTTGTAGACGGGGGTAATCTTCAAACAAACATCTGCGTCTAGTATTTCTGTTTTGATTTCTGAGACCAATTCAGTCCATAACTGATATGAATGCAGATACATCAAGTGATTTTACTTGTAATGGCGGAAGAAAATAAAGATATATTGGTAAACTCTTTAAATGATTTGGGGTGGACATATTGATATACAGCCGTGTGTGCATACTGTTTAAGCATTGAACCTCTTTACCTCATTTTTTATGAGGATTTAATAAAGTAAAATGAACAAAAAAGGTAATGAAACATGTACTCAGCGAAAAAGAATGTTGGAGAAACAAAGAAAAAAATACCAAGAAATGAATTCAAAAGAGAACAAAGAAGAAAAAGATAAACGACTTGTAAAGCGAAGAAAACGGTTCGTAGAAGAATGCTTCGAAGAACGTGAATTGCAGTTGATAAGGGGTCGTGACCAACATGTGAGTTCCCCATCTCTCGCACCAGGGTTTTTGACGCGCTGAACTGGCTAGTTGATAACAATAATCCACTGTACAAAGATGTCATCATAGATCAGGATGCAGAACTTAATTAACAGGATTTGGTTCGTGTCAAAGAAGAACCAGGTGCTGCTAATGGAGAACACAGAACATGTAAGTTCTTACATGCCTATAAACGATTTATCAAGAATCCTCTGAGCTTCGTGGCATCAAGCAAATCCTGATGTTTTTACATCAGGTTTTGCTGGTCTTCAGTGCTGTATGCTATGATACGGTTTCTAATTCATCCAAGCGCAGAACACCCAATAGATGAAAGTGGATTTTTGGAAGTTTCAAATTTTATAGTAATCAAGAACAAATTTACCATTTTTAAAAAGATATTTTCCATCACATATGATGACAATACATCTTTTTATAGAGTTTTGCAAGATGAAGTAAATCTAAAAAATGGAGTAGGCATGGCGTTGAGAACAGCTCTTAATGAACTGTTCTGTCAACACCAAGCTGGCATTCTAATTGCTAACTCAAAATCGCTTGGGGTTATGCAATATGAAGGCAAATATTATTTCACCGATTCCCATTCATGTGGTCCAAAAGGCACATGCGCTGATAACGGCAGAGCATGCATTATTGAGTGCGATTCAATAGAGGAAATACATCGCATTTGTAAAAAAGCAACTGGGTAAAAAAATATGCAATATATGCAATTTTATTGACGTGTATCTAATAAATGACGCTAACAAAAATGACACACATCAACAGCTACAACCAGAAGTAGTTACATCCCCCGATTATGTCAGTCACATGTCAACAGAAGCTCCAATACAAACTGAACATGTACATTCAATACCCGTGGAGACATCTGTCATGGCACCAATCAACTGTAACCAGCCAGACGTAGATGAAGAATTTCAAGTGTCAAATAATATCAATGAAATCTTTCGCAAAACTAATGATAATATTGTTAATCACACGCACGAATTGAAAGCTGAGGAGCTTGCCTGGTTCTTTCTCTTTCCATATGGAATTAATGGATTTAAAACAAGATAGGCAAGTAAGGATAACACCTCTGGACTATTACCAATACAGAATTATGGGGAGTGACACAAGGTTTCAACAAAACGATTATCTTTTTTATGCACTGTCTATGTATGAATTTTATAAGGTGAAGGCTTCCATTTCTGCATGTGGAAAACTGGTTCAAGGGCAAGATGGTCAGGTCGAAGATATTCATTTGTATCTGAAAAATGTTCATGGAACCGCAGCCTATTGGCAAAAGGCACTTAATGAACTGATTGGGCCAATACAATGTCTGGGGCTACCTACGTATTTGGTAACACTGAGCAGTAATGATTTACACTGGCTTGACATGCGCAAAGCTTTGTTGGTAGCTGTCGGAAGACTGGATGAGAATCCGAACAATCTGACCACATATGAAACACAGCGTTTGATTGAACAATTTCCTGTTGTAGTTAGTCAGCAATTTGTAATACGACTCAATGCGCTAATGAAATTTGTAAAGAACAACCAAGAGGTGTTTGGAGGTCATTTAAAGGATTACTGGTGGCGAAGAGAGTTTCAAAACCGTGGTAGTCCCCACTTATATATGTTAGTGTGGATTGAAAACCATCCCTCTTTTGATAGGCTAGAGGGAATCGCAATGTTGGATCAAATATGTGTAAGTGTGAGATCCCATTAGAGAGTTCTGATTTGTGTGAACTTGTCAAAAAATGTCAAATTCACCGTCATACAAGCACCTGCAAGAAAGGGGATAACCCTTCACTAGTGTGTCTGTTTCAATTTTCAAGACAGATTCAGGCTGCAACTGCTATGATTGCAGAAACATCCGATGATTTTATTAAAAATGGCAGAAGAATATGCTTGTTGAAAAGAAGACAGGAGGATATATGGGTAAACAGTTACAATCCTACTCTTTTAAAGATTTGGGGTGCAAATATGGATATACAACCGTGTGGATCAAATGAGTCTATAGCATACTATATAGCAAAGTACATAGCAAAATCAGAGACTACTGAACTAGCACTTGCCATCAGACAAGCAATACAAGAAATCCAGAGGGAAGATTCAGATGTGTCTCGAAAACTGTTCAAGATTTGCATGAGAATAATGATCAAACGGCAAGTTTCTGCTTGTGAATGTATGTACAGATTATGTCAATGTCAGAGACAGCTCACACAAATGTATCTTCCTGAATACTCGACAGCCACAACAAAGGTACAGAGTACTTAAATTTCACCAGTCTGGCCATTCAACTGGATATTGTGCCAATATTTTTGATCATTATGAAAAAAGACCCCTGGAACATGTAGACTACAATTTCAACCAAATGTGCTTAATTGAGTTCGCAATGCTATTTGAGCCTTAATATGCAAAGCAACAAGATGTTATGACATTAAATATTGACGAGGATGCATATGAGACCGAACTACGCACTAAAATTACTCTTATAGACAGTAGCAAAATGACCATAAGAAAACTGCCAGCTGTTGTAAGAGTACCTAACTTTGTAGCCTCAGCAGATGGTGAAAATTACTTTTATAGCCTTTTACTCAGTACACTCCCTACCACAGAGAAGAAGAGCTACTGATTTTTTTTTTAAACTTGCAGTAACAATGTAGATAAATTATTTCAACAAGCAACTTTCTAAATTTTTGTTTACCTCTAATATAATGAGTCCTGGCAATAAATGATTGATTTAGTGATAGGTTAAATTTTATGTGCTCTCTAATATTATTCCTTAAATGTTAAGTTCTAATTTTATAAATTCCAGATGATAGTGAGGGGCTTTTAAGTACTGATTTGATCAACACTGATTTGTTAGGCAAGTATATTCGAATGACTTTAGTTCACACTATACCGTTTTGATAATTTAAATAATATTTCTTATTGATCAGTAGGTTTAACATACTTAATAGCGAATTAAACACGATATAATTTAGATAATCTATTTTAAACATAAAAAAATTAATATTTTTTATTATTCTCCATTCCAGATGGATTAGATGATCTCATTCAGTTTAATCCAAATGACAGCAAATAATATTTGAACTATGTGCCTGATTCAAGTTTTTGTAAATATGATTTAAGAAAGCTGATTGTACTTAACATCTACTTAATGTAGTTTCTATTTAATGTTTGACCATAGTAGTTAACTTGTAGTAAATCAAAGAATTATACATTCATAGATTCTTTTCATATTTCATCTACAATGGCAAAATTTTAATGTTTTATAGTTTATTATTGCATGTTTGTATGTATATCACTAATTATAGTGGATGTTATAAGATGATATTAGTTAGTGTACTTCGTCAAGAACTATTGCAATAAATGAAATGGTAGCTATGTTTAGACTATTGTCTAATTGTATGAAGGAATTATCATGTAACACTTGAAAACTTATGTTAGGGTAAAGCTTTGTATGTTTTTTTATTATATAAAATGATATACTGCTTTTCCTTATTTTTATAAAACATGAAATCACATTTACTCAAAACAAATCTAACATGTTTTGGAAAAAACAGTAGTTGAAATTTGTACTTGCCATCTTCTGAATAAACTATTTTATTTCTTTCACTTAGTGTATTTAAAAAGAGTGCTTATGGTATATTTCATTACAAGTAGAAATGAGTATGTTTTTCAATCTATGTTGGGCAGGTGGTTGCTTTAACACCTTCGTGTGGGTCAATGTGCCTGGAGTGAGCATAGTTCACAGGTTCCCAAACTTCTTTCAGTGGCCAGCCCTTTTTTAAAAAGCCAAGTGACCAACAACCTTCATACAATTTTTTAAAAAGTTGTTTGGTTAAGTCAACAATGATAGAGCTCTATCAACATTTATGGTGAAAAATACATACCACTGCATACATGGAAAATATAATGTAACAGCACATTTAAGAATAAAACTTATTTATTCATGAATTAATGCATATTAAAATGTCTTAAACTATTTCTTCTATTAATGATCCTTACTTAATGGTTAGGTAGCATTAAGAAACCCAAAAGATACTTGTTCAAATCATTTGGGGGGAAACTCCTCCACCAGAGACTAAACGATCTATGACAAGTACACACCCTCTCACCTTATCACTGGCGCGCTGATACACAAAATAAATTTTAAAATAGGATACACATAGAAGAAATTAGTCCAAAGGATAACAAATCATTAAGACGTTAAATGTACAGAATTACAATACCCGATAAAGGAAGTTTTCATTTGGTAAACAGTTAATACATATATCCTGGCTTACACGCGTCCTTTGTATTGCTTTCTCTGCGATCTTATGAATGCAAGATGGAGGGCACAACAACTAACTTCAGTCGAGTAGATTGACAGAGGATTTATGTTTTTGTATTGTAAGACAGGTGTCTCTGGTTTAATGGATTTTCTGGTGCCTTCATCCAGTCTTTTTTTACTATCTGTTTCAATTGGGATAGACGCATGTTTGGGTTTTCTTCTTTCAGGGCTGGGAGTCTGGATTCTTCATATTCAATATAGGCAGCTCGCATTCTTTTTTCAGGGTGACGATCAACTTGTACCTCATCCCCAACACTACAAAGGAAATCAGACATTTAACTTTACGATAAACTTTTTAAATATCACATTTAAAAAAAAAATATTGTTTAATTCACAGCAAAATTATAAGACAAAAAAAAATAATGACCTCAAAATAGAAATAGCTTCCTCCACTGTTCTAGCTTCATCGCCATCTGTTTCTATTCGGTTAATATTCTCTTCAAGAGGTTTCTCCACATGAGTCATCTTTTCCTTTGCTTTAGCAGCTGTTGATTGGTTAGAAAAAAAAATGTAAAAACAATCACTTTTTTATGAACTAAAAAATCAAGTCTTAGTGTTTTGATTTTCAGAGTGTCAATTAGATAGTTGCCAGGGAGGGTTACAGCTACATTATAGGTTGGAGGGTGGGGCAAGATTAGCACCCATCACATTTCTTTGCTCTATTCCACTGAAGACTTTATATGAAATATGTGCCCCCAAAGGGTTGTATGCTAGAGTTACAGAAGTTTTTTCCAGTTGTTTAAAAAAATTGTGTTGAAAGTCAGTAAAAAGCATAAACTAAATTGACCAGCTGATAAAAACTGCAACAAATGTGGGTGAGAACAATGAGTTCAAAATGAGCCAAAAACAAAACCTTTACCACACAAGTGTTTGGATGTTGAGTACCAAGATTTAAACATGTGCTCTACCAACCTTCTGCAGCAGCAGCCATTCTCTCCTGATTCTCAATTATCTGTGCTCTTGTTGTTTTAGCTGCTTGTGACTTAGCACCTTTGATGCTGCTCATTTCTTCTTCATGAAGTTGTTGAAGTGTTTTTTTTCTTTCCACAAGCTCAAGTCTCTTCTTCTCTTTTTCTTCCTTAAATTATAAATTGGCTTATGCTTTTTAAAGAATGTACACAGATTATATATATATCTCAATAAAAATGTTTTTAAATATATGATATATTAATACTTTAACAGAGGAAATATGCTTGGTAAGGATAATTTATTTTACATTGTAAAAACTATTAAAATTTTAACAACTAGGCATTTTAAATATCTGATTCAATGATTAATGCACTTGCACATTAAAATGACTTAATGTAATATTTGACAGCACAAGATATCTTTAATATAATATGATTAATCAAATTGGCAGAATTATATGTGCTAAATAGCAGTGGCATAGGCAGAAATTTGTCATATGATTTGGGGTTCAAATGTGTTTCCATTAAATGTAGAAGACCATATTTTTCATAAAGATTTTCCAAATGTACAATTGTTGTTTTAAGTCATTCACACTTTTGAAAATGTAAACAATGTGAGGTGAGTGCAAAGTCACCAATAGGTGTCATTCAACATGAGACAATTTTTATTTAAGGGATAAATAGTGAGGCGGGGTGGGGGGTCTCTAAGACATCCTGCCTAAGCCACTGCTTGATAGACTAAGTGATAGCTAACATACCTTTCTCTGCAGTTTTCTAGCAATATGCTTGTCATCATCTTTCCATAACTCGTCTTCTAGCTGCCGTTGAGTTTTTTCATTTTCTGCTTGCTTTGCTGCATCTTTTCTAGCTTTTGCCTCTGCTGCTTTTGAATTTTCACCTTTAAATTTTTTGGGCATTGCTATATCAAATCAAGCAACTTCAGCCTCTGTTCATTGAAAAGTTAAAGACAATCAATTGTATTATTGTATGCATTTATCTAACATATTTATAGCTTTATTTGCCTAGTTTTTTAAACCTAACCTTCAGTACAGAATACATAAATATCCATTTGTTTTTGTAATTGTGTCTAATAATTTAGCACTAATAATTTAAATTTTGCTTACGATTGTTTTTTTTTTATACAGATTGTATTGGATAATATCCAAGATTAACTACCCTAAAAAAGTTGCAACTGTTCTGGCATCTGAGCTACTTAATGACACTTGTCTAACTAATTTTGGCGACATTAGGCAGGAGGAAAGGGATGAGGAAACTTCAATTGATAGATTTTTTAAAAACTGCCTGCATGTGAAAGTGAGGAAAGCATGGCAAAAAAAGCATGGGAAAGACCAATGAAGAGAAAAGCAGTCTAACAAAAAAGTTTATAGTAGTTCAATTATGTTCAGTGAAGTGGGTGTTGGAAAACTGCGAAACGCGAAATGGTGAGGCAGTAAATTGCAAGAAGGGAGCAAAAACTTCAGGTCACGTAACACACAAACACGTTAGCAAAACACTAGAATTAGATTAGAGCTAGATATAGATCTACTTTTTTGATGAGTTTTAATTAGAAAAGGTATTTAAAAAAACCATAAAAATGCATTAGGACAGTTCGAAATGAATAGCGTGAAAAAAATACCTACACAGTCGAGGGTTCACCGTGAGTTCACATTGACTTTAATTATCAGCATACGTCAAGAACATACATACTTACATACTTATGCTACATAGTACATAGATCTACATAACATTTAACATAGTCATAGCACATTCAATATTCCAAATTTGGATTTTTCTTAAGTTTTTACAAAAGTAATTATCAAAAACAAAAATTCATAAAGAAATAAGCCCATTGTTTTCCTAACGTTTTTGTGTTTCGGTTGTGTTTATATCTATATAATAATAATAAAATATGCTTGACTGGAGGTGAACGTGAAGCTGGGAATAAAATAAAATACGCTAAAATGGAGGGTAATCTATCCTTTTGGGTACGTAAAATTGCCCGCGGCTATTAATGTACGAAAATGTTACCTCATTGTCAAGGCTGTAATAAAAGTAGGCCTATATTGTGATATGTTTGTGTCAAATATTGTAGATAAATGAATAATAAACCTAAATCAATGGCTAAATATATCAATATAGGCCAGAAATTAACTTTAAACAGCAGTGTCTGCAGCAAGATTTGCTATATTTTAGTATATAAACAGCAGCCATTTGTAAAATAGAGTGACTTCCCCCTGAATCTTGCGCTGTAAGTCTATAAAAATAAAACTTTAACAAGATGGCTGCTATAGTAAATGAGCATGGTTGCATCTGTTGGAAACATCGCTAGTGTTCATTTATTACTAATTTAAAATTATTTATTACTGAAAAGTTTTAATTTAATTGTTTAAAAACAGGTACATAAATGAAACAAGGAAACATGTTTGTATTTTTCAAAACATAAATCCTCCTCAAAATGTGAAATAATTATTAAAATGTAAGGAGTCACCTGTTTTTCACATTACTAGTCGCGGTCGATTTTACGTACCCCTGCCTAAACTAAAACTAAAGTAAAACGATAGATTACCAAATGGAGTTTTACCGAGATCCAGTGTCTACAGTCTCTAGACTAGATCTAGATCTAGATACCTAAATTTACCATCAAGAGTTTAAGAGATAGATCTATCTTATCTAGGATCTATTCAATTCTATTCCAATTTAGATCTAGAGATCTAAGATTCTTATAAAAATAAAACCGAGTATTATTATTTTTTTTATTAGTAAACTTATTACTAAACTAAGTTGTCGTTATTTATTTGGGATTCATATGAATCCGGAAACATAGAAGAGTAGATCGCCACGGGACGTAATTCACATTCACAACCTACCAGCGATTTTATTATTTAGTTTAGTAGTCCTAGAATCTTTCCCAGGTTCGTAGATTACATTATAAAGTTTACTAATTTACTAGAGATCTAGACTAGTAACTCACCCTTTTACGTAGGTGTTACGCCGGGGTGATGGTAAATTTGCGAGGTTGTAGGCCCTTACCTAAATTAAATTAGTAAAATGTAAGAACTCAAGGAGAAAACCTCCGGTCATGTGACATTTTTCATTTTTTATTTTGTGTCTCACTGTCTGTCATATTAAATTATTAAATCTAGATCTAGATCAAGTATTATTCCAGGGGGCTCTCTGCCAGCCTCCCCCCCCCATATGAAATGGAATTTACATAGAAAGCATATACTTTTACCACTGTCCCCCCCCCCCCCCCCCATCTGACAACACAATCAATGGACACCAGCGAGTTGACGAGATTCCTTCCATAATGTTGTTGACATGGAATAAAAACGTGCTTTTTAGATTTAGACCGTAAAAAAAAAATAAAAAATAAAAACTTAAGCCTAAAATTAATTTAGAAATTTTATATTTTTAGAATAAATGCTATAAAAGTTGCAAATCCAGAGAACTTGAAAATAATTTGTTGAGTTTAAGGCTACATTTCTATTTATGTTCATCAAGCCTAAGTTATAACCGGATGTTTCACTTTCGTAAGACAAATATTGATTGGCTGTACAGTAACTTAGTGATCGATAACTATTTGTTTACAAAACTTTGCAGATCAAGTTTTTAAATAACAATGCAAATTTAAAACCCCATGACCTAGTTTTCTATTTTTAGCTTACAATGTGTACAATAAAATCTATGGCGGCCTATCCAATAGCAGGATGCCATTGTTTATGTCGCCATTACACGTGAAAACCAAATTGTTTTTGCTTTTTTTTAAAATTTTTATTTAGTTAACGAAAATATTATAAACATCAAATACATCCAATCTTTAGTAAAGTCCGAAAAAAAACCAGACAGGCAGGATTTTATAACCAGATTAATTGTAACTACGCTGTGCATGATTTTTAAATGAATTTATACACCTCTCAAATACCTTTGAGACTTTTCTCGCTGGTGTCCAATGGCTATTCTCAGTTGCAATTTGCTGACTAACTAAGAACTTGGCTCTTTGAGTTGTTATTAGGCGCTAGAGAATTAAAATTTACTTTAATTTAGAATGCAGTAAGCATGAAAATAATGATTATAATATGTTGTGACATTGGACAACGTTTTGTTGTTTAGTTAGTGGAAAATTGCCAGTACAGAACATATTTTTGGTGCTAGATCTAGCATTGATTGTTGAATTGAATTTTCAGTACCCAACTATTTGAACTAACTTAGATCTACTAACATTAGTCACTAGATCTACTGATTTTTTTTTTAAACATGATTCTAACCTTTCAATGACTAAAGCTTATACTCTGTATAATTTTCAGATTATCTTACACCATTTTATAGAACTTAATTGTTGAGCTTAACATCTGAAGATCTTATTTTAAAATAACTGTATAGTTAGAAGATACTTTAAAATGATTCAGCCAAATGAAGATAGCCAAGAAGTTCAAAATGATGCTGTAAATCCAACAGAGGAGCTGATTCCTGAAAGAAAAATCACTCAGACTGATCATGTTAACAGCAAACTTCTTAAGGCATTTTTGAGTCGGCTAAACCAGAATGACAATACTGTTGCATTTGGACTCAATGCTCCATCTGCAGATTTAGAAGAGGTGGATAGTTCTGAAAATTCTGATTTTGATTCATCTGAAAATTGTGCCAATAATCATGATAATGACAGTGAAGACAAAAAGGACTAAAGTGAAATACACAGTTTGAATTGACTTTTTTCTTGAAGTATCATTGACTCTCTACCTTGTCAGGCTAATTTAAACCATAGATATATTTTAACATTCCAGTTCAATATAAGGCATGGGAAAAATGAAGAAATATTTGATTTTTGGGCTTGGTGGGTAAGTCAGATTTTTGTTTACTCTGTGCTTATTAGATTAACAAGAAGAAATCATTTTTATAAACTGCATTTTAAAATATAAAGATTCATTGAGTTTTTGTTATTTCAGAATTACTAATAGTGGAAAATCAACGATTGCAGCAATGTTGTGTAAAAATCTACCATTTGTTGAAGTTATGTGCCAAGATAATTATTTTTTGGTAATAGACCTCAGTTCCCTTTTTAAATCAGTGCATTTGATATTATTTTACCTTAATACTGTATGTTTACTGTTGTTAACAGTATCATTTGTTCTTTTATTATGCTATGAACAACGTGAAATAAGCAAAACTGTAGACATTTATTCATAAATACAGGATCCAGACGATGCTCAAATTGAAAGAGATGAAGATGGCGTACGAAACTGGGAGAGTGAGTAACACCTGACTAGCATATTCAGCAGAAGAGTATCTCTAAAAACATTCTAAAAATCTTTTTAATCCTGTATCTGATTTTTATTTCTGATTAGATTTTTAAGGATAAATAAATATATTTTAAAAAAACTTTTTATTTTAGTATGACATTTAAACTTTCTTTTGATAATGTGTTTTGGGATTGCTTGAGCAAATCATAGAGTTCATGATTGCTAACCAAAAAGTCTTGTTTTCTAACCTGTGGCTCTAGATTGTAGGATGTTCTGAGTCCACCCAGCCCTAATGGGTGACTGACTCACTATCACTTTAGGGAAAGTAAATACGACTTGGCAGAAACAGGTTAACTACCCAATCTGCCCCATGAACTACTAGGTTCAAAAGGGTAATTAGTTTGATCATGTGTTCCACCTTTAAGTTTTAATTATTTTTCACAAATAGAACTAAGTGCTTTGAATATGAACAAGATGACAAGTGATGTTGAGACCTGGATAGCAAAACACAGCAGTAAAGTTTCAGACCAGATATCTGTTCTAGTCATTGAAGGATTTCTCATCTTTAATCACAGGTATGTTTCTGAAACAAGACTTATCTTGGCAATCATTTGTTTGTATCCCTAGTATTTTTTTAATAAATAACTAACTAAATTAAAAGCCTATCTGTAATACCAATGCTTGATGTTATACAGAAATATTTGTGTTAACCTTCATCTGCACTGATGAATATGTTTAAAAGTGTTGAAAATCTTTTACAACATCTTAATGCGCACACCAAAATAATCTGTCATTAAATTTAACTTGACACAGTTTAAATTAGTTCCAGTTATTGAGAATCAGTTGCTGGACAGTAGTGCTAGCCCCTCAAGTTTAGACCTTTGACTCGAGTCCCTATAAACTGCCAGGTTCAAAGAGTAACTTGGTAAAAATCATCAACAATTTGTAATTGTCCTTAATTACCAATAAAGTAAAAAGAATTTTTTTAAAAGAACTACCTTCAGAAAGAATATATATTGTTCATTGCATATTTTTCTTGTATTCATTTTCAGTAAACTTTCATCCCTAATGGATTATAAGTACTTCATTCAAATAAACCAAGAAACATGTAAGGAACGTAGAATGTAAGTGTTGAGAATAATTTTCTCCATTTTATAAAAACCCAATTTTGCTTGGGGTTCAACTTAAAATGTTTCACCCTGGGACCATGAAAGAAAAAAATGTCCCTGCAACATCACTAGTTTTCCTCCGTACCACTGAAAAATATGTGAAGCTCCCTATGATATTCATGTAGGTGTTTTATGGGTTTAAAACTCCATATTCCTCTTAAGGCTTAATTCAAATTTCAATCATTTCAGAAAACGTGTGTATGTACCCCCAGATCCTCCCGGTTATTTTGAAAACTATGTGTGGCCAATGTACCTGGAGAATTTGGAAGCAATCACTGATAAAGATGACATTGGTAATTACAACCTCTCTTTTTTGATAGTTTGGGGATGATCTCATTCTCTTCATTTAATGCTAGAATATTGCTTTAGGTACTTGATTGGGGAAAAGGACATTACCAACTCACCTTTCCACACCCAAAAACTGTAGTAGGACATTGTTCCTTGTTGATTACTTATTGACCCTATACCTAATAGGGTTTGGAATAGGTGAAGGATAAGTTAGGGATATGGAGGTATTTATAATGGAGAAGTATAATGTGTATTCTCAAGAAGGGAGGGTGGCAACAGTCTCAAAAAGTATTGGCACTGTTTATACTTTTTGGACAATAAAGGAATAGTTTTCTTGTAGTAACTTCTTTAATTGTGATGTTAAGTCATTAGTATAATTGATGGTTGTAGAGAAGTCATTTGATTAAGATTGAATGTAAATTTATCAAGTTAGCTTAATACCAAAATAAAAAAGGTTACAAAAATTTTATTTTTTCAGAATTTATAGATGGCATGTTAGATTTAAACACATTGTTCAGTGAAATCTTACAACGTATCAATTCAGCAATAGAGACAACAGCATCTTGTATTGGAACATAGCCAGTCAGTCAGCTCATATAGTTCATATGCAAAGCTACATTCTTAATTTGTTAATTTCATTTGATAATCATACATGACATTTTTCTGTAAACTATTTTTAATTAAAGTTGATTGTTATTGCTGATGGACATTATTAAAAATTGTTTATATATAACTTGCTGGAACAGTTTGTGTTGCGGTTTGTTGTTTTTATAAAGTTGATGTAGCAACTCATGGACCATTAAATATTAAAAACTCAGAATGAAAAACTACCATATCAAAAGGGCCAGCAATAAATGGTCCCCATCAATTCAGCTCCTGAAAGAGTAACTCCAGGTCCTTGAATAACCTACTGTGGAAATCAATGATTACTACATAAATCAATGATTAAATAGCACACAGAGCTAATTAAAAACAATAATTCTTATCTTAATTCTTGGGTGGAGGGGGGAACTTATCCCAGCCCAAAATGAAGGGGAGGGGTAGAGGGTGGTGTGCTCTTCTTTGCATCATACAGGGTGGGGGGTAGAGGGTGGTGTGCGCCAGAGGTGGGTGAATAGTAAGGGGTGGAATGAGCCTTCCACCCACAGATGGGGAGGGGGGGTTGCCCCCCCCCCTCATGGATAGGAGGGGTGCACCCTCCACCCATAGGTAGGAGGAGGGTAGGGTACAACTTCCGCCACAGGTGGTGGAGTTTTTGTGTGATCCATCCCCTTCCTTGAATTAGCAGATCTTGCGATATACCCACTTTCTCATCCCGGTAGTAGGTGGTTGGACTCCCTATGAGTGGGCGGGTGTTAAAAATGTATTCAACCGGGTTTTTTAAAATATGTAAAAATTATGATGCTAACTTGCTTAACTAAAACCAATATCCAGACAGGTGTCAGCCTTTTTGAAACCAAGTATTACAATTATTATTGTTTCAGGTCAGACAATTATCATAAGAAAGACTAACAAGTTTGTGTCAACAATTTTAATTTTTTTTTTAAAATATAAAAATTGTATTTACAAAAAATAAAATCATACAAAAATAAAACAGTCTTAAAACAGCAGTCTTGGCAATATGAATAAATGTTTAAAAAAAAGGAATTTATGCTGCCATTGGTCAACGGGTATGATGTGTAGTAACACAATGATGGGAGACAATCGCTTCACATAGAATGTAGTAATACAATGATGGGAGATAACTTCACATAGAACATAGTAACACAAGTAAAACAATTCTCAACTAATTCAACAAAAATTGTTTGCTAGTTTTTAAGATCTGGAATGCATATTTGACGTTCCCCTTCAGCTAAAAAGATCTGTAACGCCTTTTGAAAAAGGTAGACACCCATTTTTCTCCTTTGCTGTGCACTCCAACTAGTAGCAGCTCCATAAAAATCTCCTTTTCTTATGTTAGTCACTTTGTGAATACCTAGAAAATTGTTTCGAATATACTTTAAAATCTGCAGCTCAATTACATTTTTTTAAAAATAAAATGACAGCAGTCAGAAATTATTTGATAAGTTATACTTTTGTCTTGTGTTAAATCAATAAAAATAGAACAATTTTAAACTAACTTAAGACACATTTTTTAATAAGATATCATTAGAAAATTGTAATTAAGTTCAACATGGAATATATTAGTTGTCTCATTATTTAGATATCAAGCAGGCCAGTTACACAGGCTATATAAATAAATTTCCTTATTAGAAAACTATAAGGCAAGTAAATGTTTGAAAAAAAAAATGTTACAAACCAATTGCTTCTAACATGCATGCCTCTCTAGTGTAAGCTTCTACAGGAATAACTGACTGAAAACAATGCAGTGATACAACACCCAGACCATCTCTCCAGATCCCTAAGATATGCTGCACTTTAGCACCCATCTGAAGAAAAAAAAATAGTGGTGTATAGGAAAAATATACAGAGAAAAATTAAATAATAAAAGAAGATGTCACAATCCAGTTTTAAAGAAAATGTGTCCAGGTTACTTTAAATATCAGTAAAGGTAATATTTTAACATTTCATTGAAGTTTTAGAGTTGTTCCATGAGTTAAATTTAGACTGTAGTGTAAGTAAAATAAAAAACAATCTAAACATTACATACCAAAAAAATTTTTTTAAATTTAAAGTACAAAACAGTAAAGCTATATGAAAATTTGTTGTTAAAAAGTTACATACAAATTCATTGTTGTTAAACTATATGCTAGTTGGGTCCTGTTAGCTATATGAAACTAATTGCTGTAAAGATACCTACCCTAGAAGTGTCTTTGTTCAGCTTAGAACAAGCTTCAAATAGATGTGAGTAGGGTCGTGACCTTTTTCCTTTGCCTATGTAAAAAATGGCACTGATGAAGATTGTAAACACCTCCAAATCTGGGAAATGGAGAAAAGTTAATATACAAGAGAATAAAAGCATATTCAAGCTGATAAATAATGTTACAGTTAAGTACTTGAAACATTTTTTTGATCAACTGCAGTTGATAAACATGAATATTACAAATTATTGTTGGAGGGAAAAGTGTTCACTGCAACAATTTTATTGATAAAAATAATTATAATATACTTTAATTATAAACAAAATAAATATAAAAATATTGTTACTTCAAAAAATGTGGCTATATTAACTTGCTAAAAAACTCAAAAACTAAGACGAAATATTTTAAAAACCTGTCATGTCTTTAGCTCTCAAAGGTAAATTTTTAGTCACTCTTGGATCAAGGAGGAGGTAAGTAAAGGATGATTTAGCACAGCCTTCCCTCCACTGGTGGCCTGTGCTGGCATTGAATGACTCGATCAGCTTCATTTCTAAATGGTCTAGTCCAGCAGAATCAAACTTGCCATTCAATGCTTGGATCATTTCTGGTGGGTAATCTAGGCAGAGAAGTTGAGAGGTTTCTTTAAATAGATATGTTTTTTTAAAATAAATCTTTACTTGTTTTATCTTTAAAAACAGTTTGATACTAGTAGGAAAATTAAGTTATGCACTTATTTAAGGAGGGATGATTCTTTAAAAATTGTGGAAAATAACATATCTACAGAGTTTACAAATTTTAATGTAATTTAAATGTAATATTTACCTGGGTAAGTAGTGGTTAGCGTCACCAGACCAGGGTTAGACTCCAGGCTAGCAAGGCGACGTAGGTAGACCTGTTTAGTGGCTATAGTGACAGGACCCAGCAACTCTCCATAGTTTTTAAGTCGGGCTGAAACCTCTTCACAACTCAACTTCTTTAGATGGTTTGGCACCAAAATATTATTGTCCAACTCGACCTTTGATCTGGTGACAGGGCTGCTGGTCTGTGATGGATCACAACTTTCTGCAAGGTGTTTGTGAGTTCTTGTGTCAGGAGAGGTAATTTGAATTGAAGACCAGTCATAGGCTTGAGTTGCTTCAGAATCCAAGCAAGAAGTTTTTGTCTTCAGGTTTTCATTCAATCTGGCAGGTGAGGAGTTGGCTTTGATTGGTTCTTTCTTTCCTGTATCATTTTTTCTGGTATGGGAGGTTTTTGGGGTGTCTGATGTGCTTTTGGCAGGCTGTGCTACTGGTTCACCTGTCTGCTGGGCTACTGTTTTACCTGTCTGCTGGACTACTGGTTTACTTGGCCTGGTCTGCAGCATGGACCAGTCGTAGATCTGCGTCTCCTCAGAGAAAGTTGATCCTGTGGTAACTGAGCTGTCCAGAGACCTGCGGTCACTGAGGCTGCCACAGTCAGATGGCAGCAGGCGCTCTACCAGTGTCAGGCCAGTTTTCCCATCCACTATATCTTTCACTGAGATTGTGCTGAAAATACTTTCATTGGAAATTCGTTTCTTTGGAGCTGTTAGAGAATATCTTAGACTCTCCCAAGGAGCTGCGAATACTTTGTCCTTACCATTAAGAACTGGTTGTTGTAAGAGTTGTGTAGTTTTCTGCTTGTGTGTGCCACAAGCCTGAGGGTGCTGAACATGAAAGCTGCCATCTAATGTCATCAAAGTGTCATCCAACAACATCTGTGTGGGGGACTTCCAGCCTGGCTTATAAGCTTTCATCACTTGATTGGGCTGGTCTGTGTCCAGTTGACTTAATGCTGGTAACTTGGATGGCAATACTTGGTCAGTCTTCATGGGACTTGAACCTACAAACTTATGTGGCCACTGCTTGTTGATGTCACATTGAGCTGTGTTACTTGTGTTTTCATCAAACCCTTCATCACAAGTTGTATACAAATCTGAAGATAAACCTGTGTCATTTAAACAACTCTTGTTACCTACACAGGACTGTAGAGGTTGTTTACCTTTGGTTGGTTCTGTTGGAACCAATTCTACCCCAGGTGCAGCAGATGGATGAGATGAGTTACCTCTCTTGCCTAATGGCTGAATGGAGTTATCTTTCTGATCAGCTTCAAGAATACTACACTTGTCCATAAAGTTAGCAGAGTTTAAAATAAATTCTGCCACCCTGTCTTGTGGACTAGCAACAGATTTTGGCAAGTTGAACTTTAAATATTTAGCCTTGGCCTGTGATGTGCACACCTGAGTGGACCCACTAGACCGGTCATTCACAAGTGTCAGAGTTGAGTCATCACTTGATTCTTTTCTCTGCTCACTCTTTGACCAGGGACTTGCAGCTTTGACAGGAGTCTTGTCCAGATCTTTTGGCATTGGCTGCTCTAGGTGGTTCTCAGAATCCAGGGTTGGATATAATTTACTATGAGATGTAAGTGTTTCAGGTACAACAAATTCAGTAGAAGGGGATTTCCCACCTGTAATTGCTTTTTCTTGAATAAGAGATACATTCTTACAATTATTGTTACTATTTGGATTTGACTGCTGTAACTTGGATTTATTTACACTCAAAGTTTCTTGAAAAACATTAGAATCATGAAAAGATTCTAATTTGTCCTCATCCTTAGCTTCATCTAAATCCCCCTTGCCCCCCACTTTGTTCTGCAACAGCTTTGATCCTAGCTTGATGTTGTTGGGAGAGGTGGCATCAAAATAAACTCTCTGGCCAGCCTCTAAAAAGTTGTACAACTGTTCTGTAATTGTCTCAGGCTGTTGAAGATCTTCCCCTATTTGAAACTGATCGTATTCAAGGGTCTGGTCTTGAAGCTCATGTTGTTTGTCATCAGCCAAACTTGAGAGCACATAATCTCTGATAACTGTATTGACGGTGTACTGGCGGATCAGCTTGGCAGATTCATCATGGCCTTCCTCAACAGCTAAATCATACGCTGTTTTACCATCCTGAAAAATGTATTGAGTCTTCTTTAGATATGAGGTCATTTTTTTAAAGAACAACTGGTCAATGTTTAGTTTTCATTACCATTAGTGGAGTTGGTACAGAAATAAATTACGTTAAAATTGATTATGTGTGGGTAAAGATTTCATAAGTTGTCTACAGTTGTTTTTACATGATCTTGCCCCCATACTTAAACAGATACCTGATCTTGAGTGACCTTGGCCCCATACTTAAACAAATACCTGATCTTGAGTGACCTTGGCCCCATACTTAAACAGCAACTTTAGTGTCTTGACATCACCCCATGAAGCAGCAATATGAAGTGGTGTTACACCTTCTGAGGATCTGAATAATCAAATTAAGTTCAGAAACTGATACAACACATTTTTTATTTTTTGTACTATTCAAAATTGTATTGACAAATTTTAAAAATCAATAAGTTACATACAGGTCAATATATATAAATAAATAAATGAATATATATATATATATATATATATATATATATATATATATATATATATATATATATATATATATATATATATATATATATATATATATATATATATATATATATATATATATATATATATATATATATATATATATATATATATATAAAGGTTTTTAACTTACTCAACATTTGGGTTACCCCCATAGCGCAGAATTAATTCTGTAATAACAAATCCTTGCCCAGCAGCCAGATGCATTGCGGACACATCGTAGGCATCATAAACTGCATTTGGATCCACACCATTTTTCAATTCTTTTTCAACTAATCTGAAATTTTAGGAATATGTTGAGACAAAAGTGTTTTAGAATTGGTTTCTAAATCCCCATAAATATAAATCTATGCATTTTGAAAGTCTATGCATTTAAAATTTCTACTACAATCTATATCCAGTAACTAGCTACTAGATCTAGACTAAATTTAGTCACACCAGAGTGTCTGTCTGCTCATTAACTTTCTATACTAGATTCAAGCTAGAACTCTACTACTAGATTCTAGTACTACTACTGTAGTAGTAGGCCTACTTGTTATACCTCACTAGTGCTTGATCTAGATCTAAGAATCTAGTGGTTAATGTTTCTAGACTAGTAGAATATAGTAGAATATAGATGGCTAGTACTTTGTCTTACTTAATTAACCCTTAACTTCTCAAGACTTAAAATAAAAATAAATCTTAAAGTAAAGTTTTTAACTCGCAGTAGCTGGCACCAGTTAATCACTGTTAATTGTTAATGAATAATATTAATAATAATGTGACTAGACTTAAAAGTTCTAGATTCTAGATCTAATATCTCATTAGTCTAGATCAGGGGTCTCCAAACTACGGCCCGCGGGCCAGATGCGGCCCGCAAGGTCCTCTCATCCGGCCCGCGGAGATCTTTTTGTCCACGGAAAAATGTCTGTTAGAGGTGGCTGAGGAACTTTGTCCAAAAAATTCAAAATAATTTGAAAATGTAGCTTTGGGTGCTAACACCTTTGTCCACCGTGTTGCAGACATTGGTGAAGACATTGTGACTTAAATAGCGAAAAATGCAATCACGTTTGACTATTTTTTAATTGCAATGGATGAGTCGCTGGACAGCTGTTCCACCTCTTAACTTCTTGTGTTCATTAGGGGTATGGCTGAAGACATGACCATAACACAAGAGCTGGCTTCCCTACATAATATGTATGGCACTGTTACCGGAGAGGATATATGCAATGAGTTTAAGAAAACATTTGCTGATTATAACTTGGACTGGACTAACCTCAGTTACCTGACTGTTGATGGGGAAAAGTACATTAGTGGCATAAAGAAAGTCTTGGTTGGACAAGCGAACGAGAAAAATATTCTACAACCAACGTTACTGCACTGTATTATTCACCAGCTAGCTTTGTGTACAAAATACATGGACATTAGCGGTGTACTGAATCCCTTTGGTGAAGATGGCGAATTTAATAAGGTCACATGGGCTCAACCATAGATATGGAATACGTGAAGAATAATTTGAGAGCAAACTTGGACCCCGAGTGTGTTGTCGGGGGGTGGCGGCACTTGAAATTTGTCGGGGGGGGGGGGGGGGGTCCATAACACCGAAGATATGCCTTAAAAAAACTCTGGCCCACGAACTGATATTTGATAGTCAATGCGGCCCTCGGTCTGAAAAGTTTGGAGACCCCTGGTCTAGATTAGAGAACACTAAATCTAGAACTAGATTCTAGACTAGTCTAGAGTCTACTAGTCTCTAGTCTAGACTCTAGTCTAGAGTCTAGACTCTAGACAGTCTAGCTGTCTAGAGTCTAGACTAGATCAAGTCTCTACACTCTACGGAGTCTTAAGTCAGTAGTCAGTGGGCTTGCTTATCTATTTTTGTATTCACTTTATTTTTTCGTCAAAAGCAGTGATATCAGATATTAGAATCTGTATTAAATTCTTCATCGCCGCATCCTTTATTTGTTTCTAGTAGCTCTAGATTCTAATATTTAGGCCCATTTATTTCTGTGAAATATAACTGTAAACTACTGTAAACAACTTTGAACTTCCCGCAGTCGCTTCCGCAAGCCTTTAATTTTTAAACTGCTAGCAAATAGCCTCCTGCTCATTGATCAGTGATTCCCAGATGGTTCATACTCATAGGTCATAGAACATGTATTGCGGGGGGGGGGGGGGGGGGCGCTTTTATTCCTGGGGGGGGGCGCTTTTATTCCTAGACATGTGGCAAATCTGCAGAATCAAATGCAGATTATTATATAGATATAGTAGGCCGATTGAATATTTGTTAAGGAAAGGGGGGTAGTATAATTGCAAGTTTAAAATACTTAAAAACTAAATTCTTATTTATTTTTTTTACTGTTGCAGGCAATTTGTTACTGCGAGGTGTGAAAATGTTTCCACGATTGACCGCAGGACACCACACTGAACATTACTCCTTAAATCCTAAATGTTTACTTTATCGTGTCAATACAAAACAAGATATGGCAAAGCTATATTCTTGGCCCAGATCTATATCTTTTAGCCAAAGGAAGGATTCTCGAGTTTGTCGCCCACGGCCTCAATGAAATACCGTCTGGACTAGGTCGCCCATGACCAGGGTTTCTTTAGATAGGGGAACGTGTGTATCGTTTCGGGGAGGGGGGGGGCAATTATTAGAAGATGTGTCTAGCGATGGAGTGACATGACTGACCTATGTGTCAAAATATAGTGGTGAGATGACTGACTCATGTGTCAAGATATAGTGGTGACATGACTGGATTATGTGTCAAGATATAGTGGTGACATGACTTGCCTAATGTGTCAAGATATAGTGGTGACATGACTTGCCTAATGTGTCAAGATATAGTGGTGACATGACTGGACTATGTGTCAAGATATAGTGGTGACATGACTGGCCTATGAGTCAAGATATAGTGGTGACATGACTGGCCTATGTGTCTAGATATAGTGGTGACATGGCTGGCCTATGTGTCAAGATATAGTGGTGACATGACTGGCCTATGTGTCTAGATATAGTGGTGACATGACTGGCCTATGTGTCAAGATATAGTGGTGACATGACTGGCCTATGTGTCTAGATATAGTGGTGACTTGACTGGCCTATGTGTCAAGATTTAGTGGTGACATGACTGGCCTATGTGTCTAGATATAGTGGTGACATGACTGGCCTATGTGTCAAGATATAGTGGTGACATGACTAGCCTATGTGTCTAGATATAGTGGTGACATGACTGGCCTATGTGTCAAGATATAGTGGTGACATGACTGGCCTATGTGTCAAGTGGTGACATGACTAGCCTATGTGTCAAGATATAGTGGTGATATGACTTGCCTATGTGTCAAGATATAGTGGTGACATGACTGGGCTATGTATCAAGATATAGTGGTGACTTAAACACACGCTTCAGGAAAAAAGTTATGTTTACGTTCAGAAAAGCTGTTGACAGTTTTTAAAAAATGAATAATTCACACACTGACCGGCGACACATTTTGTTTTCAGAAATCATTTTGTCATAGCAGTACACCTGACTCATACACAGCTTTTGGCTACTCGGGTAGTCAAACGTTGACGTCACCCGGTGACGTCCATGCAAACAAGACGTTTTTTTTAAACCATAAGGCAAAAAAATTACTTCAAAATTTTGAAGGAACCAGAGGGATTTTATGAATAGACCCATAAAACAGACATGGCATAGACTAGATAACATGAAGGATTGTTTTTTCTCCTTGTTTTGTCATATAAGGAGATATATGCCGATTTAAATAGATTAACCAAAACATGTTATATAATTAATGGTTAGTGGATCATGGGAAATGTAATTTAAGAGTCTGGTAGGTGTGGGTAAAAAAGTGTTATATATGTGCACGATTCCTTGTTTAGCAGAGGCTGCGTGCAGAGACGTGGTTGTCAATCATTTCTTTATTGTCTCCCTTACCCATCAACGATTTTATTACACAAACATTGAACCAGCTTATTATCGTGCCTAGAAAACACACACACACACACACACACACACACATATATATATATATATATATATATATATATATATATATATATATATATATATATATATATATATATATATATATATATATATATATATATATATATATATATATATATATATATCATTTCAAATGCTCTTCTCGTTTTATTTAGAAGCTAACATTACCATTGTTGATACACTAATTAATTTGAATTCATCATTGCGTTAAAACCATTAGTAATTCTTAAATAAATGTGCATAATTGATATATTTAAAAATCACAGCCACGCCAATAAATCGATAATCTCCGTATCGATTTTTTGAAAAAAAAAACATTATTGATTTTCAGAACCTAGATACGTATGAAAAAAAAAGCTGCCTACAAAGCCCCTACATAAGGGGCACGTAAATTTTATCGATTGGTCTGATCGTACCTGTTCACGACGTCATGGAGCTAAATATTGATACCAGTACAAACAGCAGGGACACAAACTTTGTATATTGATAGCACTCCCCTCACCCCTCCACATCTGTGGACATAGAAAGTTAAAACGTCACACGGCCAGTATGTAGTATGTTCACTGTATGTATTCGATCCATACAAGCGATTGGCAAACGTGTATTGATAGGTCCATGACGTAGGGCATGGGAGGGGTTTAAATGGTGGAAATAACAAAGACGGGGGTGTTTATTTTTAGCCCGAGGAAAGTAAGTTTTGGGAATTTGATCTGGAAGGATTTGTTTGACAGAAGAGTTCTGTATACGAGACTGTGGTAGGGATTTTGTGATTCTGGGAGTATGATCGTTCTAGAGCAGTGAAAAGATTGTCAAGTTTTTGTTAAGGAAGTCGGGAAATCTTAGGTTTGTGTTGTAGACGAGTGAAGAAATTTGTCAAGTCTAGTTGATTCACAAAGTCTAGAAGATGTGTGGATCAGCCTCGGGTTGGTCTAAGTTCGCCCTGATCATCCTGCTGGTTGGGATAGCCATCCACATCGCGGGTTGGGCGACAACCAGCTGGATGACGTACAGTACCACCAACAATGTGGTGGAGACCAAAGTGGGCCTCTGGAGGATGGTGTCGTGTAACTCGGGGACTTGTTCGGACACCACGGTGGCATCACAGTACGAGACTGGTAATTACATTAATTAATTATGTATCTTAATTAATAAACTTGTAATTACATTATATTAGCTTAATTAATGATACATGTTAATTAATAAACTGGTAACTACATTAGCTTAACGAATTATATATGTTAATTAATGAGCTGCTAACTCGATTGGCTAAATTAAATGTAGATTTTAATTAATGAACTGGTAACTACATTGGATTAATTAAGTGCAAATTTTAATTAATGAACTAATAAATACAATTTTTTGTTTATTTAAGATTTTAATTAATGAACTGGTGACTATTTTGAATTATTGAAATAATTGTGTTATTATTTGCACTAGGTGTAACTAGAATACAAATAGCTCAGACATAATGAGTTCGATGACGGCGTGGCCGAGCAGTAGAGCGCTAGACTGCTAACCCGAAAGACTCGAGTTCGTTTCTCCAGATACCGGGTTCAATTCTGTAAGACGTTCCTGAGTCCACCCAGCTCTGATGGGTACCTGACTCACGTTATGGAAACAAAAAGAGGCTTGGCATAGTGCTGATCACACTATCCCCTTGTATGCCGAGGTTATTGAAACACATGAACTCTACTTCGTCTGTCCCATGGTCTTATTAATCTGTAGTTGTGGTTATTTACTGGTGTTCATTCTTTACACGATAACTTCAATTAGAGGTGTGTTTTCTGGGTTTTCTAATACATCGGTGCAGGTTATGTTGGTGTATGGGCGCCCATATGGAGGAGACACTACATGTCACCACCCTCGTATATCTTATAGGCTTATCATATCATATATAGACTGATTTTCTTTTAAATACAGGTGTAATATTTCATAAGACTTACTTTAGTTTAATCTTTTATAAGGGGTTCTCAATGTATTTTAATACGAATTAGCTGTTTGTAATCTCAGTAAAGTACAAGCGCCCTAGTGGGATGTCTAGTTTTATCATTTGCCTGTTATGATTTTACAGTAAAGTCTACAGTACATACATCATCAAAATGTCATGGTTTTTGTCTTGTCGTGTATTAACATCAAACTGTCATGTTTTTGTGTTGTGATATGTTGACATCATTAAACTATTATGGTTTTTATGTTGTCATATATCGACATCATCAAACTCACGTTTAGAACTATGTGAATGAATAAACTTATGACTAACCTGTGTGACCCCCCCCCCCCCCCCTCTCCCCCACTCCACAAATAGTTCTGTACCGACTTCATTAGATCGATGTGAATGAATAAACTTATGACTAACCTATGTGACCCCCCCCCCCTCTCTCCCCCACCCCACAGATGCCTTTAACGCTGTCCGAGGGCTGGAGACGGTGACCTTCTGTCTGGCCGTGTTTGTGGCCGTCCTCCTGATGATCTACATGTGTGCTGAGGGGCTGAGGAAACCTACGGTGGCGGCCGTCATCATGTCGCTGCTCTATATCGCTGGTACGTCTTTGTTGTGTGTTTGTTGCCAACTGTATCGCTGGTACGTCGCTGTTGTATGCTGTCTTTGTTTTTAAACTGTATCGCTGGTACGTCTTTGTTGTATGTTTGTTCCTAACTATATCGCTGGTACATCTTTGTTGTATGTTTGTTGCCAACTATATCGCTGGTACGGCATTGTTGTGTATTTGTTCCTAACTATATCGCTGGTACGGCATTGTTGGTACGTCCATGTTGTATATTTGATCCTAACTATATCGCTGGTACATCCATGTTGTGTCTTTGTTGTGTGTTTGTTCCTAACTATATCGCTGGTACGTTCTTGTTGTATGTTGGTTCCTAACTATATCGCTGGTACGTTCTTGTTGTATGTTGGTTCCTAACTATATCGCTGGTACGTTCTTGTTGTGTGCTGTCTTTGATCCTAACTGTATTGCTGGTACGTCCGTGTTGTGTGTTTGTTCCTAACTGTATCGCTGGTACGTCCATATTGTATTTGTTCCTAACTGTATCGCTGGTATGTCTTTGTTGTGTGTTTGTTCCTAACTGTATCGCTGGTACGTCCATATTGTCTTTAGCGTTAGGTTTTGTACGTCCATGTTGTTTATAACCAGCCTATAATATACCAATGCTTATCTATTTTCAGGTGGTTGTAGCTTTGTCGGGATGGTTGTCTTCATCACCACCGTCCCCGACCCCTACGTCGTGTCCTTCTCCCTGGGTCTGACCGTCATCGCCATGACCCTCATCCTTATCGCCGGCACCCTCATGATCCCCGACAGCTTCGAGTCCGACTACGACGACGACGACGAGTTCTACAACGGTCGCCGACGCAGTGTCGTCTCGCCCATGTCCATACGGAAACGAGGCCCGCCCTCCCGGGGAATCACGCCCATCTCCTACAAGGGCGGGGTGGAGGGGAGCCGTTGGAGGAGCTACTAGAGGAGCTGAGGTGAAGAGGTAACACAAGAACAGCCTCTATGACGACAGCGTGCTGTATGGAAGAACAGCCCATAAGATGACAGCGTGCTGTATGGGTGCTGTGTTAACTCTTCCAATGTAAACATCAATGTAAACATCAGTGTAAACATCAATGTAAACATCAGTGTAAACATCAGTGTAAACATCAGTGTAAACACATTAATATCAACATCAATGAAAATATCAAATGATCAACGCCACACACAGTCTAAAAGGATGTAAAGTACTATTTCCAAATAGGCCAACTCCATTTTAAAATGTTTTCTATTTTTTTTTACTCTTGCTTACTTTAAAAATTCGCCATACAAGTATAGGCCTATGTGTGTGTTTTCAAAAGAAGGAAATTGAAAATAAATTATATTGGCTTATAAATAAAAATAAAAACAACTCCATGTATAGAGAAATCACGAAGCCAAAATAGATTCGCCTTGTATATTCGCCCCCACCCCTCACTATTCACCCTACACATACGCCCCCTACACACACGCCCCCCCCCCCACACACACATAAACACGCACCACCACCACCACACACTAAGCTGAATACAGCACTTACTCAACCACACCCCACGTCCCCCAAACCTTTCGGCTTTCTCACAGATATATTTTTTTTTAATTCGGCGTTTTAATTTGTTGTTAATAAGAAAAAAATAATCATGCGATAAGAAATTTCTTTTTTTTTCTTGGACTGTTTTCTTCTACTAGATATACAGATTTACTGAGGTAAACATAAACAAACATATTGTTTCTGTGACATATAAAATCCAACACGTCCTCTTGATTGTAAATGTTGTAGCTGCTACTGTCCATTGAGATGAAAAAAAATTATAACACAACTATAACGACCAGTGGAGTTACTCTACAGTTTAACTGTTCTAGCACCTAGTTGCTCGCCCAATGTTTTGTCTTGTCTAACTTCATGTATATGTATATAAGCTTACATATACGTTAACCTGTATCCAAATCCCGTGCCCTACCTGATTAAAAGGTAAAGTTGCTGTGATATGCGTTTACCTTAGACGGCACCATGGGACTAACACGTTTACCTATGTGTACACATATTCTATTATTAGCTTTTCATCTGTCTCACTTATATTTAAAGAAAAAAAAATGACATGTTTTTACTCAATGAATTTACTGTTTATCCTTTTTATAACTTGGACCTCGACTTGACCACCACATTTGACTCACACTTACACACACATTCAGTGACGTCACATCTCGCTTTGTCTTGTGCTTAAGGCAATTTTTGTTACAAGTTTAAAATTAAATTAAAGAACAAGTTTTTTTGTTATCATGCTATGATTGTAACTGGAATGGAATGTGTGTTTGAGACAGTATTTATGTTGTGTTCAGAGGGTTAAAAACTAGTTTGGTACAACATTTGTAAAAATCTGGCCACCTTAATAAGCAGAACGGCGCGCGTGAATTTTATTTCTAACACTGTTTTATTAATACAACACTGTTTAAATAATACGATTACCAATGTCATATGCATACAATGACTCCATATGTGGCATATAAAAAAAAGTAAAAGTTACTAGAGAAAGTGCCAGGTTTTGTTACTCTTAAGAATAACATACAAACCCTACATACTGTAGATAGCATCTCGCCTATATCCTGCGCCACAGATCTCGACACAGTTCAATGCAAAAGACCGACTTCATTAGAAGCAAAGTTACAAAATTGGTCTTTAAGTTTTGATGAGTACAGGAGTAGTTGAAAAATACAAGTAAAACTAAATTGTGATCGTCGATTTTCCGAAAAGTGTGTATTGGTTAAACTTTTCTAATGTTCAATTTAATAAAAACGAACTACTAAAAAGGTTAACAGCTTAGCTTGTATATGTTACATACAACCACACATTCCGTACCGACTTCGTGTTGTATGATATAACTACAATCCATGAGATGTTTAAAGCAAACTGAAATAGAAAATATGTGTACCAAAAGCAAAAGATATTTTATATATCTCATCTAATGTGCATTGGTCCTTAAACTAAGCGCCATCATTGCTAGATCAAAATTAAACTTTTTGAAAAAGAATATTTGGAAACATTTCATAACATAAATAAATAATCTCGAAGAAAATTGCTAATAAAAATGCCGGCACTCTTTCTGGAAGAAAAACAAAAAGAACAACCGTGGATTGACGTATCGATGATGACGTCAGAACACTCTTGCATAGAAACCATCTTTCTTGTTTGTGTTGTTAAAGAAAAAAAAGTCAAAAATTTATTAAATATTGGAGAAATTAAACAATTAAATTCACCCCATTTTATTTAGAAGATATAAAAAAAGCAATAGGTTGCTGGAATTTAAGGTAGGTCCCTTACACAAGCTGAAAGACCAGCCAACATGCGGGAAGTCATTTCCATTCATCTCGGTCAGGCTGGCGTCCAAATAGGTAATGCATGTTGGGAGTTGTACTGTCTGGAACACGGGATCCAACCGGACGGCCAGATGCCATCCGACAAAACCATCGGTGGTGGTGACGATTCGTTCAACACATTTTTTAGCGAGACGGGGTCGGGGAAGCACGTCCCTAGGGCAGCTTTCCTAGACCTGGAACCCACGGTGGTAGACGAGGTGAGGACAGGGACCTACAGACAACTCTTTCATCCCGAGCAGCTGATCTCAGGTAAGTCCAGGTGATGTTTAGGGGGGGGGGGGGGTGCGTGTGTACTGATGCGTTGTAATTGACATAGGAAGTTTAGGTTTAGGTTAAGATCTAAGACTACAGCTGTTTAACTTTAAAACACAGCTGTTGGCCTGTAGACTTAGACATTCTTATTCTAAACTTTTGATTTATTCATGTTGAAATGTAACATTCATTTAACAGTTAAATGTAGTAGTTCATGAATTAAAACTCGATAGTTCAAGTGTGCACGACACTTTGGTGTGGTAGTTCAAGTGTGCACGACACTTTGGTGTGGTAGTTCAAGTGTGTCAGGACACTTGCACGACACTTTGGTGTTGTAGTTCAAATGTGTCAGGACACTTGCACGACACTTTGGTGTTGTAGTTCAAATGTGTCAGGACACTTGCACGACACTTTGGTGTGGTAGTTCAAGTGTGTCAGGACACTTGCACGACACTTTGTTGTTGTAGTTCAAATGTGTCAGGACACTTGCACGACACTTTGGTGTTGTAGTTCAAGTGTGTCAGGACACTTGCACGACACTTTGGTTTGGTAGTTCAAGTGTGTCAGGACACTTTGGTGTGGTAGTTCAAGTGTGTCAGGACACTTGCACGACACTTTGGTGTGGTAGTTCAAGTGTGTCAGGACACTTGCACGACACTTTGGTGTTGTAGTTCAAATGTGTCAGGACACTTGCACGACACTTTGGTGTGGTAGTTCAAGTGTGTCAGGACACTTGCACGACACTTTGGTGTTGTAGTTCAAATGTGTCAGGACACTTGCACGACACTTTGGTGTTGTAGTTCAAATGTGTCAGGACACTTGCACGACACTTTGGTGTGGTAGTTCAAGTGTGTCAGGACACTTGCACGACACTTTGGTGTGGTAGTTCAAGTGTGTCAGGACACTTGCATGACACTTTGGTGTGGTAGTTCAAGTGTATCAGGACACTTTGGTGTGGTAGTTCAAGTGTGTCAGGACACTTTGGTGTGGTAGTTCAAGTGTGTCAGGACACTTGCACGACACTTTGGTGTGGTAGTTCAAGTGTGTCAGGACACTTGCACGACACTTTGGTGTTGTAGTTCAAATGTGTCAGGACACTTGCACGACACTTTGGTGTGGTAGTTCAAGTGTGTCAGGACACGTGCATGACACTTTGGTGTTGTAGTTCAAATGTGTCAGGACACTTGCACGACACTTTGGTGTGGTAGTTCAAGTGTGTCAGGACACTTGCACGACACTTTGGTGTGGTAGTTCAAATGTGTCAGGACACGTGCATGACACTTTGGTGTTGTAGTTCAAATGTGTCAGGACACTTTGGTGTGGTAGTTCAAGTGTGCACGACACTTTGGTGTGGTAGTTCAAGTGTGTCAGGACACTTGCACGACACTTAGGTGTTGTAGTTCAAATGTGTCAGGACACTTGCACGACACTTTAGTGTGGTAGTTCAAATGTGTCAGGACACTTGCACGACACCTTGGTGTGGTAGTTCAGGTGTGTCAGGACACTTGCACGACACTTTGGTGTGGTAGTTCAAATGTGTCAGGACACTTGCACGACACTTTGGTGTGGTAGTTCAAGTGTGTCAGGACACTTTGGTGTGGTAGTTCAAGTGTGTCAGGACACTTGCACGACACTTTGGATTTATCTTGAGTCACCTGTTGTTTTAGTCACCAGTGATGGAATTTAACAAAATAGTTCCTGGAATTATAAAAAAAAAATTACATTTATTTTTTAAAAAAGCATCCCCTTATATGCGCCTCGTGAACTCTACTTTAGAATGGTAAATCTGAAGATTGATTATAGATTGTAATTTTTGTTAACAGTGTCTCTTCTATAACCCTAACTCTGGTTCAAACCCTTGCCCTTATCCCAATCCCAAACTTTTTCCTGATTCTGGCCCTAAACCTAATTTACTTGTAGAAAAAACGATCCTGTTTGCTGGGGCTTTTTTCTGTTTTCATGAATGCTAGCTATTATTTATTGTTACCCTAACTCTAGCCCTGTACTGATTTTATCCTTAACCATAACCCTAATTAATATTAACTCCGAACCTAATCATGACACTAGTAGAAATGGAACGATTTTTCATTGTAATGTAGGCTGTTTATAAGGTCTTAATCTTACTTAGCCCTGATCCTAACGACATTAGCGGCAGAAAAACAAGCATCGTTACGTTATTGTCATGTTCTGCCGACGTTGTTACACTGAATTTAGTTTTCGTGTAATAATAGAACATCTTGAGTGATTGCCAGGGTTCACGGAAAGACTTATAAGCATTAGCTTCTGTGAAATATGTTTGTCAGTCTTTAGAATGTGACTAGACCAACATTGAAAAATAATTGGCTTCTATTTATGGGTTCAATTTTCAAAAAAGTAGAGCAAAGGGCGTTAAGTTTTGTTGTGTAGCTATTGGTATAATTTCTTGGATTACCGTTCTTGCATCATGACAAAGCGATTGTGTAACGGTAAAAGTCTTATATAGTATTGAACCCATTTTTGTTAGTATCCCAGTCCTTAATCCTTGCCTATAACAGCGATACCACTTAACATATTCATATAGCTATTATCACTCCTTCCGATACTTAACGTGTCAGTTTATATTTAGGATAAAGGTTAGGATTATGACTAGAGCTAATAGAGCTTTAAAAATCACTTCATGTTGTACTAGCGAACATCATCGACACACTTATCCAATTTATGAAGATGACTGTGTTCCTGTATGGTTACTTTTACATTAGGTCTTATGGTTTAGGTTTGTCTTAAGCTAGAAAGTATAAGTACCTACATCAGAACAATTAAACAATTACATAGGAATACTATAATCGACGTGTGGATAAACGATTTTCTATCACATTTGGGATAAAGACGGGGTTAACAGATTATCTTAATCTTTATCCGTGTTGCGTGCGGAACACATACAAACAAGACCTACCATAACTTTTATAAAGATTCGTACGATCTATTTTATAAACATAGATAAATGTGTAGATGTTTTCCCCACCCAATTTTATAATGATTAGCTCCGTGTATTTTGTGACATATCACCTCATTAGGCGACACCTGGTGGCAAAATACGTTTGCCAGTCACAAGCAGTAAAAAAATATTATGTTTCCAAAGGGCAATAACTGTAATTCCTAATGAACGTTTTACTTTCATTATGTCGAATGGTTCTGTGTGGATGCACGCCCTGTAAAACTATTGATCTTTTATATCTGAGTAAGCGATCACTGAGTCCCATAATATGTTATTGTGTAGAACTAATCCCGGGTAGATGAGGCTTGGGACGCAACTCTTCTAGGAGAGACAACTCCAAAATCAAACAACTGCTGCCTTGTAGTTTGTTCTTGGTTGGACAAAGTCTATGGAAGCAAATCCAAAAAGGAAAAGCAGGCTGAACTCGGCGTCAATGGCCTCAATGGCGCATAACCAGTTGACACGTATCCTTAATTGTGATGGAGAGAATCCCTTCCAACATTAAAAAATTAAGAACGAAGAAGAAGAAGAAGTAGAACTAATTAACCGACATGTGTCGTAGTGTGATACCACATATATGCCTAGAACTCTAATTAGCTAAAGCGGACATTACACTTAAATACATCTAAAATATGTGTTGACATAATTTTTGAACGATAATGGCATTAAAATTTGTTATCGATGATCATTTGATCGCCGGCTGAAACCTTTGAACAAGTGAAAGCTTTTATCGGCAGGTATCGATGGGGCCATTAGAAATGTGAAGTGCTCATTAGCGGGACTTGAGTTACAAATGGACATGGTCTGATGTCCATCTGTCGATGGGTACTGGTGTCTCCCTCTGTAAGGTAGTACAGGGCATGACACTATCTAATCAGCTTGTTGTTTTTTTCTGCTAGAATTGATGAGTGGAAAATTTTAAGGATTATGGTTAGGACAGTCGCAGTATGACATCAGTAACTAAACGATGCCACGAAGATTGTTAGGGTTAGGATTAGGAAGGTCACACCAAAGTATGACATCGGTAACTAAACGATGCCACGAAGATTGTTAGGGTTAGGATTAGGAAGGTCGTAGCAAGTTATATGTGTTGAAAAAATAGCAATGATTAGGGTTTATGAAGATCGCACCAAGTTAGTCATGAAGATGTATAGAAAACTGTAGAAATGAAGCAGTCACAGTGTGGTCTGACTAGAGGACGAAAGCAAGGGTATTATATCACTTTGTGGGTTATAACTGGGTTGTAAGCTGTAAATTTGGTTTGAATATTCAATCTTTAAGAATCAGAAGATATTTTATGAAGTTTAAAAATAACTTCTATTGTGTGTAATGGTGTGAAATAGGGTCTAGCCTTTATGTTTGTTACATCCATGTAACAGCAGTTACTTACAGTAACTGACACGAAAATCGTTATCGTCATTTAATCGTCGTCTTGACCTCAAGCAGGCTTTACAATTATTTTTAGCGCCCAACACACTATTCAAATTAAATGTTTTTTTTTTAAGAAACTTATCTAACGTTTTTTAAATGTTTGTATACAGGTACAACAGATTTACTTTCATGTTAAATCTAGTTGTATAAAAGTTTTCTCTTCTCTCTGTGCTCAGGTAAAGAAGATGCAGCCAACAACTACGCGAGAGGGCACTACACGATCGGGAAGGAAGTTGTGGATTTGGTACTGGACAGGACACGGAAACTGGCCGACTTGTGCACGGGCTTACAGGGGTTCTTCGTCTTCCACAGCTTTGGTGGGGGCACGGGCTCGGGGTTCACCTCCCTCCTCATGGAGAGGCTGTCTGTCGACTACGGGAAAAAATCGAAAATTGAATTCTCCATTTATCCCGCGCCACAGATCTCGACGGCCATTGTGGAGCCGTACAACTCCATCCTAGTGACGCACACCACTCTAGAACATTCCGACTGCTCGTTTCTTGTCGACAATGAAGCCGTGTACGATGTTTGCAGACGAAATTTGGACATTGAACGACCGACATACACAAATTTAAACCGTCTTGTTGCGCAAGTTGTATCGTCCATCACAGCGTCTTTGAGGTTTGACGGAGCTTTGAATGTGGACCTTCTGGAATTTCAGACCAACCTTGTCCCCTACCCTCGCATCCATTTCCCCCTAGTCATCAACTCCCCCATCATATCAGCAGAGAAGGCGTACCACGAGCAGTTGAGCGTGGCTGAGATCACCAACGGCTGCTTTGAGCCCGGGAACCAGCTGGTCAAGTGCGACCCCCGCCACGGCAAGTACATGTCCTGTATCCTGCTCTACCGAGGGGACGTCGTGCCCAAAGACGTCAACGCCGCCATCGCCACCATCAAAACCAAAAGAACCATCCAGTTTGTCGACTGGTGCCCGACAGGTTTTAAGGTGGGCATCAACTACCAGCCGCCCACGGTGGTACCCGGGGGTGACTTGGCCAAGGTGCAGAGGGCCGTGTGTATGCTGAGTAACACGACGGCAATATCGGAGGCTTGGGCTCGGCTAGATCACAAGTTTGACCTGCTCTACGCTAAACGTGCATTCGTCCACTGGTAAGTCACACACAATGTAGGGATATATCGCTACACTAAGCTGATTAACATTTGGCTAATTACATTGGTAAGTCACCGCCACTAGATCATACACTATGTAGGGATATGTCCTTACACTTAGCTGATTAACATTTGGCTAATTACATTGGTAAGTCACCGTCACTAGATCACACACTATGTAGGGATATGTCCTTACACTTAGCTGATTAACATTTGGCTAATTACATTGGTAAGTCACCGCCACTAGATCACATACTATGTAGGGATATGTCCTTACTCTTAGCTGATTAACATTTGGCTAATTACATTGGTAAGTCATCGCCACTAGATCACACACAATGTAGGGATATGTCGTCACACTTAGCTGATTAACATTTGGCTAATTACATTGGTAAGTCACCGCCACTAGATCACATACTATGTAGGGATATGTCCTTACTCTTAGCTGATTAACATTTGGCTAATTACATTGGTAAGTCATCGCCACTAGATCACACACAATGTAGGGATATGTCGTCACACTTAGCTGATTAACATTTGGCTAATTACATCGGTAAGTCACCGCCACTAGATCACACACTATGTAAGGATATGTACATACACTTAGCTGATTAACATTTGGCTAATTACATTAGTTAGTCAGCACGCCTAGATCACACACTAGTTTACTGCACATCCATATGTGGTCACACTTAGCTAATTAATTGATAGGTAGTCAAACGTAGCTAATTTACATTTATCAAATTACTTCGGACAGTATACACCCATAGCACACACAACACTATCATTTTACATTCGTGAGTATCCAAACACACTCATCACTATCAAATAACTTGCCATCATGGCGAAAGTAGCTTCGCCCCATAATGATGTAGAACTCTTAATCCGTTAGTATCAACAAAGTATAATAGTGCTAGAAATAAATGTATTTGTATCTTCGTCTATGCTGCTCCCTTCTTGAGTACTGTCAAGATCTATGTGTCATTCGCATGTCATCACATTTACATACTTGTCGTTGTGTTGTATGAATACTGTCAAGTGTCATTCCAATGTCACCAAATTTAGATACGTGTCGTTGTATTGTTTAAGTGCTGTCAAGATCTGTGTCATTCCCATGTCATCACATTTACATACTTGTCGTTGTGTTGTTTGAGTACTGTCAAGATCTATATGTCATTCCCATGTCATCACATTTAGATACTTGTCGTTGTGTTGAGTACTGTCAAGATCTATATGTCATTCCCATGTCATCACATTTAGATACTTGTCGTTGTGTTGAGTACTGTCAAGATCTATATGTCATTCGCATGTCATCACATTTAGATACTTGTCATTGTGTTGTTTGAGTACTGTCAAGATCTATATGTCATTCCCATGTCATCACATTTAGATACTTGTCGTTGTGTTGAGTACTGTCAAGATCTATATGTCATTCCCATGTCATCACATTTAGATACTTGTCGTTGTGTTGAGTACTGTCAAGATCTATATGTCATTCGCATGTCATCACATTTAGATACTTGTCATTGTGTTGTTTGAGTACTGTCAAGATCTATGTGTCATTCCCATGTCATCACATTTAGATACTTGTCATTGTGTTGAGTACTGTCAAGATCTATATGTCATTCTCATGTCACCAAATTTAGATACTTGTCGTTGTGTTTGAGTACTGTCAAGATCTATGTTTCATTCTCATGTCACCAAATTTAGATACTTGTCGTTGTGTTTGAGTAGTGCCCTGTCTCTAGCACCTCTTCCCCCCCCCCTCCCCAGGTATGTTGGTGAAGGTATGGAAGAGGGTGAGTTCTCCGAGGCACGTGAAGACCTGGCTGCCCTGGAAAAAGATTATGAAGAAGTTGGATTGGATTCGGTGGCGGAAGAAGGCGAGGGTGAAGGCGAAGAGTACTAAAAAAGTTCCAGCAGAGAAGATGAGGCGACCATTTGTTTACCCCACCCAAGCCACAGAGGAGAATTGTTGACTGACTTTGTGACATCTTTGGTGTTGTTGTTCTTGTGTGACGGACAGTTTTTGACTGCTAGAACTGGTCTTTCATAATTCATGAATTTCCGGGATATTGTGACGACATGACGGATGGTTACACAAGGAATATCATTTTCAACAATTAGCTTTTAATTATATTTATATACTGCATACATGGACGTTTTATAGACGACGATATACACCTTATATTTGTGTACGCATATAATTGTTCGTACACAGAAGCAGAGATACATACAGACTTGATATAACTTTGAGTATTGTGTTTATATAGATGTTTAGATCGAACTTTTAATTTGTAGAACTTTGAATTCTTTGAAAGAAAACCACTGTACGATAGAGATGTGTTTAGACCGGCCGAGATCCTGGTGTGGATGGTTTGGTCTGGTCCATGGTGGCAATACAACGTCTTTATTCAACTCTGGCTTGGCTTCTCATTTACTGGTGGTGGTTGGCTGGTGTTTGGTGGTGGTTGGCTTCTCATTTAGTGGTGGTGATTGGCTGGTGTTTGGTGGTGATTGGCTGGTGTTTGGTGACTAATTGGCTGGTGTTTGGTGGTGATTGGCTGGTGTTTGGTGGTGGTTGGCTGGTGTTTGGTGGTGGTTGGCTGGTGTATGGTGGTGGTTGGCTGGTGTTTGGTGGTGATTGGCTGGTGTTTGGTGGTGATTGGCTGGTGTTTGGTGGTGGTTGGCTGGTGTTTGGTGGTGGTTGGCTGGTGTATGGTGGTGGTTGGCTGGTGTTTTGTGGTAAATGGCTGGTGTTTGGTGATGATTGGCTGGTGTTTGGTGGTGATTGGCTGGTGTTTGGTGGTGATTGGCTGGTGTTTGGTGACTAATTGGCTGGTGTTTGGTGACTAATTGGCTGGCGTTTGGTGGTGATTGGCTGGTGTTTGGTGACTAATGGGCTGGCGTTTGGTGGTGATTGGCTGGCGTTTGGTGGTGATTGGCTGGTGTTTGGTGGTGGTTGGCTGGCGTTTGGTGGTGGTTGGCTGGCGTTTGGTGGTGATTGGCTGGTGTTTGGTGGTGGTTGGCTGGTGTTTGGTGGTGGTTGGCTGGTGTTTGGTGGTGATTGGCTGGTGTTTGGTGGTGATTGGCTGGTGTTTGGTGGTGGTTGGCTGGTGTTTGGTGGTGGTTGGCTGGTGTTTGGTGGTGATTGGCTGGTGTTTGGTGGTGATTGGCTGGTGTTTGGTGGTGGTTGGCTGGTGTTTGGTGGTGATTGGCTGGTGTTTGGTGGTGGTTGGCTGGTGTTTGGTGGTGGTTGGCTGGTGTTTGGTGGTGATTGGCTGGTGTTTGGTGGTGATTGGCTGGTGTTTGGTGGTGATTGGCTGGTGTTTGGTGGTGGTTGGCTGGTGTTTGGTGGTGGTTGGCTGGTGTATGGTGGTGGTTGGCTGGTGTTTTGTGGTAAATGGCTGGTGTTTGGTGATGATTGGCTGGTGTTTGGTGGTGATTGGCTGGTGTTTGGTGGTGATTGGCTGGTGTTTGGTGACTAATTGGCTGGTGTTTGGTGACTAATTGGCTGGCGTTTGGTGGTGATTGGCTGGTGTTTGGTGACTAATGGGCTGGCGTTTGGTGGTGGTTGGCTGGCGTTTGGTGGTGATTGGCTGGTGTTTGGTGGTGGTTGGCTGGTGTTTGGTGGTGGTTGGCTGGTGTTTGGTGGTGATTGGCTGGTGTTTGGTGGTGATTGGCTGGTGTTTGGTGGTGGTTGGCTGGTGTTTGGTGGTGGTTGGCTGGTGTTTGGTGGTGATTGGCTGGTGTTTGGTGGTGATTGGCTGGTGTTTGGTGGTGGTTGGCTGGTGTTTGGTGGTGATTGGCTGGTGTTTGGTGATTGATTGGCTGGTGTTTGGTGGTGGTTGGCTGGTGTTTGGTGGTGATTGGCTGGTGTATGGTGGTGGTTGGCTGGTGTTTGGTGACTAATTGGCTGGCATTTGGTGGTGATTGACTGGTGTTTGGTGGTGGTTGGCTGGTGTATGGTGGTGGTTGGCTGGTGTTTGGTGACTAATTGGCTGGCGTTTGGTGGTGATTGGCTGGTGTTTGGTGGTGATTGGCTGGTGTTTGCTGGTGGTTGGCTGGTGTTTGGTGGTGGTTGGCTGGTGTTTGGTGACTAATTGGCTGGCGTTTGGTGGTGATTGGCTGGTGTTTGGTGGTGATTGGCTGGTGTTTGGTGACTAATTGGCTGGCGTTTGGTGGTGATTGGCTGGTGTTTGGTGGTAATTGGCTGGTGTTTGGTGGTGGTTGGCTGGTGTTTGGTGACTAATTGGCTGGTGTTTGGTGGTGGTTGGCTGGTGTTTGGTGGTGGTTGGCTGGTGTATGGTGGTGGTTGGCTGGTGTTTGTTGGTGATTGGCTGGTGTTTGGTGGTAATTGGCTGGTGTTTGGTTGGTGTTGGCTGGTGTTTGGTGACTAATTGGCTGGTGTATGGTGGTGGTTGGCTGGTGTTTGGTGGTGATTGGCTGGTGTTCGGTGATGATTGGCTGGTGTTTGGTGGTGATTGGCTGGTGTTTGGTGACTAATTGGCTAGTGTTTGGTGACTAATTGGCTGGCGTTTGGTGGTGATTGGCTGGTGTTTGGTGACTAATGGGCTGGCGGTTGGTGGTGGTTGGCTGGTGTTTGGTGGTGATTGGCTGGCGTTTGGTGGTGGTTGGCTGGTGTTTGGTGGTGATTGGCTGGTGTTTGGTGGTGATTGGCTGGTGTTTGGTGGTGATTGGCTGGTGTTTGGTGACTAATTGGCTGGTGTTTGGTGGTGATTGGCTGGTGTTTGGTGGTGGTTGGCTGGTGTTTGGTGGTGGTTGGCTGGTGTATGGTGGTGGTTGGCTGGTGTTTGGTGGTGATTGGCTGGTGTTTGGTGGTGATTGGCTGGTGTTTGGTGGTGGTTGGCTGGTGTTTGGTGGTGGTTGGCTGGTGTATGGTGGTGGTTGGCTGGTGTTTTGTGGTAAATGGCTGGTGTTTGGTGATGATTGGCTGGTGTTTGGTGGTGATTGGCTGGTGTTTGGTGGTGATTGGCTGGTGTTTGGTGACTAATTGGCTGGTGTTTGGTGACTAATTGGCTGGCGTTTGGTGGTGGTTGGCTGGTGTTTGGTGGTGATTGGCTGGTGTTTGGTGGTGGTTGGCTGGTGTTTGGTGGTGGTTGGCTGGTGTTTGGTGGTGATTGGCTGGTGTTTGGTGGTGATTGGCTGGTGTTTGGTGGTGGTTGGCTGGTGTTTGGTGGTGGTTGGCTGGTGTTTGGTGGTGATTGGCTGGTGTTTGGTGGTGATTGGCTGGTGTTTGGTGGTGGTTGGCTGGTGTTTGGTGGTGATTGGCTGGTGTTTGGTGATTGATTGGCTGGTGTTTGGTGACTAATTGGCTAGTGTTTGGTGACTAATTGGCTGGCGTTTGGTGGTGATTGGCTGGTGTTTGGTGACTAATGGGCTGGCGTTTGGTGGTGGTTGGCTGGTGTTTGGTGGTGATTGGCTGGCGTTTGGTGGTGGTTGGCTGGTGTTTGGTGGTGATTGGCTGGTGTTTGGTGGTGGTTGGCTGGTGTTTGGTGGTGATTGGCTGGTGTTTGGTGGTGGTTGGCTGGTGTTTGGTGGTGATTGGCTGGTGTTTGGTGGTGGTTGGCTGGTGTTTGGTGGTGGTTGGCTGGTGTATGGTGGTGCTTGGCTGGTGTTTGGTGGTGGTTGGCTGGTGTATGGTGGTGCTTGGCTGGTGTTTGGTGGTGATTGGCTGGTGTTTGGTGACTAATGGGCTGGTGTTTGGTGGTGGTTGGCTGGTGTTTGGTGGTGATTGGCTGGTGTTTGGTGGTGGTTGGCTGGTGTTTGGTGACTAATTGGCTGGCGTTTGGTGGTGATTGGCTGGTGTTTGGTGACTAATTGGCTGGCGTTTGGTGGTAATTGGCTGGTGTTTGGTGGTGATTGGCTGGCGTTTGGTGGTGGTTGGCTGGTGTTTGGTGGTGATTGGCTGGTGTTTGGTGACTAATTGGCTGGCGTTTGGTGGTGATTGGCTTCTCATTCGGTGGTGATTAGCTTGGTGTGATACCACTAGCTGAATGTCATGGTGTAATTTGACAGATTGAATGTCATACTGTGATTTCTCTTATTGCACGTCTGCTTGTCATTTCACTGACTGGATGTCATGGTGTGATTTCAATTACTGGATGTCATGGTGTCATTTCAATGACTGAATGTCATGGTGTCATTTCACTGACTGAATGTCATGGTGTCATTTCAATGAACAAATGTGTCCTATCACGTTTAATTAGAAAGAGCATCACCTGGCTATCGAGATTTAAAAATGTCTGCATAATCCAACTTTAATTTGAGCGCGGTAAGTCTGTCTGTTAATTGGCTAGCATAATTAGTCTTTAACAAGGCAGCCTGTTAATTGGCTAGGCATGATAAGTCTGAACAATAGTCTGTTTGTTGGCTAGCCTTGTAAGTCTTTAACAAGACAGTCTGTTAATTGGTTAGCCTTGTAAGTCTTTAACAAGACAGTCTGTTAATTGGTTAGCCTTGTAAGTCTTTAACAAGACCATTGTTTCTTCCAGACCTTTTTCTCCGGGGGGGGGGGGGGGCACTTGAAATTTTCGGCGGGGGAGGGGAGGGCGGTAGACTTTTTCGGCGGGCGGACACTGTTAAAAGAATATATTTTCTATATAAATTATATAAATTTCATTTTGTTCGGGGGGGGGGGGCTTACACACTTTCAGAGTGGCAAAACGTCTGTGCTTTCTTTAAAAAGTTATGTTTACAATGTCTTATTTCCATCAATTTAAAATTAGATTTTGTAAACTCTTAAGGGATCTCCGTGGGCCTCCATCTTGCTCTGACACTAGATGCCATGCTTTAAACTGCAAATCGCAAGTTTGAAATAACTCAAGGTTGTTTTTTTTTTTACTGGCGACCGAAAACATGCAGACCATCAAGAAATACAATGCCTGTGATTACTTGCAAGTTAAGATCAAAACTTATAGCAATGTTACCCATCAAAGCTGCGTGGACTTTAAACTTTTTGCTCGGTAAAATGCTTACATTTTTTAGAACGAAATCACCATAGGCCTATAGACATCATTTACATTGCGCAATCGTAGAAACAGTTCGTGATTAGCCTATACACTACTACATCTCTCCCCCACCCCCTCAACACCTAGTTTTTCAGAACAAATTTGAATGGCCACATCAGCAACAAAGCTGAATCAAAATACCCGCCATTTTGATAAGTTTTGTAAACAGAAGTTTCAAAATAAGAATATAATTTGATTAAATACGAATTTTAAAACTTAGCCTAGCCTAAATTTTTTTTCAAGCATTTTTTTTAATTGACTGAAAATTCAAATGGCGAGTGTTTGTTCGTTTGTTTTTCCGATTTTCCACGGCAAGCAAAATATATTTTGTTTGTTTAGTATTTGCGTTGATGTGCCTAATATGTTTTTTTTTAATTTAAAGTTTGGGCCTAGATATTAAATAAGAAAAAGAAAAACCAAGTCGAATGTGCCCGCGCCGCAAAGACCGTAGAAGTAAAAAATGTCGCCCTGGCCAATACACACGTTTAAACAATCGCCGAGCAATTTGGCACATCCGATATTTTGGCCAATTAAAATTCTCGCCTCAAACCTATAGAAACGAGTAGGGTCTGGCGTCTGTTAAAACATGTGGCAACGATCTACATACACACCACATGTTATTGTATGGGTAAATTGGGGGTCGGGCTATAGAGAACTATATGGTTATCTGGACGTCCATTAACTGAGTTTCTCCGGAAGAAACACTGCCATTCTTCTTCTTCGTTCTTAATTGTTAGTGTTGGAAGGGATCGAGCCTTATCTGCCAGATAACTCGAGACTTTTCCGATTGTATCAACCATGAGCTTTTGCCGACTCGACCACGCCTCCATCAGTTAAGGATACGTGTCAACTGGTTATGCGCCATTGAGGCCATTGACTCCGATTTCAGCCTGCTTTTCTTTTTGGATTTGCTTCCATAGCCTTTGTCCAACCAAGAACAAACTAAAAGGAAGCAGTTGTTTGATTTTGGTGTTGTCTCTCCTAGAAGAGTGGCTGTCCCCAGCTAACGAGCCTCATCTGCCCGAGGGTTCAAACTCTAGACTTTTCGGTTTAGCTTTGCCGACTCGACCACGCCTATCCCCACCCTGCCATTATCATTGAAGGTCCAAAGTGGGATAGGACGTGGGTGTCTAAACTGGCAGTCTAACAAACAAGGCATTGTCTTAGAAGGCTTTGGATATAACAGTAGCCACAACCAGTTATATCAATTTACGTATTTTAATTACATTTGTTTTAATTGAATGAATATTGATCTCGTGGTTTATTTTCAATTGATTGCATTACATAATTGGAAGCTTTATAACCGAAAGAAAACATTACATAATTGGAAGCTTTATAACCGAAAAAAAACATTACATAATTGGAAGCTTTATAACCGAAAGAAAACATTACATAATTGGAAGCTTTATAACCGAAAGAAAACATTATATATAAGTGGAAGCTTCGTCAAAGTCAGACAACATTTAAAAAATAACTTTATCATAACACTGGATGCCAACAAAAAATAATAGTCCGACCTTTTCTCCCTCGCCCACATTGGACCCCCCCCCCCTCCCCCCCCCCCAACCCTCCCTTCAGTCAATGTTAAAGGTCGTCATTTAAAATATATTGTTCTATGCAGGATTACCTACAATTTCCTCTATAATAACATGTAGATCTAGTGTGTTGACGATATCTATGGCGAGAGCTGTATTCTTTACTTTGGAAGATAAATGTTAAAATGAAAGATTTTCTGTAGCTGAACGCATCATTTTTAGCATCGGTAGTCGTAGGGTCACTTGAGGTCACATCCGGTTCCTAACCCTTGTTTCGATTTCTTCATGGTTTGCTTGGTCTAACTTCTAATCTAGATCTAAATCCCGTTAGGGAACGTGTACATAAGAGTATGCTACTGTCATGCACGGAGGGGACGGGCTTTTAAAAATCTCTAAACCACTCGGTCAAAAGGTCAATGCTTTAAGGAGATGTGATGCTAAAACATCGGTCCATGTCTAACCATTCACTTCGTTATGTCAGAACCTCCCTACAACTTGGACGTGTTTTCTCAAATTTAACATCCATGTAACGCCTTCTGTCCAGTTCAGGTGGGGGGGAAATCCACTAATGTTGACCATGGCCTGAACCCACCTCCACATTTCATTACATCAATTTGGGCTCAATTACTATACAGATGGCTCTACTATTAGATGAAATAAAACTGGGTCTATATAATGTGCCCCCAATTAAGATAATGAGTTGGTGCTTTGGGGTGGGTGAAAGTTGGTGGGGTGAGGTAAAGGATCACGCAGACTGTGCATTTAAATTTATGCTTATCGGATGGAAAACCAAAAAAAAAAAAAAAAAGCAACAGAGTCTCCAGATTCGAGTTCAATAGGAGGATTGTGTCTAAATTGAGGGAGGTAACCAAGTGACAGCCAGCTACACCTTATTTATGTGTTTCTCGACGGTACTACCGGGCGGCCGTGAATGCCGGTAATTAATACGTGTGAGACTTCAGGACAACTTTACAATGTGTGTATCAAAACAGTACGCACTGTAAAGTTTGTATTTAATCCCTACAATATTTAAAAACAACAACCATATGGTCATGAATATTATAAAGAACATCATTACAATTTTAAAAAACAGGCTATGTGCTTAAACACTCTACGAATGCCGTTACGTCCATCAAAATGAATATGGGCATAATTATTGTAAGGAAGCCCTACAAACATCATGCAATAAATAGAAACATAATAAAGATGTCCCGATAATATATGAAACGAACATCGGCATATAATTACTGTATGTATGCCCTTCAGACATTCAATAATGAATATAAGCATAATAAATATCATCCGATAATATATAAAACGGATATGGCATAACTGCTGTAATTATATAAATACAAACGTGAATACAAGTAAATTACTTTAAAGATGCCCTGACGATATATAAAATGAATGCGGGCATAATTACTGTTTGGATGCCCACAAAACTATTATGATGAATATAAGCAAAATTACATTAAAGATGCCCCTACAGTGTATAAATTATAATCATGGGCTTTAATACTCTATGGATGACCATAAGAGTATAAAATGATTATGGACATGTTCTCTAAAAGATACCCCTACCTACACTATACCTAAATAAGTATCAGATACTCAATTAATTGAAAGACTGCATACATTTATTCGGGGAATATCAATGACTACTATGTCACCGATGCCCCTTTCTCCCTGAAGTGTTATGACACGGACAGTACAATGACTTTTGTTGATTGTAAAAACACATTTCGGTGAATTCGGCAAATTGATAATTCTGCCTAGGTAGACAAACCTAAGAAGTCTTTAAATTTTCCTAAAAATAAAAAAATAGAATATATATTATATAATTATATATATATATATATATATATATATATATATATATATATATATATATATATATATATATATATATATATATATATACATATACACATATATATAAAACAATTTTTTTACCCCGTTGGTGGATGCCCCCTTGATGTGGATGCCCGGGGCCCCATCCGCCCCCCCCCCCTCTGCACGCCACTGAGGCCAGCACGCGGGTGGGTACCTGCCGGTTCAGTATATGTAACTGCCGCGAATAAAAAGATCGGATCTGGGTGAGGCAAAGCGTAGCAGAATTTCAGTTGTGTTTTTAATCGTGGAGCGTACGGTTCGGCTTTGGTGATTGTACAATATGGCTGAACTTCGAAATTATTCACCAAAATCGACGGATAACGGTAATCATTTTAGTTATGTTTTGTTAATGTAGATCTAGTCTAGATCTAATAAAAAAAAATTCATAAAAAACGTTTTAATAACAAGCTTTTATGTAATGATGCACTAAAAAGTAGAAAATAAATTATAGACTACTATTTAAATAACTATAAAGAAAAGCGTGGGTCACTTTAGTATCTATTGGATACCTTTGACCTTTACTAATGTTAAGGAAGACACCCACGCTTTTCTTTATAGTTATTTAAATAGTAGTCTATAATTTATTTTCTACTTTTTAGTGCATCATTACATAAAAGCTTGTTATTAAAACGTTTTTTATGAATTTTTTTTCAGTACTTTACATGTTTTATCTATAATAGAGTTACATGACTAAAAACCATTGCGCGCCTACTGAACATCACGTTCAGTAGGCGCGCAATGGTTTTTGAACGCAGCCATTACGTGGTCGTGATGGCGCAGCTATTGATGACGCGTGTGGTGTGGTTGGCTAGACATGCCTACTAAGTCGGTCCAAATTTTAATTAATTCATAAAAAATCAATTAGGCATCCAATTAAGTCAAATTTAGTTTCAGATTGCATTGTCTTCATGTCTTGACCCACGTGCCAACTGTGAATCGTGTCGGTCAAGTAGAACTGTCCGAATTTTCACTCCTGCGTTTCAATCTAGACAGACTGTCGACAGACTGACGACAGAGGAAGTGAGTTAAATAAAAGCTTGTAAAAAAAGTGTAAAATTATTAGGCTAATAACTGTGTATTTTTTATTTTAATTAATTAAAGATTTTGGCCTATCTAGCGGAGTAAAAAAAGATGGGCCAGTGTGTAAACTTCAAGAGGATGCGTGTTTTTAAACAGACATTCTCTACACTAGTCTACACAAATACAATTATAATGTGGACGCTTTTAGAAGGAATTACAGATATATAGATCTATTACTTCATTATCATAGTTTAGATAACGTCTGGCTAGATCTAGGTCGAGAATCTAGAATTTTATTTATAACTAGGCATGCTGCCCAGCTTCGCTTAGGCTTTCGAAAACATTGAGAATTTGAATGCTTAATTAATTCGCCCGAGGGTCGGTCTACGACCTCAAGAGTTATGAAGAGGTTCCTCCGTGGACATTTTTTTTCGATTTATAGCTCATATAAGGTACCGGTCAGTCGAGGTCAGTTTTGACCCCATCATCGTAGACTTTTCGGCCAACCGGCCCCCGTGTTCTGTCGCCCCAAGGCAAGATCCTGCCAAATTTGAAGCGCCTGCGGCGCCGGGAAGTGCCTTATCGGACACCCGACAATCTAGATCTAGATCTAGAATCCTAATTGAATTTTTTTTTTTAAGTTTAGTCCGAGCAAAATAAAAAAAAATACATTAACCAAGTTGACTTGGTGGATCTCGAACTCGCACCACCTGCGTGGTTTATAGTACACTAACATCTCCGCTATTTAGGCACATTATAAAATACAGAGAATGAAAGACGTATTTTAAAATCTTAACTTACGCGAATATGCCTATGCTTTCAAATTAATTTTTTTATCCCAAATTAGCCAGTTCCAAACAAAGATTTTGTATAAATAAATGTTATGAGTTTAGGCCGGAAAAATTGTATTGTATACATTTCATAGTGTAGCCTACGTAGATCTAAATCAAATTTGAATGAAATAGTTCATTTCTTTTTTATTCTAAACACGGCAGATGACGTCATTAGTAAGCAATAGTGTCGTCACGGTTTTATGCGTTCTTTTACACATCTATTAATGCTTTTCCGGTTGCATAAATAATACTGTTTCTCTACATTCGAATACGCCTTTATTTTATATTTTTCTTCTTTAAATAAAATTGTGGTTATACATTTAAAACATCTAACATATTATTTTCAACAAAAGTCCGTATAAAGTTTTCCATATATTGCTGCCGTTTCTGACGTGATGTCCGGCGAAAATTTTTTGCGGACAGAGAGAGAGAGAGAGAGAGAGATGTGCGAACGTGGCCCATTATAGTTTTACTAGGCATGCTGCCCAGCTTCGCTTAGGCTTTCGAAAACATTGAGAATTTGAATGCTTAATTAATTCGCCCGAGGGTCGGTCTACGACCTCAAGAGTTATGAAGAGGTTCCTCCGTGGACATTTTTTTCGATTTATAGCTCATATAAGGTACCGGTCAGTCGAGGTCAGTTTTGACCCCCTCATCGTAGACTTTTCGGCCAACCGGCCCCCGTGTTCTGTCGCCCCAAGGCAAGATCCTGCCAAATTTGAAGCGCCTGCGGCGCCGGGAAGTGCCCTATCGGACACCCGACAATCTAGATCTAGATTCCTAATAGAATTTTTTTTTAAGTTTAGCCCGAGTATATTAAAAAAAATACATTAACCAAGTTGACTTGGTGTGTCTCGAACCCGCACCACCTGCGTTGTTAAAAGTACACTAACATATCCGCTATTTAGGCACCTGATGAAATACGGAAAATGAAACACGTATTTTAAAATCTTAACTTACGCGAATATGCCTATTCTTTCAAATTAATTTTTTTTAGGCACCTGATGAAATACGGAAAATGAAACACGTATTTTAAAATCTTAACTTACGCGAATATGCCTATTCTTTCAAATTAATTTTTTTATCCCAAATTAGCCAGTTCCAAACAAAGATTTTGTATTAAATAAATAAGTCTTGAAATAGTTTAGTCCTAATATAGAAATTTATTTTTGGTATTGATTTTAGAGAAGTTAGTCTAAATCTAGATCTTAGCGTCTACGTCTAGATCTAGTTATTGCGTAGATTTAGATTTAGATTTAGTCTAGATCTAGAATCTCTAGATCTAGAATCCAAATACATAAAATAAATTTTATGAGTTTAGGCCGGAAAAATTGTATTGTATACATTTCATAGTGTACGTAGATCTAAATCAAATTTGAATGAAATAGTTCATTTCTTTTCATTCTAAACACGGCAGATGACGTCATTAGTTAATGTATAAGCAATAGCGACGTCACAGTTTTATGCGTTCTTTTTCACATATATTAATGCTTTTCCGGTTGCATGAATAATACTGTTTCTCTACATTCGAATACGCCTTTATTTTTTATTTTTCTTCTTTAAATAATTTTGTGGTTATACATTTAAAACATCTAACATATTTTTTTCAACAAAAGTCCGTAAAAAGTTCTCGATATATCGCTGCCGATTCTGACGTGATGTCCGGCGAAAATTTTTTGCGGACAGAGAAAGAGAGAGAGAGAGAGATGTGCGAACGTGGGGATTTATAAATTAGGATTTATAATAATTGGTATTATTATTATTAATTACATTAGTATGATTAGTATTAGTCAGTGGCGTAGCTAGGATTTTCGGGCCCCTTTGCAAAAATGATCAGTGATCCTGATGTATTTTGCACTATATTATTAAGTAGTTTTGTAAAATGTTACAGGCTTACAGTTGATGTTTTTACAGTAGCATCATAATGCTGGGGAAGAGGTGACAACACTTAGGCGCGACACCATGACAAAACCTTGTAAATTTTACTGTCAAAACTATGTTGTATCCAGCTAAAATAATAAAAGAATAGTAACACCCTACCGAAAATGCTAAATTGTTGGGGATGATGTAAACACGTGTAAACGTAGTGTTACACCCAGAGGCGTAGCTAGGGCGGGGCGGGGGTGCGGACCGCACCTGGTGCAGTGGCGGAACTACAAAACAAGGGCCACCCCGCAAAAAAGTTTTTTAGGCCCTCTTATATATATATATATATATATATATATATATATATATATATATATATATATATATATATAAGCACAAAATACGAACATAGGATACTCATTGCTGGCCTGTTCGGGATTTGAAAAACATCAATTTAATGAAATTTCAACATTTTGTCATGTGTATAAGTGCATTAGTCTGTTTTGTGGGAAAATCAGTTTTAATTAATTGTTGACAGAAGCCCTCTAAACCTTTAGTCAGTCAAAATAATATAAAACATGAAAGCTTTGTTATAAGTAATGGTATCTCAAGTTAGGTTTATTTTATGTTTTTTTTGTATTTATATTAATAATTTTTTAAATATTATAGATTTAATACACTTCCTTTTTATACAATGTTATTATTTAAAAATTACTTATAAAAAGTAATAATTAAGGGAAGATATTTGCTTTTTTAATTTGTTTAATACGAATCTATTAAAAGGAACTTATGATCACCCCTATTTGACTATTTTAAAAATAAGGGAAATAAGTCAGGGAAGTGGTTTGAACATTTGCTTATCTTTGATAAGTTTAATTGTAGGAGAAAGACTCGGCTTTCACAGTTGTTTAAAACAAAGGGAAAAAGAAGATACAAGAGCGTGGGGTGGTGTCTATAGAATAAAGATAATCCAACCGCAGCTACTGTAATTTTTAAAAAAAAACAACCATCAAGTCAAAAATGCAAGAAAATTTACTTTTTTTTAACTATTAATTTTTTTATTATGGTCGGCTCTGGGCCCCTAAATGGCGTTCCGCCCCTGACCTGGTGACACCATTTTGGGGGGTGACAGCAAGGCAAAAAATTGCAAAATATACAGAAGAAAAATGCCCTTTTTGCCATTTCCATTAATGATTATTTAAAGCTAAATAGGCTTTTAAGTACAAATTGACAATTATTACAAGGTTGAGGTGACACCATGATGTGAATCTGCTAAATATAAAGAAAAAATGCTACATCCAACTGTATTATTAACAGACTATAGATAAGCATAGTTACTATTAAGTCTGTAGGTCGACATACAAACATACAAAGTGAGCCCCCCCCCCCCCCCCGAGATGTCTGGAAGAATCTCTGATTATTAGGCATGGGCCCTGTTCAACCCCCCCCCCCCCCCCTACTGAATCCTACTACTTATTGTAAAGTAATAAAGGACTGGGGGGGGGGGGGCTTTTTGGAACTTTTAATTATTTCTACAATAGAAAAGAAACTGTATTTTCATTTTCTTCTTAAAATTATTTATATAAAACAAATATTAAAATCCCAATGTAAAAGTTTTATTTTTTAGAGGAAAAACGTCCCCTAAGTGCCTTGGGCCCCTATGCCTTGCTTACGCTAGCTTTATGGTAGCTACACCACTGGTATTAGTCAGTATTAGATCTAGCTAGATGTCTAAAAACTTAAGTACTAATCTACAAACTAAGTAAGTAGATCTAGATCTAGTACGAGGCATGTGGTCTAAGTCGCCTCTAGACCCTAGATCAAATGTACTCAGATCTAGATTCAGGCCAGTTATGTTTAATCTTAAATCTGTAGGGTACTCTACTTACTAGATTTGCTTGCACCATAAATAAAATAGACAAATAGGCCTATACTATATTGCCACTAGTGACTGGATACTACTATATTTAACTATATAGCTCAAGGCCTATATACTATATATATAGACTACATGTAAAAAAAATTGAAAACAGTATGTTTATTGGATTGAAAACTTTTCTACTAATTTGTAACATTTTTTATGTTAACCCTAGATCTAATTTTATTCGTTATCAACTTACAGTCTTATAGATTTAGGCTTATAATTAAACATGTGTTTATAAATATTTTACATTCCAGAATATCACAATGTTACAGTGCCTCCAGATTATCAAAATGGAAAAGATCATATAACAAATTATACCAATGGAAATCTCTCTGATGTACCTAATGGGAAAGAAAATAAGGCCACAGATGAGGATGAAAAAAAGAAGAAAAAGGAAACTATTCCTATGGTTGGGCCTTTAGATGTGGTAAGTTTCGTTATCTGTTGATAAGTAAATTTAGCGTGTGTGTTGTTTTTCGTAAATTTTTGACATTAATCTTTTACCCATACTTTCTTGTGTTGTTTTAATTTTTTTCATAGAATCTTTCACATTGATCTTTTACCTATACTTTCTGTGTTGTTATTTTCATAACATCTTTGACATTAATCTTTTACCTATACTTTCTGTGTTGCAGAGGCGTAGCGACCCCTCCCGGCGCCCGGGGTGAACTTTCAGTTTGGCGCCTCCCCCCCCCCACACACATATATATATATATATATATATATATATATATATATATATATATATATATATATATATATATATACATATGTGTATGTGTGTACGACAGTCAGGAAAAAAAATTAATAATTACGCTGTATGATTGTCGCTCCTTTTGCATGATTACAAGACTTTCTCTATACTTCGTATATACGAGAAAGTAAAAATTCAATCATGATCTATAGCTAAATATAATGTATATTTTACTGTATGGCTCGGAGCTAGGTTAAAGACAGTGGAGAATGAAAAGGTGTGGTTAGGACACAATAAGAGAAAGACAAAAAATAACATCACTATGCAGGTGCTTGTGTGAGGTCCACGGGGAAAGGAGAAGAGAACAATACCAAATAAGTCCTGAAGGAAATCGTTTGAAATAGAGAAGGAGGAGGCTGTGCTTCCTTAGGAAACCGAAACTAATAAGAAGAAAATCAAAAGAGTTTAGAACAGTGGGTTGCATCGAACCCAAGAGGCTCGGTAAGTCAGTCTCAGGGCTTCTGCGGAGGTCAAGACACACGCCTGACCCATATGATTCACGATCAGATTTTGTCAGTGTGGACGATACAACTATTAAGAAGGGTTCGGTGATTGCGCATATGAAACTGTTAGTTAAAAGATAGGAACCACTGCTTTAGAGTGTACTTTGTAGAAGGTGCAAGCTTATTTGGTCTACTTTTGGTCATGTCTTTGGAACAATTTCGATAATAGTAGGCCCATATTACAATTTTAAATTATCAATTAAGTTGAGTAAAGTGTTAGAAAAAAGCAATAAAAAATGGTCTGTTCAGTACAAAATACTAATTTTATTCTCACTTAAAATTTTGGCAAAGAGTGTCGCTTTCCACCACCCACCAGTCTGCTATTTTACTGATCGGATAGTGATACAATAATTCGTGATATTTATTTCTCTTTAATGCAGTGATCCAGGTAAGATGTAATGCAATGAAGTAAAAGTATCTGATCTCTCACGTTGAAGTTGAGAGAATCGTAAGAATCTTACAAAGAACTAGTCGCATTATTTCAGAGCAAAACTGGGTAGTGAAATCGTACATTAAGTGTTAATAAGCGTTTTCTTTTCTATGTGTTAAAAGAGTTATCTACTCACCGATCCAGTACAAATCCTGCGGTTTTTGTTGCTGAAAAAGCGCCCCTCCCCCCCCCCCCCCCCACCCACCATCTTTGACAAAAATGGTAGAGCGAATTGTAAACGTCACCTACTAATTTTTTTTTACTTTCTCGTATATACGAAGTATAGAGAAAGTCTTGTAATCGTGCAAAAAAAAAAATCGAGATTTTTACAAATCTCGACGTTTTACATCTCACTGATACGGAAAAACATAATTTTGCAATCTTGTCCGTATGTCTGTGTGTCTGTCTGTGTGTGTGTGTGTGTGTGTGTGTAAACACGATTACTTGAGTACCGTTACAGCTAGGTTGCTGAAATCTCATATATAAGTATTTTATCAAAATCGTAGATCCGTATAAACTTTTGAGCGATTTCCGATAACCGGAAGTGGTACTTTTTCTACTTTAAATTTTTCAAAAGCCTATAACTTGAGTACTATTTCAGATAGATAAATGAAATTTAACATTTAAGTAAAAGATCTAATTCTCTACCTTCTGTCAAATTTTGGGTAATTTCCGTTGACCGGAAGTACTAATTTACGCTATTTCCGATTTCTCAAAAAACGCATGTAAAATTATAAAGTACTAATAATATTGCGCACGATTATGCACATTTTTTTTGTGTTCGCTTGGTGCGCAATTCTTTTTTCTATGAGATTCTATTATATTTTTAAAAGTTAAATTAATTAAAAATCATGTCTATATTCCAAGTTATATAAGAATATTCGAGAAAGTTTAGGGGAGATCACTCCCGGTTTATTATGTTACACAATCGTAAATACGCTTTAGTACTATGGGTTTCTTAATTTCTTTTCTAAGTGATATCAGTTATTTATTCCTTAACCCGGTGTGAATTTTTGCTATTTTACTATTTTAGTTTTCGAAAAAGCGCTCTCCCCCCCCCCCCCCCCCCACATCTAGGAAACCTGGAAAGCGATTTTTTTCCGGTCACTGTTTCTTAAGGTTATACGTTTTAAAGTTACACAATCAAGGTAGAAAATAGTTAAATCCGTATGCAAAAGCTCTTAATCGTTAAATTTCTTACTTTAACTGTTTATAATTAAAAACTGCTGCTTAAAATGAGCTTTTAATTTTTTTTTCTACCCCTTTTGGCGCCCCTAGGGGCTGCGCCCGGGGCAGCCGCCCTCCCCGCCCCCCGTAGTACGCCTCTGCTGGTTTGTTGTTATTTTCATAACATCTTTGACATTAATCTTTTACCAATGCTTTCTGTGTTGTTGGTATTTTCATAACATCTTTTACATTAATTTTTTACCTATACTTTCTGTGTTGTTGTTTTCATAACACCTTTGACATTAATCCTTTACCTATACTTTCTGTGTTGTTGTTATTTTCATAACATCTTTGACATGAATCTTTTACCAATACTTTCTTGTGCTGTTTTGTTATTTTGTAAATTTTTGACATGAATCTTTTTCCTGTACTTTCTGTTTACAGTTCAGGTTTTCAGATTCAGTAGACAAGTTGATGATGGTGATTGGAACAATAGCTGCCGCAGTTGCAGGTGCTGCTCTCCCTGTCATGATTATTGTCTTTGGGGAAATGATTGACACGTTTGTAGACACAGAAAACATTGAGTTGCTGGTCAAGGAATTAAAAGAATATGTACAATATAAAGGACTCAATGAATCCCAAGTGATAAAAAACCCATCTCTTTTACAGTAAGTTCATATTAAACAATATATAATATATATCAGATATAGCAGTTTATTATTGTTTATATTGTTTGTTTACATTTTTTAAAAATTATTGGCTTTTTATGTTTCCCCTAGAAGTATGTCAAATATGAAATTGTACTTTATATTTTTAATCAAATATTTACACTAATCTATCTTTGTGTTTAAGGGTTCAAATGTTATTTTTAAAATTTTATTAACATTTTTAGTCAAATAATTACACTAATCTAATGTTTTTTAATTTACATTGTTAATCAAATATTTACACTAATCTAATGTTTGTGTTGAAGGAATAACTGTGATGATATTAAAAAATACTACAACAACAGCAAAGACTGTGACATTCTTTTAGAAGACATTGTCGATGACATGCAGGAATACGCCATCTACTATTGCAGTAAGTAGACATTGTGCTTACAATATCATCAAAGATAACATCTAAGAATGTATGTCTTAACTCTATTATGTGTAACTCTTGAATCTGATGATGTGTGCATTACATAAATGGGATGGTATAGTAGAACCATAGAGTGCTTGACTGCTAACCCAAAATTCTTGAGTCAGTAGGACGTTCACCCAGTTCTGATGGGTACCTGACTCAGAGAAAGTAAATGTAGTTGAGCATAGTGCTAATTACACTATCCCTTCATTCGCCACTGTGACTAAAACAGGTGAAGTTTACTTCACCAGCCCCACGAACCAAAAGGTTCAAAAGGGTACTACCATAACACAACCAATAGATGTCTAAATGTTTTTTATTCAATCACATAAACTTTTTTCTAAACCAAACTAGTTCTTGTTATTAAAAAAAGCGTGGTTAAACTAGTGTATAGAAGAGTATGGTTCTAAACTCAATCCATTTGCTTACAGTTATTGGAGCAGGTGTACTCATTGCCTCCTATCTACAAGTGGCGTTGTGGATGACTGCGGCTGAGCGTCAGGCACATCGCATCCGGCAGGAATTTCTCAAGAATGTCATGAGACAAGACATTGGTTGGTTTGATACACATGAAGCTGCTGAACTCAACACAAGATTGGCGGAGTGAGTTGAAATTAACACAAATGTTAAGACTAGCTTAGGATTGTGACTTGACTTTACAAAAAAGTTTACACAAGATGAGTTGACATGCCAAAGCTAAACCACCACATATTTTAAGAAACACCATATAGCCTAAAACATGGGATGGCATAGTCAAATGGTAGAGCATAAGACTGCTAACCGTAAAGTCTTGATTTTGAATCTGGGTTCAAGTCTAGATAACGTATCTGAGTCCACCCAGCCCTGATGTATACCAGATGCATGTTACCGGTAGGTGGCTGGGAATAGTGCTCATATTCCTTCATATGCTGATGTCACAGAAACAGATTAACTCTGCTTCATATGCCACATATATGTCATATGTCAAAAAGGAAAGTTTAAACACCACATATCCTAAAACTAAACACCATGTAGCCTAAAAGAAAACACCAAATATTCCACAATTAAGCACTAGATTTACAGAGTAATAGTATGGAATCTGAATTTCTATTTTCAGTGATGTGGCGAAAATCCAAGACGGAATAGGAGATAAAATGGGCACCTTCATGCAGTGGTTTGCAGCTTTTATTGCTGGTTTTGCCATTGGCTTTGCCAATGGTTGGAAGTTAACTCTTGTGATTCTGGCAGTCAGTCCATTGTTGGTTGGTGCAGCTGGACTTTTCAGCAAGGTTAGTTGACAAAACGTTAAAATTATATGGCTGATACAAGGTCAGGTTCAATTGTTAAGTCATGCAGGTAGGCCTATTTGGAATATATATGAAAAAAATTGTTTTAAAATACTTCGGTCTAATTAAAAATTGTTTTAATAAATTGCTACTCTTAGTTGGCATCTTCAATGACATCAAAAGAGTTAGAGTCTTATGCTAAAGCTGGTGCTATAGCGGAGGAAGTTTTTGGGGCTATCAGGACTGTTGTAGCTTTTGGTGGCCAGGAGAAAGAGGCTAAGAGGTAAGGAAGTTCTGCAATAGAAGTATGTTATCTGCCAGTTCACTGAATTTGTTGGTTGTGTGAGTTATACAAAATGCTGTAGTCTATTGATGCAAGTTGCTGCAATTTGTTTGTTGTGTGTTTGCTACACATATTGCTTTAGTGCAATAATACAAGTTGCTCAAATTTGTTTTGTTGCAAATGATCATTTAAATTGTTATAGATTGTTTTCCTTTGAATTAACTCCCTTATTTGTGTATCAGTTACAAGCTAGATGATAGTTGATATAGCTTTCTACCAGTTAAATTAGAATGCCCATCATTTTGATATAGTTTTTACCAGTTAAAATAGAATGCTCATCATTTTTATCAGGTTACGTGCACAGGTAAAAGACATTTTTTTCATGATATAGAGATATATAAAAGGCCTGTTACAACCCTAATTTAAACTCCTGTTTGATGCTGATCAAGTTAAATTATTAAATGTGTTGAAAACCACTTCCCTCAGCTTTAAAATGCATGAAGCCCAATTAGGCTTATTAAATGTTGGCCTTGAATTAATAATCTATCCAGGATGTCTCATACTTCTTGCATGAATGAATTGGAATTTGGTTAAGTTTGTTTAAGAATGTCTACTGTTTTTGTTAATAAACATGTTGGTATTGATAAAATATGACTTAAAATTAATCCAACTTATAAAAGTACAGTAATTTATAAGTTTTAATTGATTTGATTGTGTGAGCTAACATATTTAAATTATACCCAGATTGTCATTGCAGAATAGTTGTGGGATGGGCTCGTCTTTCAAAAAATAAATACCTTCAATTAAAATGTTAATCAAGTCAATGTCTTATGTTTTGTAATTAAATGATATCTTCACAATGTATGAAATATTATGTCTTGCTAGCATTACTTGTGAAATTCATAATAAAGCCAATACATTTGAGGGTTTAAAAACAATGTATGTGTATTTTCTATAGCTTCTTATACATTTTTTTGTTGACAAGGAATCCATTTTTTTAATGCCTGTTTGGTAGTATTCACTTTAATATTCTATGTGAAAAATTCATTTTTTAAATGGTTTAATCATTATTATAGTCAGTTTTCTTAGTATTCAGACCTTTTGTTGGTTAATAAAGATTTTAAAACATTTTTTACTGAACATTATTCATTGAGTATTGTTACTTGGTTGCTTTATTTTAAATTTACAGAGTTTCTTTTTCCCATCCTTACTGATATTACTGATATGATCTTTGTTTGAACAGATACACTGTCAACCTAAAAGATGCTCATGAATTTGGTATCAAAAAAGGACTGACCAATGGAATTTCAATGGGATTTATTTGGCTTGTTATTTTTGGCTGTTATGCTTTAGGCTTTTGGTATGGTGGAAAACTGGTCAGAGAAGACGACCACTACACTGTTGGGAAAATGATTGTAGTAAGTTTTTTATAAGCCATAGAATATTGATGTTGAGGTATACTTGGGTTTATAAACTTAACTGTAATCTAAGAATGCTCTAAAGCATAATAAATATAGAAATTGTTCATTCCTGGACTAAAACCTGCAGCTAGATTTAACTTTGAATTCTTTTCAGGTCTTCTTTTCTGTCCTAATTGGGGCGTTTTCATTGGGTAATGCTGCTCCCAGTTTACAGTCTCTAGCTACAGCACGTGGCGCCGCCTACATCATCTTTCAAATTATTGACTTGGTAAGTTGGGCCGCCTACATCATCTTTCAAATTATTGACTTGGTAAGTTGGGCCGCCTTCATCATCTTTCAAATTATTTTCTGGGCAAATCCCAACTCATATTTTTTTTAATGGACTTCCAGCTTTACCAATATTTTCCAATGTAATTTGTTTTATTAAACTTTTCTAACAGAAATCTGCCATTGATAGTAGTTCAAAAGAAGGCAAGACTCTCCCAAATGTGCATGGTACTATCAATTTTAAGAATATTCATTTCAGCTACCCATCTCGTCCAAGTGTCAAGGTAAAGTTGATATTAAAATTGTTTTAAATGCCTTTGAATCTTTAGTGTTTTATATCCAGGTTGTTTTTTAAATTTTGCCTCAGATTAAATATTTACTTAATTTAGTAAAATGCTTTAATTTATTGTCCAGATTTTGAATGGCTTGAATTTGGAGGCTAAACCTGGCCAGACTGTTGCTTTAGTGGGCTCCAGTGGTTGTGGTAAAAGTACAACAGTTCAGCTCTTGTTAAGATTTTATGATCCTCATGATGGAGAGGTAAGCATAGATTTAATTATTAAACCTCATTAATGGGTCTAATACATGATTAGCAAAACTTTAAAAAAATATTTTTGTAAATATAAAATATGTTATGTTGTAGGCTTTTTAAAAATTTGTCCAATACATGTGTTTAAAAAAGAAACCTACATAAAACCCATATATTCTGATCTACACTTTTCAAGAATCTTAATATTTGCTGCTACTTAAGAACTAACACAAAAATATTGAGACATTGAATATTCAAGATAGTTTAACATAGTAACATACAATACTCTAGTGGTTTTTTCTTGTGATAATTAGGTACAACTAGATGGAACAAATATTAAAGAGCTGAACATCAAATGGCTGCGTAGCAATATTGGGCTTGTTAGCCAGGAGCCAGTGCTGTTTGCTACAACAATTAAGGAAAATATTCGCTATGGTAGAGATGATGTGACTGAAGATCAGATCATTCAAGCCACCAAAAATGCTAATGCTTACGACTTTATTATGAAATTACCTGATGTAAGTAGCCATGCCCTGTGATGCTAACTTAGAGTCTGGGGTTCTTTTTTGTTGTTGCTTTTTTTTTTGTCTTTAGGAGTTTTGATGTGATAAACATCTTTAGATTTTGAATGTAAATTGAGTCACCATTGGTATGGAGTGTAGACAGAGTGCTTGTAAACTTCAATCTGACACTGGTCTGGACAAGTGATAAAAAAAATTGAATCTATTGTATCTACTCTATAGCACTGTCTGATTTTGTTGTTTTATAATCAGTTTATAGCATGTTACTTAGTTTGATAATTTTTTATATATGCTTGAAAAAAAATTATGTTCCTTTTGTTTAGATTTGAACAAGCATTAAATTTCTTTAAGAAAAAAGGAAAAATTCTTGCCTGTCTGTTTAAGGTTTGATGTTATTTTTCCTCCTCCCCAGAAATTTGAAACGCTGGTTGGTGAGAGAGGAGCTCAGCTTAGTGGTGGCCAGAAACAGAGAATAGCCATAGCTCGAGCACTGGTCAGAGATCCAAAGATTCTGTTACTTGATGAAGCCACTTCAGCCCTTGACACAGAGAGTGAATCAATAGTGCAGGATGCCCTCGATAAGGTTGGGGGACATTTTTTAAATGGATTAAATAGCACTGTATCTATTGAAAGAAAAAGTAATATAATATTACTTGAAATTTTTTTAATCAACACTACAGTCACTTGTTAGTCACTTTTTCAGTTTTCTAAAGTTTAGTTTGACTAATTATTGAACTCATTCTTAATTTATATAATCTATTTTCAAACATTTTTTAATTTTAGGTTTTTATGCTAAAAAGTTTTTATTATATGTGCTAATTTAAAACAATATTCAAATTTGAAACTACTGTACAATTAAAGTTATATAAATTGGACTTAGATTTTACCTTATGGAACGCATTACAATTAATTTGAACTTAAATTATATTAAAATAAATTGAATGTTTTTGTTCAGGCAAGACAAGGAAGAACAACTCTTGTGATTGCACATCGCCTTTCAACTATTAAAAATGCAGACATTATTGTTGGCTTTAACAAAGGAGTTGTAGCAGAAAAAGGCACACATGATGAACTGATGGCCATCAATGGGATTTATCATCAACTTGTTACTAATCAGGTATGTTTAGAATTCACAAATTTATAAATCAATCATTTATTATCCTGATGGTAAAGTCATGTTAGAAATACTAAAATGGTTGCATTTTTTAAAAGCATAAGTAATTTATAAAAATTTAAAAATAACTGATACAGTATACTTAGAAATAGTTAAATGATTGTTACAATTTTATTTTGCATTTACAGAGTCAGAAAGAGGCAGAAGGTATTGTTTACTACTTTATTTTTACTATTGTTATTTGTAATGTTTGTTTTTCTATCTTAAAATAGGCAGAACGTATACAAAATATATTTTTTTTTATCTTAAATTAGGCTTAACATAGTTTTTAACAATGTTTTTAAATCTAAAAGAACAAGAAGAAAACGCCATTGATCTTAGCGAAGTCAAGCACAAACCATCTTCAGCAGGACAAAAGGATCTTATGAGGCAGGCTTCTCGTGTTGATCCTAAAGCTGATGAGGTAATAGCTCTTATTTTTTAGAATTATTTTTCCTTTTAATTAAATTAGTAAAAAAAACATTTTATTTACCTGATCTTAAAAATATTTGAAATAAATGTATCAAGCTTTGTATGTTATTATTTCTCTTCAATTGTTGCAAAAATAAAAGGATTTTGAATATAAAGAGGTATGAATTATTGCATGATTGTATTTCCTAATTGCTCTATTAAATAATTACAATGTTTTGTTTGAAGTAATTGCTTTTAAATTATTACAATTTAATTTTTTAAACACAATTAATACTCTATTGTGGAAGGGGGATGAACATTTAAAATGCCTATTATTTTTTAACATAAATACTTCCTTGGAAAAAACTACAACTTGAAAAGTTATTTTATTGCGCACATACTAACATAGTTTTATTTTGTTGCATGTTTTTATTTTAAAATTCAATTTTTGTTGTATCTTAAGAATTGATTTCACTTTAAATAATTTTACCATTTATTTAAACAATCTAGAAAAACACAAGTGCACAATATAAAAGCCTTAAGCTCACTATATTATAGGAAGAATTTCTTTGATTAAAAGACTTAATTTAGTCAGGGATGACATGGCTGGGTAGTAGAGCACTTGACTGCTTAACCTAAGGTCTGGAGTTCAGATCTTGTTCTAGACTCAAGACTGCAGGATGTCCCTGAGTCCACCCAGCTCTAATGTGTACTTGACTCACATTAGAAATCAAGAAACATGAACTCTACTTCATCTGCCCCTTGGACTGTAAGGGGAATATGACTTAAGTCATTTTATATTTTATCTTGGTGTCTATAGAAACCTGTGTTTGATGGTGTATTGGGTTATGTAATATGTATCATTTTTAACCCTAACAAGTTTGATTGTTGACAGGAATAGTGTATTGGTTTCTATATTATGTATACTTTCTTATTTTAACCCTATAAATGTCATCTTGACTGGAATAAGAATGGCTAACAAATGCCTCTTTCATACTTCTTATTTTAACCCTTCAACTGTTGGCTTGTTGACAGGAAGAAGAAAAGTTAACAAACGCCCCATTCACAAGACTGATGGCCCTAAATTCACCAGAGTGGTACTTTATTATTCTTGGATGTTTTGGAAGTATTGTCAATGGTGGAGTTCAGCCAGCATTTGCTGTTATTTTTAGCAAAATCATTGCTGTAAGTCATTTAATATAAACAATTAAGTTTAGAAAATATGTAGCCACCCCCACACTGAATGGAACAGATGGCACTGACCCATGTTATTTTATTTGGTCTCCAGGTGTTTTCCAAACCCAAAGATGAACAAGAAGATGACATCCGCGATTACAGTTTGCTCTTGTTTGGCCTTGGCCTCATAAGCTTTGTTACAATGTTTTTACAGGTAATTTGTTACACTTTTTTTACAAGTAATTTGTTACACTTTTTTACAGGTAATTTGTTACACTTTTTTTACAGGTAATTTGTTCTTGTTGTTGTAAGCTCGATAGAAAGGGACAAAAACTCTCCTTTATTGATGAACTAATTGCTCAAAAAGACTAGTGTTTTAGAAGATGTAAATTTAAATAATGATTATAATAATGATTACAATGTAATGAAATGTATGTAATATTTTTAAAATTTAAATAATGATTATAATGTAATGAAATGTATGTAATATTAATAAGATGTAAATTTAAATAATAATGTAATGAAATGTATGTAATATTTATAAGATGTAAATTTAAATAATAATGTAATGAAATGTATGTAATATTAATAAGATGTAAATTTAAATAATAATGTAATGAAATGTATGTAATATTTATAAGATGTAAATTTAAATAATAATGTAATGAAATGTATGTAATATTAATAAGATGTAAATTTAAATAATAATGTAATGAAATGTATGTAATATTTATAAGATGTAAATTTAAATAATAATGTAATGAAATGTATGTAATATTTATAAGATGTAAATTTAAATAATAATGTAATGAAATGTATGTAATATTAATAAGATGTAAATTCTAAGACTAGAAATTTGATTTCACTTGTAGGGCTACATGTTTGGCCGCTCAGGTGAAGCACTCACTATGAGGCTACGTAATCTAACCTTCAGATCCATGTTGAGACAGGTAACTTCAACATTTTTACAAAAAAATATATGTCCGACTTTTCATGGCTCAATTGTTTATTTTCTCAATTGTCCAGATTTTATAGTCACATGTCAAAGATAATTTTAAAGTTTTTAACAAGTCCTGTTGCGTTGTCAGACATAGGCTGGTATTATCTAATACTATTGGAGCCATCTTTTACTTTTATGCCTTAAGTTATTTGAAAGTGTATTTTGTGTTACAGGACATAGGCTGGTATTATCTAATACAATTGGAGCCATCTAAAGTTACATTAAGTGTATGTTGTATTACAGGACATAGGCTGGTATTATCTAATACAATTGGAGCCATCTAAAGTTACATTACTAAGTGTATGTTGTATTACAGGACATAGGCTGGTATGATGATCATAAGAACAGTGTGGGGGCACTCACTACAAGACTAGCTACTGATGCTTCACTTGTCCAGGGGGTAGGGAATCATCTGTTATTATGTCATCTTCAATGTCATTTGTAGTGTGATCTTCAGTGTCATTTGTTATGTTCTCTTTTGTGTCTTGTCATCTGTTTTGTCATATGTCATCTTCAGTGTCATCTGTTTTGTCATTTGTCATGACAACATGTTAGCTTCAGTGTTATTTGTCATGCCATCTTCAGTGTCATTATTCATGTCAACCTTCACTTGTCAATTGTCATGTCTACAATGTCATATCTGTCATGTTTTCCCTACTGTAGGTAACAGGTATCAGACTGGGCACGGCCCTTATGGCCTTTTCCAACATGGGTGTGGCTATCATAATCTCCTTTGTGTACGGCTGGCAGCTGACCCTACTTATTCTGGCCTTCATGCCATTTATTGCTCTGGGTGGGATGATGCAGGTCAAACTTTTGGCTGGGCAAGCTGGCAAGAATAAAAAAGCTTTGGAAGGAGCTGGCAAGGTAAAACGTTATGGGGTTTTCTAGTGAGACGCTTTAGATTGTTTGTATGAGTAGGTCATTTGCTGAATTATGTTGCTTACATTATTATATTTTGTCTAATTATTTTGTTCGACATGTGTGCCTAATTATGATTTTTTTCTACATAATGTTTGTTGAGCAATGTAGTCCACATTACAATGTTACATTTCAATATTTCATGTCTAATACAAATTTCAATTTTAAAGGTTGCTGTGGAGAGTATTGAAAATATTCGTACAGTTGCATCCTTGTCCAAGGAAGAACTGTTCTTCAAGCAGTATATGGAGAAGGTGGAGCCACCGTACAATGAAGCACTGAAGAGAGCTCATCTTGTGGGATTAACCTACGCCTTCTCTCAGGCCATCATCTACTTTGCCTACGCTGCGGCTTTTGTTTTGGGTGCTTATCTTATTGAAGAGAAAGAAATGGATTTTGAAGATGTCTTTTTGTAAGCAAACGTGATTTTTATAGATTTTTTTTTAATATCGATTTTGGGGATTAAGTTTTCTATCATTATTTATCTGCTAATGCCAATATATGCGGTGTTCTCTTTTTAAAAAAATATAAGTTTATATGAAGGGCTCAGTGGAAAAAGTACTTAAGTTATATTTTTAAGACCGGTATATTATTTGATTACCTACCCTTAACCATCCCTATATATTTTTTAAAAAAATGTTTAATCAATAGCATTGCCAAAATTTTGAATGAGAAAATTGTACACAAAAGTCAAGATTTCACCATTGTTTTTGTCCCTAACCCCATTTAGTTGACCATCCAGTTTGCCAATTTTGGAAAAAGTGAATTCCCTTGTTTAGTTTAGTTTTACCTTTGGTAAATTAAAAATGCCAATCATGAGTAGATATGAACAGGTTTGATCTGAAGATGCTTTAGAGCTAATCTGCATTAAAACTTCTAAACTACAGAATGTGCTTTACCCATTACATTGCAATTAAATTTACTTTAAATCCAAATGGCTTGGAGGCAAAACAGTTTATTTCTTGTAGGATTATTGTGAATACATAAATTTATACATTAACACCAGTATGATATTGCCAGTTAATTTAATTTTGGCTTAATATCTGGCTAGGGTTTTTGGTGCTATTGTGTTTGGAGCCATGGGCATGGGGAATGCAACTGCTTTTGCCCCAGATGTTGGCAAGGCTCAGAATGCTGCTAAACACATCATATATTTACTGGACTCTAAGCCCACTCTTGATTACACATCCACTGATGGACAGAAGTTGCCTGTAAGTTGGCTTGTATTTTTGTTATCTGTATCAAAGTGGGACATTTAGAAACTTTTAAAAATATTTTAACAAATTAAAAAGTTATTTAACATATAATTGGACTTAAATTTTTTAGAACTTAAACTTAGTTATAATGACTTCTTAATGACTTATTATAATTATAATAATATTATTATACTTAATTATAAAAATAATTTGAAGACTGTTCCTTAAAATGAACTAATGTTGAGCAAAATAGATGACCATGGGTTGTAAATTTTTAAAATAATAATCATTAAAAAAGTTTTAAAAAACCCACGTTTTCTGATTGAACTAAAAAGTAGAAAATAAATGCTATACATCACAATAATGCAAGCGATCACTCTACTATAAGCGATCAAAAACGTGGGGCGCCGAAGTAAAAGTTATATTACTATTGATTAGATAATACTATTGACTTTTATCAGGGAGCTTGTAGAGAGTCAACAGTATTAGAAACTGTAAGAAAATCACGTTTTTGATCGCTTATAGTAGAGTGATCGCTTGCATTATTGTGATGTATAGCATTTATTTTCTATTTGAAAATGATTCTAACACTTTGAAATCTGTGTATAGGAAAGTTACAAGGCAGAAATAAAGTTTGAAAATGTGACCTTCCGATATCCAACACGCCCCACTGTTCAAGTTGCCCAAGGGCTGACGTTTTCTGTTTCCCCTGGTCAAACCCTAGCGCTGGTGGGCAGCAGTGGCTGTGGTAAAAGTACCTCAGTCCAGCTCATTGAGAGGTTCTATGATGTAGAGAGTGGAAGTGTGGTGAGTTTGTTTAGCTCATTGAGAGGTTCTATGATGTGGAGAGTGGAAGTATGGTGAGTTTATTTAGCTCATTGAGAGGTTCTATGATGTGGAGAGTGGAAGTGTGGTGAGTTTGTTTAGCTCATTGAGAGGTTCTATGATGTGGAAGTTGGTGAGTTTGTTTAGCTCATTGAGAGGTTCTATGATGCGGAGAGTGGAAGTGTGGTGAGTTTGTTTAGCTCATTGAGAGGTTCTATGATGTGGAGAGTGGAAGTGTGGTGAGTTTGTTTAGCTCATTGAGAGGTTCTATGATGTGGATGTGTGGTTAGTTTATTTAGCTCATTGAGAGGTTCTATGATGTAGAAGTGTGGTGAGTTTGTTTAGCTCATTGAGAGGTTCTATGATGTGGAGAGTGGAAGTGTGGTGAGTTTATTTAGCTCATTGAGAGGTTCTATGATGTGGAGAGTGGAAGTGTGGTGAGTTTGTTTAGCTCATTGAGAGGTTCTATGATGTGGATGTGTGGTTAGTTTATTTAGCTCATTGAGAGGTTCTATGATGTAGAAGTGTGGTGAGTTTGTTTAGCTCATTGAGAGGTTCTATGATGTGGAGAGTGGAAGTGTGGTGAGTTTATTTAGCTCATTGAGAGGTTCTATGATGTGGAGAGTGGAAGTGTGGTGAGTTTGTTTAGCTCATTGAGAGGTTCTATGATGTGGAAGTTGGTGAGTTTGTTTAGCTCATTGAGAGGTTCTATGATGCGGAGAGTGGAAGTGTGGTGAGTTTGTTTAGCTCATTGAGAGGTTCTATGATGTGGAGAGTGGAAGTGTGGTGAGTTTGTTTAGCTCATTGAGAGGTTCTATGATGTGGATGTGTGGTTAGTTTATTTAGCTCATTGAGAGGTTCTATGATGTAGAAGTGTGGTGAGTTTGTTTAGCTCATTGAGAGGTTCTATGATGTGGAGAGTGGAAGTGTGGTGAGTTTATTTAGCTCATTGAGAGGTTCTATGATGTGGAGAGTGGAAGTGTGGTGAGTTTGTTTAGCTCATTGAGAGGTTCTATGATGTGGATGTGTGGTTAGTTTATTTAGCTCATTGAGAGGTTCTATGATGTAGAAGTGTGGTGAGTTTGTTTAGCTCATTGAGAGGTTCTATGATGTGGAGAGTGGAAGTGTGGTGAGTTTATTTAGCTCATTGAGAGGTTCTATAAAGTGGAAGTGTGGTGAGTTTGTTTAGCTCATTGAGAGGTTCTATGATGTGGAAGTGTGGTGAGTTTGTTTAGCTCATTGAGAGATTCTATGATGTGGAGAGTGGAAGTGTGGTGAGTTTATTTAGCTCATTGAGAGGTTCTATGATGTGGAAGTTGGTAAGTTTGTTTAGCTCTTTGAGAGGTTCTATGATGTGGAAGTGTGGTGAGTTTGTTTAGCTCATTGAGAGGTTCTATGATGTGGAAGTGTGGTGAGTTTGTTTAGCTCATTGAGAGGTTTTATGATGTGGAAGATTGTTGATTGTTTAAACTGGCTCTAATTGAAAAGTCCTGTGTTTGTTAGTGTTGTGATTTTGTTAAGAATTACTCTCATAGGTAAATGCACTAGTAAACTCTAAAAGCTAATATTTTAAAATTGCATATAGCTCCTTGACAACAGTGAAATAAAGGCACTGAATCTTCAGTGGTTGAGGGCCCAGATTGGGATAGTATCCCAGGAGCCCATTTTGTTTGACCGGAGTATAGCTGAGAACATCACCTACGGAGACAACTCGCGTGAAGTCTCAATGGATGAAATCATCAAAGCTGCTCGTGGTGCGAACATTCATGACTTTATTTCAAACTTACCTGAGGTGAGTGGTTTGGTTATACAATTGTTTTAAAACAGAAGGCCCATTTAGACCTGCGGCAAAATGCCAGATCTTGAGACTGTAACAAAATGCCAGTAACAAAACACCAGACCTTGAGACTAGCAAAATGCCAACCCATCTACCTAAGAACACAACACCAATTTCTTGTTCTAAGAACATTTCCAAATTATGAGTTTATTACTTCTGTGAAATAACAGGCATGGTATTGTAATTTGTTTATGTACAGACCATCTTAAAAAAAGGAAATTTAACTTTGTCAGCAAGTTAGGTGTTGGGGTTTGGGACAATTATCATCTGTTAGTATTTCCACATTTGAAGATGTTAGTATAATTTGAGCACTAGATCATCAGTGTTTCTTTCAGACTTTTTTCTCTGGAGTGCACTTGACATTTGCGGGGGGTGGGGAGGGCGGACACTGGTTATAGTATATGTTTTCTATATAAATTCCATTTCGTTCGGGGGGGGGGGGCAGAGCCCCTCCGAAGAGATGCCTGGAACAAACTCTGTAGATCATTAGTCATCGTACACCCCTTTAGTGCTGCCATATGTTGGTATACATTTAGCACTAGATCATTAGTCATCGTACACCCCTTTAGTGCTGCCATATGTTGGTATATATTTAGCACCAGATCCTATTGATAGAATGTTCTCCAAATTCTTCTACCCAGGGCTATGATACAAATGTTGGCTCCAAGGGGACACAACTCAGTGGTGGTCAGAAACAGAGAGTGGCTATAGCTAGAGCACTGGTTCGTCATCCCAAGATTCTTCTTTTGGATGAAGCTACATCAGCATTAGACACAGAAAGTGAAAAGGTCAGGTTTTTTAATGTTTTTTTTTTTTTTTTTTATTTGTTGAAGGCATTTCGTTTTAAAAAATCAAAATTTTAAAATAGTTTTTTGTTGAAGGCAGTTTTCACTGCTCCTAACCCATATATTTAAAAAAATTTAAAGTGCTATAATATACATAAACATTGTATTTTTTAAAAAGTATAGAATTTTAAGCGGAGTTGCATTTTATTTCAATGTTAATGATTTAAAAAATCAATGTTTGTCATTTAAAATCAAATATAATGGAATTAAATGTAAACATGAAATTTACCCAAGTGTGGCCGATTGTCCTTATAGAGAGTTAGCTGTTCTAAATAAGGCCTCTATTTCAACACCTATTGCTGAATGTATTTATCTTAACATAGCTCTGTAGTTTGTAATGGTGCTTCTATTTTCTTGTACTGCAGATTGTCCAAGAAGCATTAGATAAAGCAAGGGAGGGCAGGACGTGTGTGGTCATAGCTCACAGGCTGTCCACCATCAAGAATGCTGACAAGATTTGTGTGGTCAGCCATGGGAAGATTGCCGAGTCTGGCACACACACGGAGCTGTTGAACAAACAGGGCTTGTATTATAAGCTGGTCAAGAGCTCAATGAGGCACTGATTTGGTTTATAAACAGGGCTTGTATTATAAGCTGGTCAAGAGCTCAATGAGGCACTGATGTGGTTTATAAACAGGGCTTGTATTATAAACTGGTCAAGAGCTCAATGAGGCACTGATTTGGTTTATAAAAAGGGCTTGTATTATAAGCTGGTCAAGAGCTCAATGTAGCACTGATTTGGTTTATAAACAGGGCTTGTATTATAAGCTAGTCAAGAGCTCAATGAGGCACTGATGTGGTTTATAAACAGGGCTTGTATTATAAGCTGGTCAAGAGCTCAATGAGGCACTGATGTGGTTTATAAACAGGGCTTGTATTATAAGCTGGTCAAGAGCTCATTGAGGCACTGATGTGGTTTATAAACAGGGCTTGTATTATAAGCTAGTCAAGAGCTCAATGAGGCACTGATTTGGTTTATAAACAGGGCTTGTATTATAAGCTGGTCAAGAGCTCAATGAGGCACTGATTTGGTTTATAAACAGGGCTTGTAAAGCTGGTCAAGAGCTCAATGAGGCACTGATTTGGTTTATAAACAGGGCTTGTATTATAAGCTGGTCAAGAGCTCAATGAGGCACTGATTTGGTTTATAAACAGGGCTTGTATTATAAGCTGGTCAAGAGCTCAACGAGGCACTGATTTGGTTTATAAACAGGGCTTGTATTATAAGCTGGTCAAGAGTTCAATAAGGCACTAATGTGGTTTATAAACAGGGCTTGTATTATAAGCTGGTCAAGAACTCAATGAGGCACTAATTTGGTTTATAAACAGGGCTTGTATTATAAGCTGGTCAAGAGTTCAATGAGGCACTAATGTGGTTTATAAACAGGGCTTGTATTATAAGCTGGTCAAGAACTCAATGAGGCACTGATGTGGTTTATAAACAGGGCTTGTATTATAAGCTGGTCAAGAACTCAATGAGGCACTGATTTGGTTTATAAACAGGGCTTGTATTATAAGCTGGTCAAGAGCTTAATGAGGCACTGATTTGGTTTATAAACAGGGCTTGTATTATAAGCTGGTCAAGAACTCAATGAGGCACTGATTTGGTTTATAAACAGGGCTTGTATTATAAGCTGGTCAAGAGCTCAATGAGGCACTGATGTGGTTTATAAACAGGGCTTGTATTATAAGCTGGTCAAGAGCTCAATGAGGCAATGATTTGGTTTATAAACAGGGCTTGTATTATAAGCTGGTCAAGAGCTCAATGAGGCACTGATGTGGTTTATAAACAGGGCTTGTATTATAAGCTGGTCAAGATCTCAATGAGGCAATAATTTGGTTTATAAACAGGGCTTGTATTATAAGCTGGTCAAGACCTCAATGAGGCACTAATGTGTTTCCATCTCTTTATGATATTTCAGGTCCTTTGAAAATAATCATGTACAAACTAACAGGCTTTAACACGTACAAAAATATTTTTCTTTACACTAGTTTATATTTCTGTCATATTTACTTTTTGTCATACTTGCAATATTTATTTAAATGCCAGTTTGTTATTTTGTCATTGAAATATTTATATTTAACCTCTTCACTGTACCCAGTGACCTCAACACCTCTGGAAGTTTATCCACCTGGGCTTGATAATTGGATTGACATTCGTGGCAACAATGTGTAACTAGAGTTACCAGTTAGTTTACAAACATTGTCTTTTTTTAATGTCCAGATTTTATTTGCTAAAGTTGTAGTGCTAAATCTGATAACATGAGTTAATAATGACGTGTTTTTTAATCAACCTATTTAATTTAATTATACAGACATAAATTATTTTTTACAAATTTAGAAATCCATTTGTATAACCAATTTACAACCAACTGAGGTGATATATTTTACTTCTGGCTAAGTGTATAGCTGATGTTCTAAGATCTGTTTTCTGTAAATAGATAATTCTGTGATTCTATGTTATCAATACACTTTGTTGTTAAATGTTGAAATCAAATTAATTCATGTCAGTTTTTTACAATCTTTTTATTCTTTGCAATAATTGTGTTTTTTTTTCAGTTTCTGTTTAAAATAAAAAAGATTTATGCATGGTGTGACATCTTTAGGTTTTGTATATCATAGCTGAAGTTAAAATAGTTAGTGATGCTAGTCATTTTAAAACTTAGTCGTGTTTTATGAGCTTTATTCCTTATGTGAGGAATTTTAAAAATCATTGTTTTAAAAGTGTTGAATTTAGTTGTTAAAAATTAAATTAAATTGTTTTTTTGTTGATATGTTTTTACTGATGTGCACAATGTTATATGAAAGATATAAGAAATCTGTGTTAATGATATAATCAGGATTTTAAAAACTTGAATCTTTAAAACCTGGTGAACTGGCATTCACTTGTTGTCCAATGTTTCAAAGTTCAAAGTTCAAGTTCTCAATGAACTTGCCATGCTGTATGTGTATAATGCCAGTAGGTTAGACCAAACCCCTCAACCGGTGTTTCTTTCAACTCCTCCACTTGACCAGGCAGTTTTTGCCCATCTGCGTGTTGCTTCTAAATGTAACTGTTAAAAATTAATATACATATCCAGGTGAATTTGTATTGTGTTATCACTGACTTTTTAATATGATTGATTTGATATTGTTCTAATTTACCTCTTATTATAGTAGGTAATTTTTTAATGCTTTTTTTCCATCAAAAGTCTGGTTTTTTAAATTTTATTTCATGTAATGTTCAGCTTTACTTCCTATGAATGTGTTATTGAAACATCAGTTTAAAAGATAAGATATCTAGACCAGGTGTGAATCAATGAGTTTGAGAATATGACCCATATTGTTTCTGACTGTTGCAGTTTTCATATGACTTTCTTTCCTTGCATTGACTTGCTAGTTGAGGCGTACATTTGGGAATGAAATAAAAACATTTTCTTCAGGCCATAGATATTTTTCTAAAGCATAATAGTAGTGTTTCTAACAGCGTAAAATTACTTTTCATTTGTACTTAAATACACGAGTTTAATTTTGTGTACATGTTAATTGATTTAAAGTAATTTATTACAACTAGTTTACCAGTTTCATTCATGTAAATTTCAAAATATGTGGAGTGTTGAATTTGTTCATGATATAAGAATTTGGTGCCTATTATCTACAGCACATATTTATCATTGTATTGTGAATTAAAGAGAAAATGTGAATAGAGCATTGTGTTATTTTTTATGTAGCAATTATTAAAGGGCTACTGTAATTAAGTCATTTCTGTTGAAGTTGGAGAGTAATTTTAGACTGTTATCTTTACATTATTGAAATGTTCCAAAAACTTTCACCCCTGTTTCGCTCAATAGTGGACTCTTCTTAAAGCCTTCTACCCTTTAGAGTCCAGATGGAATAGTTTCAAAACAATTAGAATAGACAAACTACATTAAAACATTTATTTCTCTTTAAGAAACACTCCAAATGTAAGTGGTTCATAAGCTTATAATACATATGGATTTGGGGAACAGGGCATTACCCCCCTGTCAATTACACACACACACCTTCACCCCCCCCCCGTCATAGTTTGAGGTTCAGCTAGGGCTTGGTCTAGTGTCAGGATTAGGGTTAGGCTTAAATCAACGTCTAGAGTTGGGTTCAGTGTTTCTTCCACTTTTTTCTCTGAGGGGGGCACTTGAAATTTTCGGGGGTCGGACATTAGTAAAGTGTATGTTTACTATATAAAATCCATCTCGTTCGGGGGGGGGGGGGGGGGGTCGGTAGACTTTCTTCTCTTCCCCCCCCCCCCCCCCCCCCCCGAAGAGATGCCTGGAAGAAACTCTGAACAAGACTGTCTGTTAATTGGTTAGCCTTGTAAGTCTTTAACAAGACAGTCTTTTAATTGGCTAGCATAATTAGTCTCTAACAAGGCGCATGTTAATTGGGGTGGTGGGGGGGGGGGAGTCGGACTTTTGGGACGATGTGTGGCGAGGTTCAAAGAGGTAGACTCTGGCATCTTGACTTTTTGTGGTAATGTGGAGGGGGGAGGTAAAAATCGTCAGAAATATTTCCTTATAGGTATAATAACAAAATATAAATTGTTGTTATAACAAAGAAGCCCTGCTTAAGTTTTAAGTCGGGAATCTTCCATCAAATGCCATAAGTTCATTCAACAAAAGTTTAACTGTTTCGTTGTTTGGCCTCTACCAACCTCCATAGCCATCACGATACAGGCAGGAAATGGCTTTCTTAGCGACTGTTAGGAGTGAGAAGTTGATGCATGGCAGACTCGATAAGCAAACAGAGCCACACCAATGTTAGATACTGGCTTGACCGCATTTCATTGGCTTAGTCAATGCGCATGTCAGACACCAATGACACGCTCGAGTGACTTTTAAATGGCGATGGGTAACGTGGTTTCGGGAATCTCCTATTTCTATTTATACTTTATCGTTTATTATCAAGTAGTTTATTCAATAAAAAAAATCGTTTAGATTTAATGCTTTAAGTACAGAAAAGACGTAGATATACAGAGGGCATTAACTCCGTGAGATTAAAAAGCTTAAGTAAAAAGTTGGTATGTAAGTGTAAGCCCTTTCATCTTTGAGATGTTGGCATAGGCAATCTATACTCACCTTTAAAGATATTGTAGATAATGTATCAGTTTTTCTTTATTTTTTATGGCATCCGCGCCCTAGAACATCGGTTATTAGAGTGATCATTCACTAGGGAACTATTGGCCATTTTCATAGAATAATTAACAGGGCAAAATAAACTAGAGCGATTCAATTTTTTAAATTACTAACCTTTATCTTAACAATAATAGCCAAAAATGTTTTTAACCTATCAATTTTATATTATCTTTTTTTTTTGCTGGTTCCGACTCATTGTTTTTTTTTTTTTTTTTTAAATTTGACATTTGGCTCTCGACAAAATTCTCATTCGTTTAGCCTAGTATTGTGTCACAATATATGTGACCTACGTTGCCTAATTTGGGAATAATACACGCGCGGCATACAAAAATGTCTGTCAAAAACGACATCGTTTATTGCAGCCTGTCAATGTAAATTTATTCCAAATACTTTATTTTTCAATGGGTTATTTACCTCACCGCAAGCAATACAGTAATAAAAGCCCTAATGCTTTCACGGCTGTAAAGATAAGACAGTTGACAAATCCAGTTTTCTAGATTAGGGTATAAGGA